AAATAATTAATACGTATAATTAAATAATAAATTAAAGTAAAATAAATATAATTTTTAATAATTTTATTATATATATTATAACTGTAAATGTTTAAAATTATAAAATTACATAAAATTAACTTTATATTTTAAATTATTAACGATTTAATTTTTACTTATTTAACATTTTTAATAACCATTAATGCGCATTTTTTATTTTAAACTTATTTTTTTATTTAACTTTTATAATATTTATATTTATAATCGTTTTATAAAATTTGTTAATTTTAATGTTTATTATTAATTAAGTTTTTAAATTAATTAAAATCTCGAGTTAATTATATAATAATTATAACTTTTTACCGTTTATATAAACGTTAATATTTAACTTTTATTATAAATATAATATATAATTTTTTTTAATTTTCTATAAGTTTTTTAATAATTTTAATACATATATTTAAAAAGTTTTTAATCGTTAATATTGTTAATAATTAACTTAAATAAAAACAAGTTTAAATAAAGTTTTAATAATTTTAAATAAAATTTTTCGTTAAATTTTTAAATAAAATTTTTCATTAAAGTTTTAAATAAAATTTATTTATAATTGTTTATTAATTTTTTATTAATTTTTTATCAATTATTTATTAATTTTTTATTAATTATTTTATTAGTTTTTTATAATAAATTTTTAATTAATGTAATATAAAAAACGAACTTTATTTTAAATAATTATATTAATTTTTATTATATAAAACTTTTCATTTAATTTAATAAATTTACGCGTTATATTTTATATTACCGTAAATTTTAAAACATTATTAATTTTAATATTATTTTATTAAAAGATTTTTTTAAAAATTATAACATTATTTTTAACGTTATTACCTTTTTAAAAACAATTGTAAAACTTTTGTTTTTATTAAATATAAAGTTTTTTTTTATAATTATTTATTTTTTAAAAATTTAAGGTTTTTCTTTAATAAAATAATTTTATATAATACTTAATACATAATTTTATTTAATTTATTAATAATTATTAAAATTTTAATTACAAAAATTAATTTAATAAATAAGATTTTTATTATTTATTAAATAAAATTATAAAATAACTTAATTAATATTTTATAATATTTAAAATATTTAAAATATTTAAAATATTTAAAATAAAATAAATAAATTTAAATTTAAAAATAAAAAACAAAATATTTTAATAATATTAAAATTTAAAATGATTTTAATAACGTTTAATAAAATTAACTTAATAACTTTAAAATTAACGGGTATATTTTTTTTAAAAAAATATTTTTAACCGTTTATTAAAATGTTAAAAAACTTTTTTTTTAATAATATAAATAAAATCATAACTTATTAAACCTTTAATAACGAATTTATATACGCGTTTTAAATTAAAAAATCGTTTATATTTAAACGTTAAAACTTATATAATAAATAAATAAATATATAAAAATATATAATATTATTATTGTAATAATATTTATAAAATTTTATTAAAATATAACTTTTATAACCGTTTAATATTAAAAAACGTTTAATATTTTTTATATATTTTTTTATATAATAATTAAAATATATTAATTTTTTTAAAATAATTTTATTTATAAATTAACCGTTTTTTAATAATTTAACAATTTAAATAAATAAAAATTTATTATTATAATATTATAAAATAAAATTTATTTTATTTATAATAATAATAAAAAATAATATTATTTAATTTTTATTATTAATTAATTAAATTATTATAAACCATTTTTTATTATTAAATATTATTTAATAAAATTTATAAAACTTTTAAAAATTAATTATAATTATTTCCGTAATAATTATTTTTATTACTTTTTCGAAAGAATTATACGTTTAAACTTTTCGGAAATTAATAAAGTAATTGATAAAGAAATACATTGCAAAATACTTTAATAATTACGTAAGTAATTAATAAAATGATAAAGTCGCGCGCGCGCGCTTTCGGAAAAATATCACGTGCGCGTTTACGCGCACATGAAAACGGCTTACGAGCTTGCGAGCGGCCGTTTTAATAAAAATTTAAATTTAAATTTATTAAAATTATATATATTTTTAAATATAATACCGTTTTTTTTGATTTATATCGTTAATAAATTTAAACCATATATAATATATATTAAAATTTTTGTAAAAAACTTTTTAATAATTAATATAATAATTTAAATACGTTTTAAATTTAAAATTTAATTTTTTTTTAATATAATTTTATTACGTTTTTATAATAATAAATTAATCATTTTTTAACGTAAAAATTTTTTAAAAAAAACGTTTAAAAATTTAATTTAATTAATTTTTATTATAATTTTATTATATTAACGCGTTAATTTTAACTATTACATTTACCGTATAATATTTTAAATAAAACATTATAAAAATATGTAAAATTAAAAAAATTATAATATTAATTATATTATTTTAAATGATTTATTAAATTTATAAAAAGTAATAAAATATGTAAAATATTATAAAACTTTAACCGTGTTATTATATATTAATAATTAAAAAATATTTATTTACATATATAAATTCGAATTAAATGGTTATTATAATGTAACCGGTATTATTTTGTTTTTTTTTTACAAGTTATTTAATGATATATTTTTTTTAAAAAAAAACGAGTATATTAAAAAAGTTATTTAAATTAAAAAATAAATATGTTAACATTAATGTATGTATTAATGTATATAAAAGTACGTATTAAAATACGTATTTATTTAAATTGTTTTTTAAAGTTTAATTAATTAATAAATTATAAAAAAATATTACGTGATTAAAAAAAATACGTATTATAACTTAAATATTAATTAAAACATAATTTAAATAATAATGTTTTTTTATAATTATAAATTTTTAATTTATATAAATTATTAATTTATGATTTATATTATTAAATATTATTTTAAATTTAAATAATTTTAATATATTATTTTAAATATTAAATTATATAAATAAACCGGTAAAATTTTTTTAAAAACTTTAACTTTATAAATAAATTTAATAATAAATTTATTAAATATATATATATATATATATATATATATAATATAATATTAATAATAATATATAAATTTAATAAAAAAATATTTATTATTTTTAAATTATGTAAATTATATAATTATATAATAAGTAAAAATATTATATATATTTTAAAAAAATAATGTTTAATTATAAAAGTTATATTAATTAAATAAAACTTTTATTAAAATAATAAATTAATAAAATAAACGGAAAATATATTTTAAAACTTTTTATTAAATGGAAATATTATGGTTATAAAAAAAAATTAATATAAAATAATATAAAATTAATAAAAGTTTATAATAAAAAATATTTATAAATAAACTTATAAATAAATATAAAAATGTAAAAAAGTTTAAAAATATTTAATATTAAAAAGTAAATTAAAAGTTAATATGTATAATATTTAATATAAAATTAAAAATATATTTATTTATATAAAAATACATTTTATAAATAATATTTAATAAAATATATTTTAATATATATTTTAATAATTTAATTAATTATATATTTTATAAATAAATATATTTATTTTTACAATTTTTTTTATAATTTAATAACGTATTTTATAAGTTTTTTTTTCGTAATTTAATATTATACCGCATTTTTAAAATTAAATATTATTTTATATTTTTTAAATTTTTAAACTTTATTTAAATTATTATAAAAATTTATAAAAAAATATTACGTTTAATAAAAAAATAATGACAAATAATTAAAAACGTATATAAATAAATAAATTTATTATATACTTTAAATTATTTATTAAAAAAATAAAAAGTAAAAACTTAAAAATTAAAACAATTTTAAATTTTATCGTTTTAAAATTAATAATAATAAAATAATTAATAAAAATATATAATTTAAATAAAATAATGTAATATTAAAATTATTTTATAAATAATAAAAATTTACCGTAAATAAAATAATTATAAATTTAATAAAATTTTAAACTTTTAAATTTTTTTTAAAAAACCATTAAAACGTTATATATATATAAAAACCGTAAAAAATAAAGTTTTAACATATTATTAATATAAATTAAAATTTTTAAAAACAAATACATTTATTTAATTTAAAAAAATTAATTAATGTAATATATTAAAGTTTTAATTAAATTATTATTAAATATTTATAAAAGTATAAAATATAATAATAAAAAATTAAATAATTAAATGTAAAAAAAGTTTAAAAAAAAAAAAAATTTTAAAAAAAGTTATTTTAATAAAAGTAATTATATTTATATATGTTTAATATATATTTCATTTAATTATTTTAAAAATATTTTCGGTTTTATAATTTAAAATGATTTTAATTAAAATATATTTATATTTATAAATATTAACTTTTTTATAAAAAAATTTAAAAATAAAAATGTTTATTTTTAAAAAATAAATTAAAGTTTTTTTTAAAAAAAACACCGTGTAATAAAATATATTTAATTTAAATTTTATTTATAATTAAATAATTATTGTTTATTTTTTAAAAAAATTCGTTTATAATTAAATAAATATTATTAATAATTTTAAAAATAAAATAAAATAATTAATAAACTTTTTTTAATTAATTAAATATAAACGTTTTTATTAAAATAATAATAATAAAAATAATATATATATATTAATTATATTAATAATAATTTAATTTTAATTTTAATATAAAACTTTTTTTTTAAAAAAAAAACTTATTATTAATAAATAATAAATAAATATATTTAATTAAAAGTTTTTTATTTTTATTAAATAAAAACATAATTAATATATTTAAATTAAATTAATTAAATAATTTAATATTATTTTTAATATTTAATATTTTTATATATTATTATAAATAATATGAAATTTATTTAATTTAAATTATAACATTTATCATTATTATTAATATATTAAAGTTTACGCATGCGTGTTTTTTAAACCTCGATCGACCTTTTAATCTTAATACGGTAATAAGCTGGCGCCTTTTGTAACGCGCGGGTACCAGATATCAAATGTGATCAAGTTGTGCAAAATGCAGAACCAACAAGTTCCAACAAACCAACACCTAACCCAATTCAGTGGCCCCGTGGTACTGTGACACTGTGTTTCACAACAAGATGAATAACAAAGGCTTATTTCTATATTTAAGTTTTGATGTCAGCTGTGCCACACCTGTAGGTGATTTGTAGTTGGTGCACTAAGGTTCCGGGGATGTTTGGCTCTTGTCTTCCGTATTTTTACTTCTTCTTATTCCGACTAGTCATTCCGACAAGAACACTCGGTGTTCCGCATTAAGCAATGTCTCGAAAATATTTCATAATCATTGGTGCAGCTATTGTCTCATGCCTTCTTTTAGCTTTCGGTTCTTCGTATAGTTCTATCGGTTCCAGTCCACTGAACTGTCAGTTTATCTTATTCTCACTAGGCTTCCTGTTAGCTGCCAACTAACTCATTTATAGTGAAATCGCCAGACAACATAAAGCCGCCAGCCGAGTCTCAATCTTCACTTCCCCCGGGTTTCCCCAAGAAGATTTGGCAGAGCTGGAAAGATGATTCCGACGACCCAACTGACCGAACTGTTGGCTTCCCGCACCAATGGCGTGTCGTAAACCCTCAGCACCGATATGAACGTATCACCGACGCCAACGGCGAAACCTTCGTTGCAGACCGGCTCCCTTTGGCTATTGCGGATCTGTTTGCTAATTTCACTGATCCTATCCTAAGGGCCGACTTCTTGCGGTATTGTGTGATGCTTGTCGAGGGCGGCGTATGGGCTGATATTGATGTCTTGCCTCACCGTCCTATCTCTGAATGGGTTCCTCGGCAATACCTGGATAAGGCGAATCTCGTCGTAGGGATTGAAAACGATCACCACAAAAGGCCCATCTGGCGAGGTTCTCCGTATTCTGTTCAACTTGCTCAGTATACGATCTTGGCGAAGCCCCACCACCCGGCTATAGCTAAACTAGTGGACCGAGTCAAAGAGAATCTCGAGAAGCTGTTTCAATCGAAGAAGCCCGGAGGAACCGTCACCTTCGAGGATGTTATGGCGACAACGGGTCCGTTCGCATTCACCGAGGTTCTAATGGACTATTTCACGAATGCTACAGGTATCAAGCACACTGGAGACGAACTCGACAGTCTCAGAGAGCCAAAGCTCATTGGAGATGTATTGGTACTGCCTAAGGATTCTTTCGGCTGGCTACCGCAAGAGCATTATCTCGAAGAGGGGGATCCCGGCATTCTAGTTGAGCATCTGTTTATAGCATCCTGGCGTGGAAGCCATCCAGGTTAACGACGTACGAATCTAGGATGACTCTATATGTTCCCATGGTGCACAAGTCACTTTGGCTTGCATGATTATGTGTATATACTCCAGGCAAGTTTCACCGCGGGTTCACACACCGCTTGGCTATATAGGGATTATGCGACGATGTTTCGTACACAACAGGATTTGTACTATAGTGCGAAACTGGGTGGAATCTAGGCTGCTATGGACAGCTATTTTCCAGGTGGCTCACGATTGCGTAACGTTTGTGAAATTAGAGGGGCTCGGCAAGATATGTCGAGGAGCACATCATATCAATAAATACAAATATTTCTCGAAAACTTCACCAGTTGCACCGATTACTTAACTTGCGGCCAGACATAGTTTATTCTTTTTTTCCCCTTGAAGCTTATTCTCCTCTGTAACGCTACAGTACGAATGAAATCTGGGATGGTTAGGTCTCGGGCTTTGCGGGGATTGAGAAGGAATAATGGCGTTTTATCCCTTGATCCATAGTAGGCTATCATTGGAAGATTGTTATGTCCAATGGGAAATCCCGGCCGTCTATTGGTTGTTGGTTGTAGTTGTTGGTTGCTTGTCATGAGTTGTTAGTTGCAGTTAATTCTTGAAGACATGGATAGGGACCCACAAATAACCCCTGACTTTCAATAATATACTCTCTTCCTTGCTTTGCACGAGCCTTCTAGTCACCGAAGAGGTAGTTCAGATCTGTGATACATTGGGCATGGTGACAAAACCTAATGGGTTACTAGTTGAGCTGACATATTCGGATATATGTTCGGATATGGGTACATTGGCATCCTTCAGGCCATTTTTTGGCTCGTGGACAAGCAAGGGTTGAAAGCACCCGCCTACGTACAGCGCTGGCAGCATATTGCTTCTGTTCTGTAGAATTGGTACCTATTACCCCTATCGCTCGTTCTATTTCCCATTTGTTTGCTTTGTTTTGTCGTTCCCAGGTAGATTACGACGACTTGAAAGTTACAATGGCGAGGCCGTCATATTTCTGGTTACAGCTTATACTTTTTCAGTTCGCCTGTACTGCCTTTGCTGCCATTAACAATTGCTATTATCCGAATCAACAAGAGGCTGAAGATGATTCCCCTTGCAACCCCGATGCAGATTCCAGTGCCTGTTGCGGTGGTGGTATTGGTAACATTTGTCTTTCCAACGGTCTATGTCAAGGACCTAACGGAGCCGTGATCCGGGGCTCTTGCTCGGATAAGAACTGGGATTCGGAGAACTGTGCAAACTACTGCTTGGGTGAGTTAATCAAACTTCTGCTTAGATACCTTCTATCTAGCTTAGACATTATTGGCTTACATGATCTTTGAATACGAAGGTGCATCCCGAGGCGGTACTGACCTGATCTCTTGCGCAAACGTCACTCAGGATGACACGTCGTATTGTTGTAATGGCGCGGAAAATTGCTGTGATTCTGGAGACGGGCGGTTTTCTGTTGGACCGCATAATCCGACTACATCAGCAACCTGGAATGCGGCTTCAACCAAGTTCATAGTGGTGGGGACAACTTCAACAACTTCTTCGACAAGAACAACTCCTTCAACAAGCACTACGTCAACGAAAGACCCAACGACGTCGTCAGCATCTGATTTAGCCACGCCTAATGCTGCTAGCGGTGATTTCACAAGCGGTGCTCCTACTAACACAGATGTGGCTTCCCAACCAGATAACACCTCTTCTGTCGGCACGGAAGCCTCTTCTCCGTCTGATCTTAGCGATGGCGCGAAGGCCGGGATTGGTATCGGTGCCGTAATTGGGGTGATACTCATTGTGGGCTTGATATACGCCTTGTGGAGGCTACAGAAGATGAATAAGATGTTAGCCAAGGAACAAGCCGGAAATCAATACGACCAAACCCCCGTATATTATCCGACGTCCCAGATCGCAACAGCTCCGAATAGTGTCAACGTGGCGCCACCTGTACCTTCCAAAAGCGAAGGCCAGATATCGGAATTGTACGGACACTACAGCCCTCTTCATGAATTACCCGCCGAATCTACTTAACATATATTTCTTGGATAGTTCCTGTTGGGAAAAAGAGGGTGATGGGTAATCGATTGACGAGATAACAGAGTTGTATAGGTAATAAGCCGTCTCTTGTGCCCGACGGTATATTAACCCGGGAGTCCGGGACATAGGAAATGGTCGGATGTTGTTGAATAGTAATCTGCCTCTCTTTTACTGGGCCTTGCCATCATAATTGGGGCTGTCGATATTTTGCACCGTGGTGGCATCATCGGTGCCAAGCCGGAGTGGGTGGTGGGTTTTAGGAAGGCGACCACCGTTATTGCTAATGCTTGCGACTTTGCGTTGCATTGTTCGACCCCAAAGGCCTTCTAGAACAGTAAAATGTGCTCGTCATTAGAATAGTGTATTGTATATAATATATTTTCTTTGTCTTCTCTGGCCTAGTGAACTCCGGCTTGTACGCTTTAATTCATAGAAGACATGAAGCTCACTACTGCTATTTGGTTTACTGGGGCTTTTAAGGCTATTGTTCTGGCTAACCAGGACGGTAGTATCAGCTTCGAAGGCTTCAAGGTTTATAGGATCGATACGAGCGACGACATTGACGACCTAAAATCAACTTTCGACGATTTATCTATCATAGAGCTTAATCATAATCTTAATCACCTTCATGGCAACTCGGCAACTATTGATATTGCGGTTCCTCCAGAACACGTCGCGGTTTTCGATACGCTCGACTTCAATACTACTATCTTGAGCAGGAATTTAGGAGAAGACATCGCAACTGAAGGTTCCCTGGGCAGCTATCCGGGTTTGTGTTCAAAATCCGATTCTTTAATACGTTTCCACTAACCGTCGACGCAGAACGTGACGACGATGGTGTCCCAGGATTATCTTGGTTTGATTCATATCATGCTTACGAGGATCACGTTCGCTACTGGGCCGATCTCCAAGCCTCGTTTGTCAACAACTCAGAGCTTTTTCAAGTGGGATCCTCATTTGAGGGAAGGCCAATTCAGGGGATTCATCTCGTATGTAATATTAAGAGCCTCCCCCCTCCCTGTTTTATTTTATACTCCATCCAGCCCTTGATTAAAAGAAGCGCTGATTGACTTTTGATGCTATAGTGGGGCAGTAGCGGTAAGAATTCGAAGCCGGCAGTCTTCTTTAATGGGAATGTACATGCTCGTGAATGGATCACTTCAATTGTATGTCTTGGAATAAAATAATCCAGCAGGTATATTGAACCACTAACATAAATTTATTCCAGGTGGTCGAGTACCTCTTGTACCAAATAGTGACTGGATACAAAAACGACACAGCGATACAAGCTACGCTAGACAACTACGATTTTTACGTCCTACCAGTTGTAAACCCCGATGGTGAGTAACTGGTTTCAAAATAACCCCAGGAGAATATAATTCAGATCTCTAGTTAATCCCACTAAGGTTTCGTATATTCCCAGACAACCAACCGGCTCTGGAGGAAGAATCGGCAGACGAGAGACAACACAACCGCGGTCGGCACGGATATCAACCGAAACTGGTCTGTCGGGTTCGGAGGCGATGGGTCTTCTTCCAACCCGAGTTCCGAGACGTTCAGCGGTTACCAACCTGGCGACGCGCCTGAAACTGCCGCGCTGATGGAATTCGCTCAAACATTAGCTGCTGACAAAGGCATCAAGTTGTATATCGATTGGCACAGCTATGCCCAGGTAATCTTGCTCTCATACGGCTACACCTGTGATAGTTTTCCAAAAAATATCGACCGTCAGATAAGTCTAGCGGGCGAGACAGCCGCCAGGATCTCACAGCCATGTATGTTTATCCCTCCAACCCGCCCCCTCTCGACATTCATTTCATAGCCTCATATAACCCAAAGCCTTGGCGGAATCAACTCGGGAATTCCTCGTTAGCTCATTGTGTCCTAACAACTTCAATATAGACAATACAACATTCGACTATGGCCCTGGCTGTCTAGTACTGTACCAGTCGAGTGGAAATGGCAGGGACTACATGACCGACGCAGCCGGAGCAGAGTTCGGATGGGGAATTGAGCTTAGATCGACTTCTTACGGCTTCGTACTTCCTGCTGACCAGATTCTACCTAGCAGCGTGGAAATTTGGGAAGGTATGAAATATTTATGGGCAAATATGTAACAGTTTTATCCTATGGTAGCGACGCCGCTTCTGCTATCCACAGGATGTACGGAGATATTCCTTAGCCGCAGATAGTAGTAAATCTTTAATGACCCTCATTCGTCGACTCCGCGGCGAATTAAAGGGGCTTAATTGGGATCTGGACTTCGTATAGTATAAGGTAATAACTGTGATTTGGCCAGTAAAAAAACAGGTCTTTTACATAAATATGCTCCGTCGAATTAGCCTTCCCATATCGAGCTTGAATACTACGGTTCTTGAAAATGAGCGGGGGGTTTCGGATAGCTATAAGCCCGTATAGTAGTATTATAGGAGATGTTTAGTAGGTAAATTTGCTTGACGTTAGTTGCGATACAGTCGAGATATCATTGTCTTGGATTATAATACTGAATTTCCTCTATACTTACTGGTCGCCGTAATGATATAGCGTCCTACTAAATCTTAGCAGCAAAGCTATAGAGCTGGGCGATAATATTAGTTTTACTATTAAGTAGGTAGTTTTGCTAGCTAGACTGTATAACGGGCAAACCTAAAGAGAATATAGACTGCGAGCCTCCCCCTCCTTTAAAACACTTCCGGGTACGATACAATACGATTTCCCAACAGATCTCTCATTCCCCGACAATGACACCTTTAACTAGTATTTGTACTTACCGGGATTCACACGTAAAGCCTCGGTGTTTGCCATGGCTTTTGCACCCGTCGCGTGTTTCTTAGAACGCATGCGATATCTAGCATCATTCACTGCATTGACTAGTGGGTTGTTTTCATACCCCCTGAGCCCTTCCAAAGACCTGCCTTCCTTCCTAACTTCTTCCAGAGAGAAAGGCTGTGACCTATCATCACGCCCACCGTATCCGTTGGACGTGGTATTTGCCATTGCTCCGAGTGCGGTCCAGCTTAGACGTTCCCTTCGTGTCCTTAGTCGCTCGTTAGTAACGCTCTGTGCCAAGGCAGCCAGCTCTCGCATTTCACTCAGTTCGCGATCTATCTTGCATACTTGACTGAGAACACCGTGTCGAGGACTCCCATCAGGTAGAAGAGCGTTTAAGTAGTCATCGAAAGTGTAACGACGACTACGAGGTAATAGGCGAGACTTTGCTGAAACTAGCGTAGTGGTATGAATGGTGTATAGACTACCTACGAAGCGACCCTCTAGCCTCTGGCGGATCCCAAGGAGCACACCGATTTGCGCAAATGGGTCGTCTGTGAATGCAAAATGGGTGATTAAAGGGAAAAGGGAATCCGAGTCATCCTCGATTCGTTGATACGAGACATGGCCAAGAGGCAAGGTCATTTCTATGGATGCAGCGCCGAATGTGAACACCTGGAGCTTGCCTAGTCGATCTCCAGGAGGGAAATCGGCGCAAAGGCGGGAGAGTAGCCATGAGACATCCAGAGCCCCCGTGTTATGCGCAAGGATGCGAACACCTTTCGTTTCTGGCTTCAACAGGCTTGCTCGAACGGAGTTATAGAGGTTTACAGATCTTGTCGTAGGGATATGGAGGCTTCGTTGGAGGAATATAAGTATGATGTCGAATAAGAAGCCTAGCTTATAAGCTACGAAGATGTGCATATCGTGACCAAAGATTCTCGTTAGCTTTGGTGCGAGCTCCTGGCGCATGTGCTCATCGTGCATAAAACCACCAACAACAAACCAATCGAAGCGCTCCTCTTGGCTACTTGAGATGTCATCTTGAAACCTCTCCGTGACGAATTTTGAGGATCGCGGCCCACCGTTTATATAACGGATAAGAATCCATATGGAAGCGGTTTGCAAGGCCAACCAAGGTGAAAGGAGTAAGCCAGGAAATACCAGCCACAGTAGAGATATAGATAGCAATAATTGTAGCTCGAGAAGAGATAGCAGGGAATAAAACGCTATTCCCCTTAATTCAGCCCAGCTTGCTTCCTGTCGGCGATTTACGATTGACGCGCCGACGGCGCAGAGAATACGCGGAATAGCAGCAGCAACATAAGGAGCGTCTGCTTTGAGTAAAGACAAGAAAGTTTGCTGGTGGCTCAACGGAGTTGTTCCTAGCGCGCTGTCTTTCAGGGCTAAAGCGAGACTCAACGACATGTTTCCCGTGTGAGTACGCCGCGGCAGTTCCTGCTTTGGGACATGATATGAGGCGATACGAGAGGTAGCCATTGGTTCATGTCGCATAATTCGGCGGAGAGTTTTCAACCCCTTGAAGCTCAGCACAGCTAGGATCGGATGCGTAAAGAAATGGACACCGTGTTTGGTGTTATTCCTCGATGGAATTTGTCGACAATCCAGACTAGGTCCAACGTACATTCCAGAGGCACACGCGTTCACATTGATGTCTTTGTTCCTCCAACAAAACAAACAAATTACTATCCATAGCGATATGCATTAAGTTGTGCTCCTTTTGGGAGTTTCTGGCCTTGACTAATGCATCGTGCGCTAGGCGCTTGTAAGAAAAACTTTCTGGAGTAGACTTACCTGGTAAGATGATCTCCTGGCTGGCAGCACATGCACATCGTATCCGAAGCTATTAGGATCTATGAGATCATGTGAATAGATAGACGATAGCGCAACGTGGCTAAACGACTCAACGTAAAACCCGGGATTCTGGAGGTAGGCGAGTAAGGTAGAGAACGTATTGAGATTTCTGGTTCTGTTCTAGGCAGTCATGGATCAAATATCCTCCCTTGCTTTTGATTTATCCCCCGGGGGCGATGCAACCCCGGCGAGTTTAAAGACAGAAATAGAAAAGTGCAGGTTCTTCTTCAAAAGAGAGATATCTATTTTCTATGTCGGTCTACAAAACGTATAGACGGAGGTGTGTTCCGCTTCCGTCGAACGGGCCTTGTCTCAGTCAGCCATGTCTCCGAGCTGTAGGATACAGATATTCGTAGAAGAACGGATAACATCGGGGATTGTGGATATTTGGCCATTCTGGCAGCTTCTGGAACCGTGGCAGCGGAAGAAGAGAATGGGATAGAAGGGGTGTTATGGTGGACGGTTAGGACATTTGTGCCAAAATCGAAAAAGTCGGTGGCATTATGTTTAATACGGTAATAGTAACGCTAGGGGTATAGTATAAACTTGACTATTTGCCCTGTATACGCAATTAAGGTAATATATATCCCTTTTTAACCTTATATCACAGTAGCTTTACGAATATTTATCCAAATATTTTCGAAAAAGTGTTGTTATTTTAATTGGAAAATAACGAAATTTATAATTTAAGTTGCATGTAATTTGACCTAAGATTGGTAAAGATATTAAAAACGTTGTGTAATTATATAAGCATTATTATACTTCGTTATCCGGGCTATTTTCTTTATAAGCTTAAAAATTCAACCAATTAAGTTTAGCCTTTATCTTTGCCTTAAATATATACGAAATATACTTATACATAACATTTATATATATTTGAATAATTTTACGAATATACCATTTTAAATAATATAATTAGTATTAATCGATAGCCTTAATTAATGCGAAAATAAAAATCCAAATTGTATATATATATATATATATTTTTTAGCTGGCTTATTGTATTAGTATGCGGAAAGGCTAGCACGTAATACCCTTTAAAACGACCTATTTTGAAAACGCTACAGATATTTCAATAATAAATAGATTATTTAATATGTATCCTATAAATATGCAAGCTGGATGGTTATTTTCGCATCAATTAAGGCTATAAAACTATATTAATTACAATGTTTGAAACGCTATATTCGTAAAGTTATATGAGTATATAGGTATGTATTGTGTGTATATAAGGTAAAAAAAAAAACCCTTATATTTTACCTTGTATATACCCTGCATAGTGTACTATGCACCTAGCTATATTATCCTTTTTGGAAAGCCTTAACTTATTTTTTTGATTTTGGCACAAATGTCCTAACCGTCCACCATAGGTGTTATAAATTGAATTCTTCTTGGCGTGGGCGTTGATTTAGCCTCCGGTTGAAGTAATCCTAGGAACTTGTAGTTGTGGTCTACTATGGGGGATTTAGTGGTAGATCATCCTACTTTGCAGCGGGCTAAAGAGCCTATTGGGTCAATCCTAAGCTAAAATTAGTACTACCACACGTGAGATACCCGAGATCCAGAACGATAGGGGTACGTATAGTTACTTGTATGGGCTAGAATTCTTGGGTGTCATCAAACTTATATAAAATTTCTACATGTGGTGTGAGACGTGTCGTGATTCCCTTGATCTGATCGTGATACCATCATCGTACCTTCTTCTACTTCAGACCTCCTGCCTTGACGTTGACATACAGACGCGAAGAAGGACCACCTGTCATTGCACATGCCGTAAATCTTGGGACGTGATTGCCTGTTTACTAAAGTACGTAGATCGGCAGATAATCTAATTAACCTTTTTGTTTTTGCCTTAGTCCTCTCGTACTTTCCGTCATCATCCCATACCTTGGGTACCTTGGCGTGGAAAAAACATAAATTCACTAGTTTCCTCTCCTCGAATTCTAACATCGTTTTCTCATCATCACAACACATCCTAAGTCACAAGAAAGAACATAAAGTTCTACCTCTGCGCCACACAACCATTCTGACCCTATAATCCTCAATCTCTTCCTAATACTTCTCGATAATATCAACCTCATTCAACTAAAGTCACAATGAAGTGGCCCGTCAGCCTTCTCCCTCTTGGCCTTCTTGCCACTTTCGCCTCCGCTGCCCCGCTTGTGGAGCGACAACTCGACCTCTATGAGCTCCAGATCTCTTGGTAATTGCAAGCCATTCTTTATTACTATTGCTATCTTCCTTACCGTTGCTGACAATACCCGTAGCCCGGCTAACAAGAAAGTCGACGGCCGCTTCCTTTCGCTAAAGAACAACACATTGGGTGTTTTCGACGGAGAAGATGTCTCCCCCGTCAAGGTCTACACTGTAGACAGCGAAAAGCAGGGCTGCAATGAGCTACACACGTACCCAGTTGGCATCGTTGACCACTCTATTGGACTCATGGGTCCGCCTGATCTGTTGACCCTTGTCGACATGATGAACCCGCAAACCGTCAGGCCTGATGAAGGAGACATTGTCCAGTGGGACACTTTTAAGCTTGCGGACGGCAAGGTTACCAACAATGCCGAAGGACAATGGCTAGCATTTCCGAAGGGCCACGATACTTGGAAGGTCAAATGGACTGACGGTAAGTAGCAAAACGCATCCTAGGACTTAGATAGTTACTAACTGGTGTAGGTTCGGCTGTTATCACCACCGACTTCATGGTTGTTGACGTTCTACTTAAGAGTGCTGGCGAGGGTCGTTATAACGGGGACTAAATTAGTGGCCCATGTTGCTGGATGAGGACTACGGGAAAAGAAAAAGGATAAAAATTCCGTGATGCATGAATGAGACATAAAACATGTGGAGTACTGCTATTGGACTCGACTAATGCTGCATGGCCTAATTGTCAAATCCTAGGGGTAATAAAAGTTCAAGTTTGCCTTTAATTAATCTCTAGTTGAAAGACTAATGTGCTTATCATATTTGCTTTTTTGAATTACTGTAAGATAGTATTGTTAGGGTTTCTATCTTAAAGGTAGGTATTCCGTGCCGCTATTTGGTCAAAACAGTCTCGATATCAACTTCATCGTCAATAGCATATTAAGTACCGGGCTCCTGATAACGTTACTTGTTAATTGCTCCAACTCTAGGAGATAGTTTCATAAGACGGCATTGAAGAATACATACCTACCTATGTTACTGCGGTTTTACATATACTATTTTATAGCAATCATTAATTTGTTTTAGATAACTCTACCAATTTATTACACGGCCGTTTCTTATTCCTAGTTCAATATGTGGATACTATCGAATCATAAAACTGTTGACTAGTGTCTAAATAAACATACTGATGTGATATTTAAGCTTCCCATCTATTCCTTTATTCTTACTCCTTCGTCCTCTTATTTATAATCTAAAAAGGCCCTTTTAACACAAAGTAAGGTCGACTTTGTTTGAAAGGGGGCCTCGATTCTGCGTGATATATAGATCGTTTTCAATAACCTCAAACAGTTCTCACCCTGAAAATTACGCAATGTGGCTTATGCATATGTAGGCAGCAGAATAAACCGATTGGGTTCTTATAGAGCAGGTAACAATCGTAGTCTTATACGTAGGGCTGAACTATTCGCTCTTCTGATTTGCGGGCTCGGATTTGATCCCCACTCCTACAATCCTTGGACCTGCATTTCCAGCTGCGCCCCCCTGACCCCTGACCCCTTGAGCTTCGATTACCTAGGTAGGTTAAGAAATTCATAGATTTATCATTGCCAACATTGTTTAACGACGACATCAATCCAAACACCTCTCACGCCTCTTTATCTATCTAAGCGGGGCTTCACTTAGATTATCACAGGCTCGATCGGATCGAGCCCCGTTTACGCCTTTAGTTTCGACGTAGCTATTAACAACACTACTATGGCTCGTAAAGGCAGCACAAAGGTTAGGACGGGCTGCTTAACATGCAAGTACGTTGATCTCGAATATAACGATATTAAAATAATAATAATAATAATAACCGGGAAGCTAATAAGAAAAGAATCCGCAAAGTAAAATGCGACGAAGGCAAGCCGCACTGCCGGCGCTGTGTGTCTACTGGCCGGAAGTGTGACGGGTATGTGCAGGCTACAACCTCTTCGGATCTCACGTGGCACCGCCCGCGTCATTTATTCCCAGGAATCGACAATGTAGATGAGAGGAGAGCGCGTACGTAACATTGAAACGTCCCTTTACGCCCACTGACCTTTATTATCATGGGTCAGGACTCCCTAGTGGAATGTACTGGGGAATACTGGCCAAGACTGCTTAATTTTCATAAATGGTTTAGTTATAGAAGTAAATACTAACTCTTATGTCAAGTACAATTCTTCTGTCAGGCTGCCGGGCCCTCTCTATCGGGACCGATGGACCCTTACTTCTGGACCCATCTGGTAATGCAATTCAGCAATTTCGAGCCCGCTGTTAGACATTCCGTAGTAGCAATTAGTTCGCTTTACGAGCGTATGCAAACTCGGTCACAGTCTGCCCAACGGATGGTAGACAACAGATTTGCGCTTAGCCATTATAATTCGGCAATCCGAGAGTTGAAGTCTATGAACAACGAGCCCTTGGTGTTACTAGTGTGTATCTTGTTTGTATGCATCGAGTTTTTACAAGATAACCAAAGGGCAGCCATACAACATTGCAAACATGGAGTCTCTATCCTGAAGAATGCCGAGGCTACCTTTCCCTGGACTAAAGAGTATCTCTCTCCAATATTTCGGCGGCTAACCATCTTCCCCTTCTTCTTCGCGCTAGATGAAACAAGCTTTCCTAAACTTATCAATCTAGAAGACCAAGTTCCAGAATTGTTCGCTTCCTTTGAAGAGGCGCAATACTTCATCGATGGCATTTTACTTAGAACTATCCGCCTCGTTCGAAGCGGAGATTGTTACCGGCTTGGGGATATGCGCCACTGCCCTGTAAACCCAGATCTCCTAGCAGAGCAGGATAAGGCTCGGGTTTTACTCGATGACTGGAACGATCGCTTCTCGGATCTGCAAAAGCGTCCTTCGACACCTATAAGGCCGGAGGAGATGCTCTGTAGCATTTTTTTGCGGTATGAGGTTGCTCGAATATGGGTAGAAACAGCGTTCGAATACGACGAGACGACATACGACAAGTATATTGACAGATTTCGCTTGATGGTCGCTACAGCAGCCAAACTACATTCGTCGAAGGCTCTTGAGCCCGAAAATCTACGAAACACCCGGAAGTTCATCTTTGAAATGGGCTTTGTACCACTGCTTTACTATATCGTGATGAAATGCCGATGTCTAAAGACTAGGATCCAAGCGCTCTCTTTAATGAAAAGGCTGGGAGCCGCCAAGGAAAACCTCTGGGAAGTGTCTACAATGCATGCAGTTGGCCGTCGCATTGTTGAGATTGAACACGACGTTCTGCTAGATGAGAAAGATAACCCCTTTACAACGCCCGTTTGGCCTGATCTACCCCCTGATGAGATGAGAGTACGAGATTCTACCACGAGGCCTGCGCTTAGTGTACAGGTCGACGCACGGGACCAGGAGGTTAGAGGGAGGATGGCTGGGTTCTATAGGAGGACTGTCGAAGGTGATATATATCTTCAAACGGATTTCGTTGCTGAGATAATATGATGCTTGGGATGGTTTTTCTTGGAGACCAAGGCGAATCTAAGATTTAGATAAGATCGAAGATATAGTAATTACTTATAATAGAATTGCCTAGAACCAACTTGGTTAGGGAACAAACTGTTTATGATTAATTTAACCTCTAAGTCTAACATTTATTCATATGTATGATCAATTGCCAAGTTTCGAGCTAAAACTGATGGAGTTATGAGTATCTATCTGGTTGTGGCGGAGCTGTGTATTAATAGGACGCTTCCAAAACACTGATTGGCCAGCTCGGACTATGTAGCAGCCCTGGACTCAGCCATAGATCCTTGCCAGAGCCTTTAGCATTGTATGATAGATACGAAGCTACATTTGGTTTCATTGGCATATAGGAGTATATAAGAGTTAAGGGGAGGCCGTAGCCTACATCGTCTAAATAGAACCCAGACATCTTTCAACATTATAAAGCACTCTTAGAATCTAACTTCGTCACTATATTGTTGCTATTCGATACTATCTCCTTGCTAGCACAATAATAGGCACCCAATTCCAATGGCTACGCCAACGCTCATGACATCTGAAGGGCCTACCCAGACTATACAGGCAGCAATCAGACAAGCAACATCTATCGTGACGGACGCCCTAGCGAATACGGATGTATATTTCTTAACTACGCAACATGCCACGATAGATGGGTTTACCAACGCTCAAGCTACCGTACCGGCGAAGACAATCGACATCGTAATACCGACATGTATCCAGACGATAGAGGCAGACGCGAACGGATACCTTCCCCCAGGGACATGCAATGCCCTTTGGAGCTACTACCCGAGCTTCTCGGCCGCAATGGCCTTCACCATTATTTTTGGGCTCCTCACTCTCACCCACTTATACCAAGCAATAGCCCATAGGAAGGTAACTAGATTTCGGCCGCTGGTTGAAACCGAATGATACTAATACGACCTGATAGAAATTCTGCTGGGTCATTGTCATGGCTAGTCTCTGGGAAACGATGGCTTACCTATTTCGTACTATCAGCACTCGCTACCAGCAAAGTTCCGGCGTATATCTCGTGTTCCAGATCTTCATTTTGCTCTCGCCGCTGTGTAAGTAGACGCATGACTAAATTTGTCTAGTAAGCTCTGCTCTGCTTCTAACACGCCGTAATAGGGGTAAACGCATTCGACTATATGGTTCTTGGCCGAATGATATACTATTTCGTTCCTTCACGGCAGATATTCAATATACCGGCACAAGCAATAGCTGCAGGCTTTGTCACATTTGGTAAGGATTTCTCCCGCTTTAAGAGACGCTGCATATTTGGTGTGCTTGGCCCTCGAAATATTTCATGCTAATCGCAGACAAACGCTAGACTTTGTTGCGTTCGTCATTCAACTCGTAGGTGGCTCAATGGCTGGTCCGACGGCACCACCAGAGGATCAGTTGAAGGCCATCCATATTTATATGGGGGGTATCGGCTTGCAGCAGTTCTTTATAGTCATATTCGTTGCGTTTGCAGTTGGGTTCCAGCTGCAAATGCGTAACGTGAAAACTCCCGAAGCGACAACAACCGGGAATTTAAGCTGCCGTCCCTTATTATTCACGCTATATGCTACGTTAACCTGCATCACGGTAAGTATTCGGCACAAGTGTCACTTATAATTATTGCTAATGAGTTCATGAAGATTCGCATCATATTTAGACTGGTCGAGTTCTCGTCCGGCTCGACTGGCGTATCGAACCCCTTGGTGACCAACGAAACCCACTTCTATGTACTCGAGGCTGCTCCCATGATGTTAGCTATTCTCGGCTTTAACATCATACATCCGGGAAAGGTCCTCGTAGGACCTGAGTCTGAGATGCCTGGGTTTTTTGCGACCTGCATGGGCTTATTTCGGAAGAGAAAAGAAAGAGGACAATTCGGAAAGCTTGAAGGATCTGACAACGAAGAGATGGAAAATCTGCGGCCATAATAGGTTGGTCAACCAAGTCCTTCTTAGAACTGCGTATTAGAAGAGAGAGGTGGTCATGTATTGAAATATGGCCAAGGGGTACACCGAAAAATGTAGCCATATTTAGGCCTGTCTAATGAGATGGCGCTGTCCGATTCGTGGAGTAGTCTGTCGGATAACCCCAACTATCCGTGTAGCTTGGACATGCATACGCATTATGGAGGATCGAGCATCCGTCTCGCATGCCTGTAATATATTCAGAATAGCAGTTATTTCCCCGACGATCTCTAGGTGTCACCTTGGGGTACTTTACCTGAACCCCTCACCGTGTTTTGCTCCTGGATCTTTTCTTTACTTCGCTCGTCACAACGGCTCATATAATCTGATATAAACTTAATCATATATCAGAACACATATCCAAGCAATTAAGCACTTATAAGAGCCTCATTTCATATCTATACAAAATGACCTCAAGCTCTAGTGCCTCAAACGAACCGGCGAAGCCGTCTCCTCAGCTTTCCCCTGATCTGCCGAGCACTACCACGTACCTGACAGGTCACAATGACGAGGGAAAGGCAATTGTTCAATCGGCGCGGCCGGCAGCGTGGAAGGCCTTTGAAGGGGGTATTAGTACGTTTTTGCTTTAACGGCATCCCACCCTTTAGATTTAGACTGTAAACTGTCTCCGTTGTCCCGGCTCCGAACTCTCGAACGCAGATAATCTCGAGATTCGATTCCCTCGTTGAGCTCTTATATGTCACATATTCTAACCTACGCTGTTATCTGTTATAGTGGGTTTCAACCAGATTTATACCAACAAATTTCTGCCCGATTTGAACGACGATGCCGATATAAAATTCCACGACGAAATAATCGCGGGAGGAAACCTCGGATTAGCTACTAAAGGCGGGACTGTCTGCCGCATGGTCGACTTCGGGCCGCAATATGAGTGTATGATGCACAGAACCAAGTCGCTGGACTTTGGTATATTGATCGAGGGAGAACTGGAATTGAAACTAGATGACGGCAGTATCACGAATATGAAGCGCGGTGATATAGCAGTTCAGCGAGCAACGATGCACGCCTGGCGCAATCCTAGTACCACTAATTGGGCTCGTATAGTGTTTGTGCTTCAGGATACGCAGCCATTGTTTATCGGAGGGAAGAAATTCGGAGAAGACTACGGTAGAGGTACTAAAGACCTTCCGCCGAGTGGAAACGACGAGGAATAAACTGGATGATGCCTCTTGCTAGAAGCGAGAAAATGAGGCTTGATAGGTAGTCAACATATCTTATCTTACTTATGAATAGATGTAGATAGTTGATATATAAATTGGAAATTCGCAAATAATGTGTAATGTGTAATGTGTTGATGTGATGTGTAATTGTGATAAAGCGAACTACTTAAAAAGGGTAGCTTTGCTGCTTTAATGATCGAATTCCCACCCCACGTACGCCATTGGTCAATTACATGTAGCGTAAATCGACAGCGGAACGGTCAAACTTTCAATCGCTACCCCGCCGTCGGGTACCTTAATTGTAGTATCGATTAGAAGTTAGGTATGTACTTCCGGCCTGTTAGGTATATGGTACTTAGGTTTAGGTACTGCAAGGAAAGGAAGCTACAGGCTGCTGCAAGCTTCTAAGTCGTTATCCATCAGTCGATTTTATTGCGAACGTCAAAAATTTATTATCGGCGACCTATGATAAATGTGACGGCTTGAAGAATATACGCCATTCCACCTCGACAAACACCATAAGATTGCCTAACGAAGTTAATCCCGATTAAATACGCCTGTACAAATACGCACACAAAATTATGGCTATAGACTACAGCCCGCGCAGCGTCGCCGACGCTACGCGATTTACGTCTAATACCCCCCATGCGAATGCGAAAGCCGCATCCCGCTCTCCTCCGTCGTCAAGCAGCTCTTCTCCCTCCACTACCTCATCACAGCCAACCCAGAGAAGTATGCCGCCGCCCGGCATGCCCAGGCCTTCGGCGCCGGAGACCATGGAAGAGCGCGTACGTCGGTTGCGGGCCGCACATCTCGCGGCGAGGAAGCATGAGACGTCGCGGTTTGACCGTGTTGTCGACGTATCCAGGAGGTACTTTGATGCCGCTCACAAGTTTACTGTTTTGGGTTTGATCGGATTTAGCGGTAATGTTCTTTTTTATATTCCTATCATGATTCTGGTTCTGTGTAATATATATATATATATATATTTATTCTCTGGTTTTTCGTACCCTGTTCTAATTGTTATATGTTTGAATAGGCCTTGCACTCTTTGTCACAGTCTTCGCAACAGCCGATATGATGGTATACAACCGCAAGCGCCGCAACGAGTTTTTCGCTCTCCAGAAGCAACTTAAAACTGACAGCCTAGAAGCTGCACGTCTAGCGTACATGACGGGCACAGCATCCGAGGAACAAGTTAGGCTTGTAGATGAAGCTGAGGAAAAAGCTAGACAGTCAGGCATAAGCCTACCGCCCTTACTATCATCACCCAAGCCAATTGCTTCGGAAGCGGGCGCAATTGAGAGCACGGAGAGAAGCGCCTGGCCGGGAGAGTCTATGACCGAGAGTAGTATGTCTGCTGCGAACGAGGTGGAGCAACCCAAGAAGAAGGGCATCACTTCGTGGTTATTCGGCGGGCTAAAGAATGAAGAGGCTAGCGAGGAGCCCTTACAATTTGACAAAGAAGCCGCGGCTGCGTCGGGTCTGCCTTCGCGGTCGAGTATCGCAAATGCGGTTGACGAGTCGCAACAGGCGTTAAAGGACAAGGCGAAGGCAGCATTCGATCAGGAGCGGGAGAATCAAAGGAATGGGGGACCTCTAGACCAGATCGGTTCGAGCGGGAAGTCGACTAGTAATGCAACCAAGAAGAGCGGGTGGTGGTAGTGAGGTTGACAGAAACTATTACCATGATCTTCAACAATGTAGGATCGGCGAAGTTAAGAGGACGGTGGCAATTGCCATATAAGCCAACCGGCTGCAATACTCCGCTGTATATAGGCTACCAACGACGTTTATATCGAATATGGCATGAGTTTGGTATACTTGTTGATGAGAAGAATATCGGTGTATCATTACCGTATGAAAAGAACAGAGCATTAGACTGGGCGTACTGGACGATAAATGAGTATTCTACTGTATAATTCCTAGTTCATTAGTTCACCTCCCAATCCAGCATGCATGTACTTAGCTTAGGTACCTAGGTATGATTTCCCCGAATCTGAAGTTTTTGGATCAAGTTATAAGTTGGAGGCCGTCGTATTTAAATTTAAAGGCGCAACAATATGTAATCCCACCACTCACCACGTGCTTATTCTATACTCCTTAACGACCTATTTTCGGATTTACCTTTTAAAGGCTTTTATCTCGAACGACTACTTTGCCTCCCATTTGTCCGACAACTCCACTCAAGGCAATGCTCTTGGTACAGAGGATATTCAATATCTGAGCTAGCCCTCAGCTTAGTTCAGCTTTTTTGCCTTTGAACGCCAATGACACCATAATCTCCTTAACGCAAAAAATAGAAAAGGGAGAAACAGAGAGAAGGGTAATTATAGACTTGATGTAAAGATCCCATGTCTCCTCAGCTCCTGATTTATTTACCCTCGAATGAATGCACATATTTTCCCTTGAGGCCAATAACCAATGACTAAATGCAATAACGACCGTAAAATTGGGTATTGGCGTAATGAGCGAATGACATATGCAGGCAACAAGAAAAATAGGGTAATGATGAACGAAACTATAACACAAAAAAAGCCACGTGGGTTCACTATAGTGTAATGTTTGTGTTTCGGGCGGAACATCTTGAAATACAAGAAAAAAGCCATACTACTGAGCTCCAAGGTAAGCCACGTATCATTACCGTTTCTACTATCATAATAGTAGGATCTAAGGAAAGAACTTGGGGACCTGCTTCGCCCTTATAAGTTCGTCAAGTCCAAGCTACTGATGGTAAACAGCGTCTGAACAGGGCCTGATGCTCCTCATAAAAGAAAAGGATAACTGTCGAAACCTCGAGTGTATCTACTACATCCAGAGGGTTGCCTGGAATATGGCCCACGTATTTCCCACTAGGAGTTGGAAAAATGATATTTGAAGACGTCTTAATATGTGATTTATCCTTGCTCGTCTCCTTTTGGGAACGTTCATGTTAAGGTAATATCTCGTCTTCGGCAAACCTTATCATATCCTCAAGCTAGGTGCGTAGCTCAATGACAACCCTATGCTAGCTATGCTAGGAGATAATAATGTGGTTAAAGTGACCCGGAATCTTCATGCGGCACTTCTCGCAGTCAGCTCGGTAGCCTATACTGAATGACTTCTTCATGCCGGGTTGGAGTGTCCAGTTATTGACGGTATGTTTGCTACGTGAATGGCCAAACTTGCCTCTTGGCGACGGTGTAGCTGGCGCCGAGGAGGGGGATGATGCGGGATCCGTATCCATCATACCGGTATCGTTGTCGATGACTTGAGGGATGGTCTGGATATTGGGGTGGAGAGCCATGGCGTGAGGGTTTGTTGAACGAGGCATATGAGGTAAGTAAGGTCTCTGGGGCTGAGACGACGCAGAGTCCAGCACCATACCTGGGCTTACTGGCATATCTTCGCCGCCACTCTCACTAATAGGAGACGGGAGACGTCGGTTTTGGGCCATGGACCATTCAATAGCACCACCTAGAGATCTTGGTACCGAAGATTCGTCATGTTTCGTAGGGAACGGCTGAGTGTGCGCAAAATCACATTCATTATCCGGTACCATAGCATTGCTCGACCGATTTGTTGCATGCACTGTTTGGTTCATCGGGCCCCAGCTCTGTCCTCGCACTTGCGCTGCAAAAGTACAATGTATGGGGGTGGGTAACCGTCCGGTAATACTGGCGTTGAGGGAGTCTGCTTGGGACGGGCCAGGTTGGAACGGTTCGGACGAGGAATCCATCATCATGTCCATGTCCCTATCGATGTCCATGGGTGGATTTGATTGTTGCAGATGTTGCATATCTTCTGAGTCGGATTCGGTCGGTGTGATAGTGGAAGGGGGGATTGTTGCTGCAGTTGCTGCCGCCGCCGGAAAGCCCGGTGGTCCTGGCCATCGTTTCTGTGTTGGAGAAGTGCGCAGAGGAAGAGATTGTAGACGTTTCTATTCGTAAAGGTTAGGTTAGCCGTGACTTGTTGAGCTGCGCGAACAAGATCGTAGTGTCGCATGAGTTGCTATTGATAATCGCGAGTAGCGTATGAATCAATATTGTTAATACTAACATTACGGTGCTCGGTAAAGCCCAAAGTCCCATTCATACCGTCTCCCGTGTTAACCTGTGTACTGTTGTATTGCTCCTCATCTTCCCTCTGGCGTTTCCGTGGAAGCTCCTGCCAGTGAGGGTCAAACATGTTTATTATCGGAGATAGCTAGGTAGTGAAGATGCCGAAGAAGAGAAATCAAAGACTGAAGCGTAAGGAAGACCGAACTATGCTCGAACGCTGTCGCCAATTAAAAGCAGGAAGGGTGATAATATCAGTTTGTAAAAGAGGCCAGAACTAGCAGGCCGAGGGGCTGTGCCGAAGTGATTGAAATATTATATGTCAATTGTACGATATGCCGCAGTGCCAGGCTTCGGCGGGGGGGATGACGGAGGTGGGAATAGGAATGGGGAATCGAGACTGGAATCTTGGTTCGTGGCTGGCTCCAGACCGACGGTGCTCTTTCAGTCGTTGATCAACCATTTATGGAGGAAGAATAGTCAAATGGCTGGTAGTTTTCTTCTCGAAACGAATCCCCAAATAGCTTCGACCTTACCAGTCAATAGCAGATTATACATATAAACAAAACGCACGAAGCACATGCTCGAAGATCAAAGAAAGGAGAAAGATGTTAAAAAGATGTAAGAAGACAACAACCTGCAATAATTCGCCGGTGACGGTGCTTGCCTCAGCCCAAGTTTCCGCCAGTTCCAAAGCACCTGACGATTGTGGGGATCTAAGTCCAATGCTCTTGCTCTTGCAGGGGGCGTCCTTTGCAATGGATCATCGCATCAGGGACGCCAGCCTTGTGTATTCTGTGCGTAAGCCATCTACTTAGGTACATCATATGCATGTACCTCAGTTACGCCCGTACTCAAGACACTTAGGTACCCAACCGCGTGCATAAAGCATGTACGTAATTTGCACAATATATTATTATGCAAGACTCATAAATGCTTTAGGTGGATCTTTATACATAACTTAGCATTTACAGATCATGTAACACGAGTAACAGTAACACAACGAATGACATGACCAGAATTGCACTAACATTTGAATTATTATGTACAAATGCAAGTACCTAGGTCAAAACCAATGCTCTTTATTTCCCTCCTCTTTCTTTCTTCTTGTGTTAGTTATATTATCTTAATTCCACCTTAACAATATCAACTATTCTCTCTCTATAGTTGAATAGTTCAAATAAATTATAAGGCCCTTGATGGACGTTGCATAGATCTGTCCAGTTGCTTCGTTTCGGATACCCCTAAATGTCTCTAACTGTCTGAGGACTCTCTGACTAGCCCGCCTGTCTTGGTAGGCGTCTAGCAAGGGCATGAGATAGAATTCCACCGGCGGTCTTTTATGTTCCTGCGACTGGAGAGACATCATACCCTGATCTTGAACGGGTGGTTGCAGCGATGAGATACAAGGCATGTTTCACGATCGATGCCACCGCAGCCAAACAGGTATGAACCAGCTGCCCCGCTTTAGTAGCAGTCCGGCCGGGTATTGTCGACGACTGGGTTGCGACATCGCGTGTGGTTCTGTCCGACTTAGTCGGACTCCAATCCAGTGGTTTGAGCTACTACCATATAATGAAAACTACTGTATGACGTGGTATCCCGATCTTGCAGGATAGTAAATGATGATATAGCGCAAGAGCTTCAGCTCTATGTGTTGAGAACTCATATTAACACGTATGTACGGCTCTTTTGTCTGTAGTGCTTAGAATTAGGCTCTTATTATGTGGCTTTTTGTCTCCTTGGTGGCGCTTTTACATTGAGTCTTTATTCTTCATAACTATACCTTGGCCAAATTATTTCATAAGGCGCCTCGAGTAGGGTTATTATAGTACTCTGGCATTTTGATGCTATCCCTATACCTATAAGAGAGTCTAGAAACTTACCCGTCCCATAATGTTATATTCAGTGTACTGTGAAAGTCAACAGGTGCAGGTGGTGGGGTTGGCAAAGCGTGCCGGATAACAATGTCCAGTAGTCTCTCGGCCTCATCCTCCTCACTCCGTTCAACTTGCTCCTGCGGGCTCGGATACTTCAATCTCCTTTCCGAGCTCGCATTGCCTTCTTCATTTAGAGCCCAGTTTAGCCAAGCACTAACGATGAGGCAACATGGATAAAATAGAGTCACGAAACCTGTCAAAATCATGATATAAAACATCACGTAGGAGATGACCACTAAGACCCATTTGCTGAATAAAGAAAGCCCCTCGTATGGCATATTATTTATTACCTAGCAAAATTAGCTATTTCTAGGAATTATTATGTATAACCGGCCCGGTTTACTACGGATAATCCAGCGTCTTGAGGAGGCCGGCTTTGTGGGCGGGTATACCACTTATGTACCTGGGTATGTTTCGGTAAGTTGAGTTTCTATATCGCCACAAAGTAATTGTATTCATATACAGCAACGTACAATGGCTAGCAAATACTAGTTAATTCAATCATTCAAAGAACATGTACTCTACTCGATAATTAATGTTTTGCCTTCACATGATCTAGGGTCCTTAGTCTTCATTGCATGTTATTGTTCATCATCACATATACCTATGATACCTTTGGCGGGTTACTAACAGCAACCGACCCAGCGTGTTAAGTGATGACTAATTATCCGAGTGGTTAATACTTGGATAATTCATTCGAGTCTGTTCCCTTGTTTCTACTGCACTGGTAAACATGGAGCTGGAATGATTTGTGGATTCAGGACATCCCATATAATAACCCTTGACCGAGCTAGTTAAGCCTGACTGCTTATACGACAGTAGCATTACCCCCAAAAATATCCAGAGGGAATTGGTCGGCGATCGCCTGGTATCCAGCAACGTTGGGGTGTAGATGATCGCCGCCATCGTACTGAGAGGCTAGGTTAGCGGCGTTGGAGGGGTTAGCCACGATCTTAGCAAAGTCAATCGAAGCATCAAAACTGCCATCTCCACCTCCTAGAATCCATTTATTCACCGTCTGCCTCGTTTTATCTCTCGTTGGGTTGCTATAGCTCTGTCCGTTTCCGCCGAATGGTGTGATTGTTGCCCCAAAGACAGTCAAGCCGGCTGCCTTCGCATCCTTGGCAATTGTCGTGAAGGACGATGTTAGACTACTTCCGATACGTGATTGTGTTCCCGAGTCCGCAGATCCTCCTCCGATGTCGTTTACACCTTCGAAAATGAGAGCGTATTTAACACCGGCAGTTGTGAGTAGATCGCGCTTGTAACGCTGCATGAGCGGTGGGCCAAGACCACCGGTAAGAACGGTATTACCGCCTGCTGCTTGGTTGCACACGGCGACGTTGGTGATTCCTTCTTTCTGCATCCGAGCTAGAAGTAGGTCAGGCCAGCTGAGAGTATTTGTTAGCGAGATTCTTAGCTATAATGAAGATCCTAACTATACCGGTTGTTGGCATTATCAGTGCTTCCTCGCCCATCCGTGATACTATCGCCGAGAATCACCAGAGCGGCGGTCGTCTTTGGGGCCCAGGCTTCGACAGCAGTGAGAAAATACCAGTGCGCCGTGCTCGCTCCCGTCACAGTCGAGGCATTAAGGTGATTACCCTGCTGCATCCAAGATGTCGTTCGACTGCCTGGGTGCCCAGTAATGCTATTTCCAGATTGGCCAGGTTGCGAATAGAGACTGATAGTAATCATGGCCTGCGGGTCAACTTTGAAGTCCACAGGGTCAGTGTAGGCAACCTGACCCCTCGGGATCGTGACCGAGCTAGAGCCATTAAAAGTAAGACCCTTCAATGTTGCCGTATCGATTCCATCCACGCCCGCTTTGCCTCCTGTTGGAAGGGCTATAGATGCTTCTGTGATAGGAAGGTCACTGCCACCGAAAGTATTGGAGATCTGGAAGCGAAGCCTTTCTGCACCTATAGACAGGTGAAGCGTCTGGCGAAGGGTGGCATCCTTAAACGCGGCCGAGCCCGACTAAACTCGCGGTTAGATGGTTAATGCGCGACTCGCAGAATAAGAAGTGTAGAACATACGAATGGGGATGGCGGCATATTATTAGGTTCCACCAGCTGCGGCATTGAGGTCCATGTTGCTACCCAATGAGAATATTCATCCTGTCGGGGGACATTATAAGTAGGGCGTGCACCAATACATACCGCCCACCATAGTAACCAAGTGGTCAGTATTGAGAATCTAAGGCTGAGGCTTCTCAGCATACATGAAGATGATACGAATGTCATATTGGCGATAAATAATAAGGAAACAAGCGCCAAGGCACAAGAGAGATCTGTGATATCTCCATGGCGGCAGCTTTGATACTTATTACCATAAGGGCAAAATGTAACCGAGGTTTAGAGCGACGGATAATATACCTCCGCCGTTATTTTGCCTTGTTTTGCCATGTTGCTATATTGCTATTTAGCCGTAGGGCTGGTTCCTGAACACTTAATCAAAGACAGCCTAGCTTGTATTTGAAATATATGGCAGATTAGTAGGAAACGAAGGCTGAAGTCAATAGAAAGTCCAAAGGACTGTAATATTACGAAATGAAAAAGTATGTAATACGATGAAACAATCATTTAAGATACGATATGACAATAAGATATGATATGCAGACGGGAACAGCTTTGTCGATTTGTCGATTTGTCGATTTGTCGATTTGTCGATTTGTTCAATCTTATAAGAGGTAGAAGATATCTCAATCGAGTCCCCATAATCCAATGACATCAGTATAGACTTATAAGCGGACATCGGAGGATATGTTAACAAGAGAAGATACGAACTCTTATGCTGAGTTCTATTCTTATATACTTGAATGTTCATATGTGAGTTCCAACTTGAGACCTTAGTGGACGTGTTATGAACATAAGTAGCCAGTAGTATGCCAGCAAGACTCCACGAGCTCATACGAGGGCGGTGTGATAGGAGTTTCGTAACTATTGGTGCGGCATCAATGCGTCCATCTTACGATTTCGAAGAGACGAATAACGCCGCCGTGAGGGGACCAGAAAGAAAAGAAAAAAAAAGTTTTCGGAATAAGGATGGAATATGGAGTTAGTGCAAAGTACTATGTACGTAATACCCAATTGGGGATAAGCGATAAGTAATGTATAGGGTAGTAGTACCCCTCCATTCGTCAAACACCCCGCCTTCACCTTACGAACATTAGGACATTCAATATTGCATATTGCAACTACGTAACTCAGAGGTACCTTGGACCTACCTTACACACGTGTTGTACTAACTTCAATATTGGTTAAAATTTACTATTGGTTTAAACACCTTTCCTATCGTACCTTAGGTACCTAACCTAAGGTAGGTGGTAGCTTCTTATTCTTCGCCTTGCATACATGGTGCCGACATCTTCATAGTCAACTTCAACTTACCTGTTTTTACACCAGCTCACCAAGAAAGTTGACCAATTCAACTATCTGGTTTTAATACTGGCTAGGTTTTCTAAAGGGACTTTGGAAATTGGGACCTAGGAGACCGGAACAAGGAATTGAAGCATTAGGAGAAATATTTGCATTTCTCTTATCATCAAATTTTCTTCGTCCTTTTTTAAAGAGTCTGACTCACCTCAAATCGACGGCTCTGATATCGCACACCACGCATCTATCCGCTGCTCGGATTGTCCGTAGCAAACAGTTCTTATTGCGTCCCTCGATCCTTGGGTGCTTACTTATTTACCATCCCACCAATCGAGTCTTCTTACATACTCCCAAGTACTTTGCTCACCCATCCATTACGATGCCAGGTGTCGATATGGCGCCCCTTGTGGCCGACGACATGAGAGGTACGTTAGACAATAAGCAAACACCAATCTTCATTTTACTAGATTCGTGTCATTGCGCCCCGTTCCGTTTCCTCTCGTCGCTCTTATATTCAGATCTCGAGTGCCTCATTCGCGTACAACTCGAGAGCACCCGTCCCCCCTTTACTGAGTCATACGTACTCGAAGATTGTTTGTGTCACAGACGAGGAAAAGAGACAGGATGCTGATTTACTTGGAAACTGCAGTCCTAGGACAGGACCCTCTCATCCCGCCGGCATTGCTCATCTCTGAGATCCCCATGACTGATGCTTCCTTGCAGACGGTCGTTAAGGGTCGAAGAGATGCAGTTTCTATCATCATGGGCCGCAATGACCGCCTCTTGGTTGTTGTTGGACCCTGCTCTATTCACGATCCGGCTATGGCGCATGACTATGCTCAGCGTCTTAAGAAGCTTTCCGAGAAGCTGTCAGACGATTTATGCATCATCATGCGTGCCTACCTCGAGAAGCCGCGGACTACCGTAGGCTGGAAGGGTCTCATTAATGATCCCGATATCGACAATAGCTTCAAGATCAACAAGGGTCTTCGTATATCACGACAGATGTTCAGCGATCTAACTAACGCAGGCGTACCGATTGCCAGCGAGATGCTAGATACCATCTCGCCCCAGTTCTTGGCCGACTTCATCTCCGTTGGTGCTATTGGTGCTCGTACCACCGAGTCACAACTACACCGTGAACTAGCGTCTGGTCTCTCATTCCCCATTGGCTTCAAGAACGGCACTGACGGCAACTTAAATGTTGCTATCGACGCTATCGGAGCGGCGGCTTCTAAGCATCATTTCATGGGTGTCACCAAGCAGGGTCTAGCAGCCATCACACGAACAAAGGGGAATGAGCACGGCTTCGTTATTCTTAGGGGTGGTAGCAAGGGTACTAACTATGACAAGGAGAGCATCCAAAATGCTAAAGAAACGTTGATCAAGAAGGGACAGAAGTTGGCTATTATGGTCGACTGCTCGCACGGTGGGTTACATTCGTCCCACGAGACGCATAGTGCTAAGCTAATAATTGAATAGGAAACTCGAATAAGGATCACCGAAACCAGCCCAAGGTTGCTAAGGTCATCAGTGACCAATTGAGAGAAGGTGAAAAGGCCATCATTGGTGTCATGATCGAGTCCAATATCAACGAGGGCAACCAGAAAGTCCCGGCGGAGGGACCGTCAGGACTGAAGAAGGGTGTAAGCATCACCGACGCCTGCATCGATTGGGATAGCACAGTCGAAGTCCTTGAAGATCTCGCAGCTGCAGTCCGGGCTCGGAGAGAGAAGAATGGCGCGCCGAATGCCAACGGCAGCGAACAAGAGCCCAAGACTACTCTCATTGAAGAAGAATAAACCCCCAGATGGGAGCACATGATCTATGAACATCATTGATTTCGGGCGCATCAAAAGGTGGCATTTGGCTTCAAGTAAAATCAGTTGTGGGCAAAAGAAGCGGCCCCAACCTATATGTGAGGATTGGTGGCTATCGTGGAGGTAGGTAGGTATCCGGAAAATCAACTCAACGATCTAGGAACTTGATTGGGAAAACACAAAAAAAGACTAGACGTTAGTATAATTTATAGATGATCCCAAAATCAGACAAACGCGTTTGATTTCTCGCTCGTCAGATCACACTTAGCTTGTAGTATAGTATTGACTTCAATGTGTACACCGATGTACTTCGATATGAGAACCGTAGTATCTCTCTGTATGACTCCTCTAGAGCCTCCCTAAACGCCATTTGTAATGTCAAAGTCTCAATATTTTAGACCAAAATTCATTCACCGATATCAACCATGCTCTTTCTTTTCACCTATTCAGTCCTTGCGTATCGTCATTGCCAACAGGCATATATACACCCCTATCCTGGGCGGATCCTCGCCCACCTCTACTCCCTGTGCCAGAGCCTCCCAATCCTAGAGCGGCAGCTTTCTTCCCTTCGCGGAACTCGACAACTCTTTTAGCAGCAGCCCAACCCAACAGGCTAATGGTACCTAGTATAAAACCCCAGACGATGATCTGGTCCTTGCGGCTATCGCGCTGGAAGCAGGTAGTGATGACGTCGGTCTCCTCGGCATCCTTGCAGATAGGGAGGTGTTGCGAAAGGCAGAAAGCTCGGGTACATTGGGTGCAAGAAGCTGATGCGGCGCGCTCTTGGAGTTGCGGTGACGCCGGGTGTTCGGGTTTGCCGAAGGATGAATCGCCTTGCGGACCGAGTTGTATTAAGGTGCTATTCTTGAAACAGGTGCATTTACAGAATGTCGGCGCGGCTGCGGTTAAGACGTACAAATCAGCATGGCTAATAGGATAAGGGCATGAACATGTGTTTATCAAGCTAGGCTAGCTTACAGGAGGCGGCGACATAGGAGATGAAGATCCCTATAAAAAGGGTTAAGAGATGAAGTCGCATCGTGTCGCGATCATTGACTGGCCATGTATATCTGATGTCGTAGCTAATGGAGTTGCTTATACATAATAACCCATCTGCACCAGAATCACCAATACCTATCTTAAACTACATGTAATAAGGTGAGTTGCGATTGATGCGAGCGACGACACTAGGAACGGAGCACATGCTTGCGCCGATAAGGCGGTTGTCAGATAAGTAGGTACATCGAAAGTAAAAAGCTGCCAGGGTACGCAATGTACCTACCTATGTACCTAACCTGTGGCTTTAAGTCTCCACAGAGCCCCACGAAACTGTACATCGGTACTTGGCAATTTTGCAGCTAAGCATCGCGAACCTTATCTCAGGTGACCTCAGACCCGATATTTTCGAGTCGGGCTGCGCCCGCCTTGCGCCACGCAACGCGTGGTCCATGTGTTTATACCTATGGGTTACGGGCAAAGTATTCGAAAATATTTGGTCTAAAGCTATGCCCTGAGTTTACGAAGGGTTATTGTGTCGATTTTTTTTTCTATGGGAGCTCGTCCGGATTAGGAAATAGAAATTGCCTATTTGGGATTTGAGAATTACCGGAGTAGGAAGGACCCTGGTCGATTCGGTAGATGTTGATTGGGTGCATCTTGAAGGAAGTGGAGTTTTGGTCGATTTTTAAGCGAATGACAAGCCACGGCCACAGCCAAGGCCACAGCCAAGGCTAGCCACAGCTACGAGGCTCCTGGATGTGGCTTGTGCGGCCGAAGGCCGCCTATGGGATACCGGGTCGGCGGAGCGTTTCGGCTTCGCCGAAACGCGGAGACCGACCCGCTTACGTAGCAGGCAAAAGGGACAGGTGCGAGGTCCAGGAATCGAATCGTGGACCTGGCGATTGGTGTATGGTATGGCTATGTGGCTATGTGGCTATGTGGCTGTTAGTCACGGGGATGGTCACGGGATTGTCACGTGATAATACTGGCGCATTACGTAAACTCAGGGCTATTGTGCAATCCAGCGGGGTTGCCTCTTGTACTATATTGCAGGGGTCTTTGACGTTTTTATTAGTGATGAAAAAATCAAACATTACATTTACAATAACTTAATATACCATAATAACGTACGAAATAGCTTTAATTTTAATAACTTAAAATTAATAATATATTTAATTTATTTTTTTATTTTTTTTATATATTTGTACGGTATTACGTTTTTATATATTAAATTTTAATGTTTAAAAATTTTTAACGTTTTAATTATTTAAATTTTATATAAAATATTTAAATATAATAATTTAATATTTTATAATTATATATAAAATCTTTTTTTATAATAACTTAAAATTATTGCTTAAACTTTTTAACTTTTTTTATATATTTATAATTTTTTATATTAAGTTTTAACATTTATTACAATTATTATTACGGTTATTATTGCGGTTAACGTTATAACCGGTGTTGCGACTAGTATTATAGTTAATATTAACCATTTTTAACACTTTAAAAAGTTTAAAACGCGTAAATTTAATTAATAAATTTAATAAAAAAGTTAATAACTATTATATAATTAATTATTATTTACTATAAACGCGCATTAATACTATTATTTTAATAATTTTATTAATGTTATTGTTAATGTTGTTATTTTAAAACGTTAGACGTATGATTTTGGTATGCGGGGTCCTAAAGCTGCCTCAGACCACAGATTCGATGTTGTTTTAGGGGGTTGTTCCGGGTTTTGATTGGTTGAAAAGTGGTGTGGCTAGGGGAGGTACAACCCCACGAACGATATCGAATTTGTGGTCTGAGTTTACTGAGATAACGCGAACCGAAAAAAGTTCAAAGTTCAAAGTTCACAGCTTCTATCAAACATTTGAAGTCCACTTGCGAATTAGATATCCTCTAAGCCGGACAAGTTCACCACAGCCTCACCAATTAGTCATAATGCGGCGGATACCACGATTAAGACGACCCTCCGGCCTGTCTGCCTCGGCGCCATGCTCTTCAATTACTCCTCTAGTTGGCCAATGTGCGCCGGTATCCCAGACTATCTCGACCTCGTGCCGCCGGCCCATACCGACGACCTTCCAAAGTCCTTTATCCCTCCGGTTCTACTCAACCGATAAGCAGCCGAGCACACAGATCCAGAGCCAGAGTTCTGCTCCTGAAACCGAACAAGCGCACAAAGAAGAGCTTCAGGAGCTAACCGAAGAGGTTATAGAAGAAGCAGAGTATCTTCCGCCGCAGTGGAAGGCATATATTCCCCCACCTCGACGTAGCTATGCCGAACGGTTGGACGACGTCTCAGATTCCAGCTATGTACCTGCTTTGACGGCGGACGGCTTGGATATGGTTGGCGGATTGAATAACTGGTGGGACCAACCGCAACATTGGGCCTCTGATTTCGTCGGTTTCAAGCCGCTGAATCCGGTTCTCGACCCCGCCGTTCTTGAGACTTCGGTACGGCGAGCTGTCGTGGAGGCGTTTGCGCTGAAACAGGCGGGGCGAGAAGACGAGCTGATAAAAGCTTGGCCGATAGCGGGGGAGGATGAATTACATCGCCTCTTGAGCGTGGAGATCAACGTAGCAAAGGACGGCGCTGTGTCGCTGACTGGGGATGTGTCCGCGGTAGTAGGTTCGCTGGTCCGAAAGAGCGATCCTGCTGTGACCAATGAGTCCACTGAGGAAAGCACAAGTGTGCCGGTGCTCTCAGCAGAAGAGGCCCAGAAGTATAAGGATGCTTGGAGTCATGGATGGAAGGCCGTGTCTCTGTCGGACCCCCGAATTAAGTTCGCTGTAAGTTCTGCCATGCTAGAGTTAATATGCTCTCCCGTCGAAATGAAACATATTGGGATATATGAGATTAACATGGTGGATCCTAGATCACAAAGCGAATATTCCAGCTCACCGGGCAACTGGTCCACGACCACCAGCTATCCAGCATCACAGACGTCCGGTCACTGCTGCATGCGGTGCAAAAACCGCCCAAGCTCAAGACCCTGACCCAGGAGATCCAGGAGCGCCGGCAAGACCTCGTGCAGCTGCCCAACGTGTCCTTCGCGACGAAGCGCATTACGCGCGGCGACAGGGAGAAGGCGGTTGGACGATTCAAGCTCATAGAAGAGGAGCTGAAGAAGAGAGATCTGCCTCTTGTGGGTCATGGGTTTGTTCGGAAGAATAGGGAGCTCTCGCGGCTTAAGGGCGGAGTCTAGTATCTGTTCCCATGCGAGACGCTATGTATCAGTATGTCGAAGTGCAATATCTACCAACTCTGGCCTTGTACATATAGAACAACAATACAGTATTGCAATCGACTACGTGCAGAAACACAAAAATACCTTATAATGTGCCAATGGTTCATCTAACTTATTCGGAAACAGTCATGATTTCGAGTAGTAGACAGAAGGCATGACAACGATCCTCTTGAGGGACCTAGCTAGCTGGCATCTTATCAGACGTGCAATTATGACGCGGGGAGAAGACTCTAGATAGGTCTCTCCCCTATTATATAGGTATATATGCATACACATATATGAGTGTATTCAAGCGGTTATTCTTAAATGTGGTAGTGAGGAGTTATATAGTATCTATCATATGAGGGATAAACAGGCAAAGTACAGCAATTATTAATATCGACCTCTAACAGGATATAAACAAGTATAGCAGTAAATTCTATAAACTTTTACGAGTAATGTAAACTATTTGCTCGCTTGAGGGCGTGTTTGTATACGGGCGGGCCAGTCTATATACCCCATCCGCCTAAATCCCCCATCTAAATCTAGAATAATCGACATTTACATAAGATAATATTTACTTCTAATAGCGCCCTCGAAAAGTCCAACCCGGCATGCTGGAGAACAGAATTTTGAACTCGACGTAATCAGGCTTACTCCGTGAGGTTGACATTGTCAGCTGATTGTAGCTGTTGAATTTTCGAGTCTGCATGCTCCTGGCGATCCTGCACATCTGCGAGCTGTACTCTTCTCCTCGCGTCGATGTACATCATATACTCTTCGTACGTGTCTGAGATATCGAGTTAGTTGCATATCTATAGGGGAGACTCAAAAAAGAGGAAGTAGATAGCCGATTAGCATGACCTGGAAAGGTGGTGGTGATGAGAAATACGGAATAAAAGTACACATACGTGGTAGAACCTTGACGTCCTTGGGGACTGAGAAGGTGTAATTAAACTGGCCCGTCGGCCTCGCGTTCCCATGCTCGACATCTCTCACCTTACTATCCACCCTAACATGCAGCCGCGTAACCGGGTTCTCCGGGTCATTCTGCCGGGGCTCGCTGCCATCCTCTTCCAGCAACGGCGGGTCCGTATACACGATCGTCGCAGTCAAGTACAAGACACTACCGACCGGAACCGGGTTCCGGAAAGTACACGGATCGGCGCTGATGAACGTGGGGCGGGCGTGCGCGAAACTCGCCGCGCAGCAGAACGCCAGCTCGAACGTCTGCTTCAGGTGGAAGCCGCCGAAGATCATGGTCTGGTGCCGGTTGCGGTACTGCGGCTGCATGATGGACGCCGTCGAGAGCTGCGTCTTGGACATGGCGAGCACGTTGCCCGGCTGCCGGAGGTGGTTGTTCGGGTCGTGGTACGCTAGTTGTCGGAGCCAGATCTTGTGGATCAGAGCTGACTCTGGGTCGTTGGGCTCCGTCTCGAGTAGTGACGTCTTAAGCTTTTGCTTGGTCGCTAGGGCTTTAGCCTCCCCGGCTTTGAAGATATGTTCTTCCTCGGGGGTCGAGCACTCTAGACGTGGTATATTGACCGGTTTCTTGGTTTTGGGATCTAGGGCTACCATGGTAAAGGTGCATGTTAGCAATACATCCTCCGGTTTACTAGGTTCGCCTTCGTCTCTGGCTCTGGCGACCTTGCAAGTAATTTCCACGCTACTCCGCCCCGACGCGTAGGTTACTTGCCCGCTATACTCGAGGTCACATATCTCAGTCAGCGGGTGGGCGATGGTAATTCTGTCCAGCGCAGCGGTAACAACAGCTACGCCCGGCCCGGTATGTTTATAGACGATGATACCCGACAGGGCGTCAAGATCCATGAATATCGTGCCTAACCTAGAGTCCTAGTCAGAAAAACCAGCAGATTAGAGAGATGAGCCGAGGACCTTATGTGACCAGATGAGTTAATGTAGGTGTCGCTAAGCCAAGGATCGCGGCCAAGAGGAAGTACGACTCGATGATAACTATCGCTCATCTTTTTCGGAGTAAGGTCGCGTTCCTGCGGTTGAACCTCGTCGGCGGCTACGTTTTTCCCTTCTTGCTGCAGCCTCCACGCCTCTATCCACGGCGTTGGTAGACGGTCATCTGTGAGGCCGCGAAATACTCCATCTGTACGGAGGGAAGCCGTGCCGTGCAGGCATCTTTTTGGTATTCCGGTCAACACAGCGCACGTATCTAATGTTTTAGATCTAGAAGCCAGAGCAACTAGGCGTCTGATTGGTAGATTCCTATAGATCATGTCCGAGATGTCGTTGGCTAGAGTTGCATTGATATGCAGTAGTGTAGTGTAGATCGGTGATGCGATAAAATATGACGGATCTTTTAAGTACTCGGGTACCTATCGGGGCATTGCGGGAGCTCGGTAGGCAATTACGGATCCAATCTGGGATATATCCGGTAACTGCAACTCGTACCTGCCTGCCATGGGTGCAAACTGTCATTCACCTCAAAGATGTAACGACAGCAACACAAAAATAGAAGAACATTGAACAAATAAACACTATATACGAAACAAAAAAACATTGGCAAAAGATTAAACGCCTCAGGCGGGGGTCGAACCCGCAACCTTGGGATTCCCAAGTAATCCGGATGTATTGTCCGTTTAATAAAAGTCCCACGCTCTAGCCAATTGAGCTACCAAGGCAGATGACGATGGATTTGTTATGACAGTTAATACCTCTTAGTCCCCGCATACGGCGTTTTTCTGAGCCTACAAAGGTCCGGGCCAAAAATTTTATACATCTCTTGACTTTTTGATACTGTACGAGTCACGCGCTAAGATGAAAGTTGAATAGTGGCTTATCCACTAAATCTAGGTGGCTTACCGCTATATTTATAGCGATATCAGCCACTATAGCTTAGATAAGACCGTGTAATCTTTTTTTACTCGCACGTGGCTTTGCCAAGCTCAGATGTGTAAGACTTTTGGCCGGGACCTTCGAATGTATTTATGTACTTACACATCAGCCAAGCTTGAAACCTTCCAACTTACAAATATAAATTGAGCTACCAAGGCCAAGGCAATGATATTTCAATAATTTTTAATGTCAATCATTGGATGACGATGGGCTTGTTATGACAATTATCCCCGCACACGGTTTTCTCTCTATGTATTTATTCATGTACCAACATGTCAACCACCTTCAACTTACATTTTACATAAATCGCTTCCGTTATACTAGATCAGCTAACTGTGTTCAATATCCTTAATTCTGTATTATTCACATGGTTTAACAAGTATTTAATTAAATCTTTAACCCAATACTCTTGTGAATTTTAGACTGACTATCTTTTTTTTCTTCCCTGATCTAAAGGACTTGCTCTCTGCTCAGCTTAACCCAGGCATCGTCACAAGTTCCTTTCTCATGTACTAATATGGCACAACAATCTAAGGAATAGACATATTATACCTTCGAAACTAGATATGGAATTCTTGGTTGAACATGTAGGCACGATGTTAGTTAATCATCTAGGATGCAGTCTCTCTTTCTGCTATAGCTGGCTTAACGGATACTATTTGATCTAGCCCTTATATGTTTCATTTCCAAGACCAAGTCTCTTCATGACTGTATTTGGCTATAGTACTATACAGAGGTGTATTAATACCGGAATTGTCGTTTTATTGTCGGGGTAACAGCACATGGTAAATCTTTGTAAGATCCGAGTATCTACAACTTTGTCCGGCCTACTTTTTAGGGAAATTTCCATTCCCCGTGGTATATCTTTGAGACGATAAACGTCGGTATTAGTCGAATTGGTTCATTTCCTCTCGCCAGCCTAAGTAAATGTTTCGTTCCATGGTCGCCGGGTCTGATCTCCTAAGCCTGGCATACATGTTGCCGTGTCGGGTGGCTGGTCTACCTGATTTTCGATGCAGCCTCATCGGAGTACTCGAGGTTGACGTTGGGACAACAGCAATGCGTCCATGACCCGTTCGCCAGAGGTCCTTACAGAATAGTGTTGGCTCCCCTGAGTAACACTCGCCTCCCCGTGGTCCCCGAAATTTGATTCTCTCTTCCTTCTTCCCCTTCCCTGGCGGCTTTATGTCTCCTCGATCTTGGTCGGACTGCTCCCCAAGTATCGGTGCAGCCGTAAAAGCTACAGCTCCATTCCAACACGCAAAGACCTGGAAAGGGAGAGCCCTGCTAAACCTCTCACCAGTTATTCGGTCATTCCAGAACAGATTCCATGCGCTATTCCAATTGCCGTCCGGTGGAATATCAAAGAACAAATCTCCCCGGAGAGTGCGCGCTACCCATACGTCGTAGAACGTCGGATCGCGGCCAACGTAGGTCCAGTCCATAGCGCAAGTCATATCTGCTGATAGGAAGATTCGCTGGTGTACCAGCTCGAGTATGTCAGATACACATATTGCTACGTCGTTTAAGAAGATGACAGTCGTATTTGTATTTGGCACTAACGACGACTGCGAGGGGTTTGGCTTTGCATCTTGAGTCAAGCCAGCAAGGGAGAGAAGTGGCGAGATGGCCAAGTTGCGAAGTTGTGCGAGTTTTGCTATCCTTTCTCCAGTCTTGGCGTCTATCTCGCTCGACTGGACTTAATATACGATGCCTAAATCCTTTAACTTGGGCTGGAGGGAGTACAGGACTTCGTGTGTGCCATCGTTTGCGTTACCTTCCACTATCGATAGAGCTCAGGCTGTCGGACCAAGGAACTTGATTGTTTCTGTAATGGATCCCAGTAGGCGAGGCAGAATATTAATGGACTGCCGAAGGTCGAGAGTAAAGAAGTATTTCAGTTCTCGAGGCCCATGGTCTTCTAACAGTGTTAGATTCGGGCTTGGACACTCCAGGCGAGGGAATGTAGTATCTGTCGGGTCTAAAATAGTTTTGATAGATGAAGTTATGTTCCATGAATCGTCTAGATTGACTGGGTCGGACACGCTATTCACTTGTGAGTTCTGATCGGGCCCAATGGTATTAGAAGGTATTGGCGAATTAGATGGATAAAAACCGGACTGCTTCCCCTGACCCCATGACTCCGATGAAAAGCTCTAGTACGCGGCCCTGAAGGTAAGAATAATAAGAAACAAGTAGGCTACCTACTTGAACAAAAATTAAGCGCGCCCGCTTCGTCGGGATTCGTTTTGGGGATTCACGGAGTCGTGGCGTGTGATACGACACGAAAAACCCCCGATTTCTAGTCCTAGACGAGGTTGCAGATACGCGTGTTCAGCTTCGCAGAGTAATCGGATCGGCGCCTAAAAAAGGAATCTTTTGTGATTAAATGAGGTGTGACAAAGGATGTCTGTTGAACGTATTGTATTGTGTATATGATTCCCTTAGCGCCATGGCTCCATGTTTGTCCTCCATTGCCCCGTACACAACCCCCAAACATGTAATACAACAAGCTAAGTGCCTATATTTTCTATAGAAAATGTATAAATAGCCCCCATTGTTCTTTTTTACGAGAGCAGTACTCCCTTGTAGTAGACATAATTTAGTTTTCGAATCGTTCCGCTGTAAGTGTCCTACCGTGATATTGATTATGTCAATTCGAAGAAGATTTTCCCACATAAATTCTCTTTGCCATTGTCCTATAGAAACAGACATAGCATCTATGTAGCCTCGATGGAATATACTTTACTCGAGGTGACACATCGTGGCGCGCTGGTGGCTTCCCCCCCTTTTGTTTCCGTCCTACCCATCTGAATTTTCAACAGCGATAATTTGGCGGTAGGATTTTCTTCTTATTGGCTGTACATATTATGCTACTATCCGAAATAAATGATGCAAAACGAGCTGTGTCAATATTTGCGGGGAGAGGACGTTGTTCAGTGTACTTCTAGTCTGTTCAACTAGTCGATCGGATAGGGGGACGAGCAGGAACTGGAAGAGGAAAGGCTTGGCGGAAATGCCATGTTGAGGCGTCTCATTCGGCTCTAATGTTGGCTCGGATATAGTTGATTCTACGAGATTTATCTTCCCTTCCTTACTTTCATTGACTCTGGCTCATGCCATACGTTTATTATCAGGTCCACCCGACAGAGTATGGAATTATCATCATGGCGGCAAACTTCCCTGTTATTCACCTCCTCTTATTATTTTGGCAGATAGTTATTATTCGTGCCTACCAGGCTACCTCGGTCGTAGAACTAAGAATTGTTGAGACTACTGTGTCTCAGCTCAGCAGGAGAGACCGTTTAGCTACACATGAACGACTTGGATTGCAGGATGTCCCAACTCAGATGTCGCCCACTTGTGGTTACCAGGACGGCAACCCATCGAAGACCCGGACTGTTGCTCCACCCTTTGACTGTCGCATTGATACTGTGAATGGTCTATGGGGTTTCTGTATGACGGATATGAATCTCAGCGATTGTGGACTAGCTGGAGTTTGCACGGATGGAGCGAAATGCTCTATGGGCTGTGGGATGATGGGATACGAACACACGATCTCCTGGTGAGTTGAGGTCTCCTTAACATATGTGCTGTCTTACGTATTAATAGCTGCTCGTTTTGCAGCTCAGAGTCAGATCATGGTTATTGCTCTACGGCACTTATCTATCTAAGTGAATACGAGACGACCTATACATATCTCGCCTGCGGAGGACTTGATACGACAGATACCTACCTCCTCACAACCACAGCCGAGTTGGGATCTTCGACAACAAGCAGTACTGTAACAAGTTCGGGCTCAGAAAGCACGCAGAGTAGCTCAGCAGCACCGCCATCACTACTATTATCTTCAAAAACTACCAAATTTGACTTAGGCCCGGAGTCTACCACAGCAAGTCAGCAATCCTCAACGGACTCGACGAGCACCAACATAGGTGCTATCATCGGAGGTGTGTTGGGTGGGTTGACCCTTGTCTGCGGTACGGTGGTGGCCGTGGTCTATATCTTGCGACGGAACCGGCGACCACAGCACGTGGGTCAGGGGGAAGTAAATACCACGACACCAAATAAACACATCACAACGTATAGCGCGGTGCCACCTTCAGAGGCTGACAGCAGCGCAATAAGTAGAGATCAAATACAGTCATTTGAAATGTATAGTGCCCCAAGTTCGTGGCAGCAGCATAGAGAAATGGCAGGGTTAGGATAATTATATCAGTTGTGTATCATTTTTGAAGGGTCTTGGTAGTTTTAGATTAGGTCTTGTAGGTAAAGCTTTCGGGTTCCGAACTAAGTGCTTGGGGGGTTGGAATAAGGGGAGATGCGGTCTGGTTAGTTATCATTGTATTTTAGGTATTAGCATATAATTTCTTAATGTCGTTGATAATGTGAAGTATTTAAAGCGAGGATGTGAAGCCATTTACACGTTTGCGGATTTAAGCTTAGATACTCTCCGATTAGTCAGCTGATCCAGTGAGAGACAGCCCTGGAATGGTTCCATGGTCCCACTTCAGCCTCAGACCTTCTAGAGCCTAAGCCACATTCCATTTCCACAACGCACGCACAAACCCACAAACAGGTGCATGACCCACTTAAAAACTATAGGGTTTTCTAACCCTCCAAAAAATTTGCCGAAAGTGCGGGTTGGTTCAAGCCGCAACCTCTGGGAAATTCTCGTGCCTCTAATCTGGAGAACTGAGACGACTTGCGATAGACGACCATTCATTCCACAACCAACCCTTGATCGCAATCAGTCACAATGGTGAGTAATAACCTCTAACGATAGATGTTGTCGCAATGTCTATTCGGAAACTTCTCTTTCAAGAGGATTTATCACTAATAAACATGAAATCTAGGCGATCAAGCACAACAACCAGATTCAACACAACCGTACGTTCAATCGAAGCCATTTTCAGAATACGAATCGATCAATTACACTTCAGAATCATAACGCAACAGTAAAACTGACTGGATACATGCAGATTTCCGAAAGGATTGGCAGCGCCGGGTCCGAACCCACTTCGACCAGGTATGAAGACGATCCCCTTCAGAACTTTTAACGACGAGATGAAATCGAACTCGAAAATTATTCAGATATTAACATTGGAAAAACTATAGCCTACCCAGAAGATCCGCCGTCGCTCTCTGCGTCGTGCTAAGGCTGCTGCCGTCGCTCCCCGACCCGTCGACAAGTTGAGACCCGTCGTCCGATGCCCGACCATCAAGTACAACCGCCGTGTTCGTGCTGGACGTGGTTTCACTCTGACTGAGCTGAAGGTAGATATCCCCATTCAGAAATTTCCTGCACATACTGCATCAATTCCATATTCCCCAGCTACCGCCATCACGCCCTCAGAAATCCTACACTCTAGATCACGATATTCTAACAATTTATATAGGAAGCCGGTATCCCCCGCCTCGTGGCCCCTACCGTCGGTATCTCCGTCGACTTCCGCCGACAGAACCTCAGCGAAGAGTCTCTCGTCGCCAATGTCGCCCGCCTAAAGGCCTACAAGGAACGATTGATCGTATTCCCCCGCAAGGGTGCTAAGCACCCCAAGGCCGGTGACAGCAAGGACATCGACCTCAGCAACATCGAGACCGTCTCCACCGTCGGAGCCATCCTACCCATCATCCCCGTGGCTGGGGGTATTTCAGAGATCAAGAAGAGCGATCTGCCCAAGCCGATCGAGGGTGGTGCTTTCGCGAAGCTCCGCAAGGCGAGGAGCGAAGCCAGACTACAAGGTGTGCGGGAGAAGCGAGCCAGAGACAAGGCCGAGGCTGAGGCCAACAAGAAATAAGATGGAGGTATCTTACGGGAGTATGGACGGCATCATTAGGGTTCTGCTTTCGTTGTGTTGTTGGACGGTCATGGCGGGTTGGCTTGCGGTTCCTGTGTAGCCAGGAGAGAAACAAAATATCATCGTTCTCTCGCCACACAACAAAGGCCGAAGCATTATTGCATCTTCCGGTTTGCTCTAGGTCGTTCTCAATGGAAAAATGAATGGACATACTCTCCGTGCTTCTCAAAAGGCCGTGACATGAAGCCGTAAACTAGCATGCGAAATAGGAAAGCATACGAAATAATAGGGAGGCTAATGCTGATGGTTATTAGGGAAATCTTGCGTAAATGATTGTATCTATCGAGATGCTATACTCTGAACGCTTCGCATATCTACAATGGTTCAAATCTGACTCTAGCACTAACCGGCCAGACTTGAGACGAGCTCAGTAACTAGTCACAGATTCGACCTTCTCGTTTCTATCGCCGAGTACTAGCTGCCCACCCATTTTCAGCATCTGGATAAACACATCCCTCACGTCGGAGGGAAGCTCGTCTGGGCCACCCTTTGCCAGCTCAGCGATTAATACCAGAGCGTTTTCTCGATCTACCTTGGTCATAGTTGCGGCCTTCTTTGGGTCTACTTGCTGCGGCTCCAGCTGACCTATCGACGAGAGATCTAACCCGTTCCCTGCGGGTGGATTACTACTCGCCTCTTGGTTCGACTCGCGCTCACCTGCGATAGCCGCTGCGAGGAGATCTTTCAGTTCGGGGTGTTGCAGTATAGCCTGCTTTACGATAGCAAATCCTTCGGCGGAGCGCGCCATCAGTGCGAGCACGAACCATAGGTCTGATCGTAAGACGGGGAATTTGGTCTGCAGACCGAGATATAGTAGCGTGTCTAATAGAGTGGGATGCTTGCTATAGAAATCACGCAGTAGCGAGCTAGCCTCATCTTCGGAGGTAGGCGAGGGTGACGATTCGGGGAGGAGTGAAGACCCGGCCGGTTTGTCGGAGTGCAGGACGCGGCAGACGCCGGCTACGGCGCGGGCTGTTTCCATCTTAGTAGGCTCCTGGTCAGCTTTGCGGTGTAGGTCTATTAACTGTTGTATAGGCGTCTTGTCTTGCGTGTCTGGGGCCACACAGACACGTCGCACGTTTTCGGGGCAGTTGACAAGGAGGATGCGTGTGAGCGACACGGCGTCGAATTGGACTTGCGGCTGCGTGTCAAGATCCCATATCCGGGGCAGAACATTGGGGTCCAGCAGGCCCGCACTACCTAGCACGGCCTTATTGCTCGCGGGGATGGATAAGTTCTTCAAGAAGCTAAGAGCGCAATGGAGCAGCTGGGCATCTGTTTCCGAGTCGGAGGATAGGATGGGGATTATCGACTTATGCACAGACATCTCCTGTACTAAGGCGATGCTTTGAGCGTCGGTACGAGCGATGTTACCGAAGGCCAGGCAAGCCGCGATCTGGAGCTCTGTATCATGAGATGAAGAAATCCAGCCGAGCAGCAGACCGGCTACGGGACTATCCAGCGAGCATAAAGAGGCGAATTGAGGGTGAGCAGACAGGTCCGCCCAAGTTTTGGTATACATGGATTGCAGCTGGGCGAGCTGTGCTTGCTCATCAGTATCATCGATGTTGAAGACAGAAACGCCCTTGATAGCTCTTTGAAAAGCTGATATGAACACGGCAACGGCGCCAGGGGTCTCGAGGAAGCTGTCTTGGAGCTTTTGGTGAGAGAGGTATGCTAACGCGGCTGAGGATAGACCCAGGAAGCCGTCAAAATCTGGAAACCCTCGTTCAGAAGCATCTAGGGTGGCTTGCGATAAAAGGAGATACGGTGCCCGAGGGTTTATTAAGTCGGGCTCGAATTCTTTCAACTTGTTAATATGATCATACTGGATAATAGTATAAGGGGATCAATTTACCTTGAGCTACTGCCATGCCTAGCAACTTGTAGATGATATTCATGTATGGTAGTGCCTTTTCTTGTAACGGGCGAGTCTGAATGAGGTCGATTAGATATATGCCCAGGTGAGCTTTAGAAGCCGCTGCCTGAGCCGGTTCTAATTGTTAATATGTTAGTAAAACCATATGCCCCTATCCAACTTTTCATTCTCACCGTAATCAACACATGTATTAAATAAAACCGGTATAGCGAATTGGAGTAAGGAGTCGTGTGTCAGCAATTTCACCAGCTGGGGGAGACAGCCCGAGTCGACGACTCGTTGCCGATTCTCATCTACTATCTAGTAAGCATGAGAAGGCCGAATGCCCAGGAACCAAGGAGATACAGACCTTGGTCTGCGCAAGAGTTCCCTGTTACTCGGAGAGCATGAGCTACCAGGTCTAGATCTAGCTCATCCCCCTTAATGAAGCCCAGGAAGAAGTCTAGCAGACCAGATCTTCCAAGTGGGATTCTCCATCGCTCTAGGATTTGTGAGTGTTAGCTAAGCCTTTATACATGTAAGTGAAGACTATATAGAGACTTATATGAGCCTCTATGAGATTGGAGTTTAATTCACCTTCTCGACTACCGTTCCCGACCTGCTCTGCTAAGACCTGGAGTTCAGGGGACTTGGTTTCTTGTAGTCCCCGCGCAGTGCTAAGAAGCTCTTCTAGCGCTTGGACCCTCGACTCCTCATCTTGGGGAATATTGTTGAATAGGTCTTGGATCTCGTCAGGCGTCATGATCTCGGGCCCATCACAGGTCTAATTCCGATATAGCAAGGTTCTACGGATTATCTTCGTAGGTATAAATAACCAGATACCGATTATGAGTAGATATCAAGAATTATTATAAAGATGATCATAGTTTACAGAAGGACAAGAGATCAAAAAGTGTAAAAGTCGAAGTTCAACTAGTTAATGATTACGTAAACAAATTGTTAGGTCCTTAAAGTAAGGAGGTATATACGTACCCGATCTCGGGAACATCCCGTTACTTCCAAACCCACTAATCGGCTTCCGATCCGGGTGAATATTACGTAGGTGAGGCTCTGTGCCATTTTACGGCGGGTCTATCCACTGATAATTGATTAGCGGGCAGGCGGGGCAGACGCGTCAGCGCTTTTCTTTCCTTTCGCGCGTTCTACAATTCATTCTTCTATGCAATTCGTTATTATTAGGCACATCAAAGTATTTTAAGAGTACTTGAGTTTTTGAGTCGAATCTTATCTTTTATATATAAAATTAACATTTAGAAACACGGAGAATCTTTTTAACAGCTAGAAGAATATAGTTAAAAGACAAGAAGTAATTTATACAGCTCAGGGGTAAACGAAAAAAAAAAAAAGGATTTTTAGGTAAAACCGAACCCTTGAAGCGACATACAACTTAAAACAGAACTCCCGGAAACATTATGACCTCGAGGCATACCCAAAACTTCGTCAATTTTGTTCAGAAGGTGTGGTTCCGATTGTTTTACCTCTACTACTTTTGAATCCGAAAAAAACACGCCACCAGCACATATTTCGAGAGTATCTACTATGTCTCATGGTCGCGGCCGTGTAGTATGAAAACCACAGACTTGCAGATCGAGATGCGTCGTATCAAGTTACACGAGTCACCAGCACTATGACCATCTGATGGATAGGAGTCTGAGACTGTTACGTCAGGACAATGCAATTTAGAGGTTCTAATGCATCACGGCAGAAGATAGTACATGTCCTCTGATCCTGCTATTCTTTCAGGAGGTGAGATAACTGGCTGCTGGTTATTAGCTGAGAATCTCTGTGGACATGACTGTGGCTCCATGCGAGAGAGGCAGGCAGAAATACCCCTCGAGTTCGTGAGGACTAATTTCGGCGGTCCGTAGGTGAGATGTTGGATTCCGCCGCGAGCGCCCGTTCCACTCGGTAACAAACACGAAGCTACTACATCTGCAAGAATCCTAGATTTCAAGCTAGATGAGGTAGTTTAGATTTTAAACGTTTATACGGTAGTTTCCCTTGGCCCCCTTTTGATCAGAGTTTGATATGCTACTTTCATCCCCTAGTAGCCAACTGCTTTCTGTTCGGTAGATGGGGGTAGTTGAAAATTTTATTCTATCCCAAGTCTGAATGTTCATCGTACGGTGTCACTACCAAGTGCCATTTCACTAATCGTGATCGTACCATACGCTTACAGGATTGTCTCACGAATAGGCATGTATTCAACACTAATTACCTAGGTATCCTCACTGACCAGAACGGCAGTAATAACGCTTCTTGACGCGAGTTCAACCATCCGCATGTTTCAGTATAGGCCTAAGTCATACCTTGTAATCTCCGTCAACTCCCATTGTGCGACACAAGCGTCGTGGTGTTTGGAGCAAACCTACTCGTCTGAAGTTTTGGTATACCCTTCCGTTAGTACAAATCAATGCCTGTGCCACTAGTATTAGCAATAGCTTCAAATTGAAATGCTCCGCTAATCTGGGGGTCATGCGCGTGGAGAGGAACAGGTAGGACAAGACGGCTTATGATCTGCCCAGGCAAGATCACTTAAGGTATTATAAAGAACGGGAGTCCCGATGCCCCCTCATCCAAGCTGTTTCGGCCTCTATATCCGGCCATACCACGTCCCCTCCAAGTCACTCGTTCATAATGGCCATATACTGGCTTCTGTCACTCGTTTGCCTACTGACACCCCTTACATCCGCCGCACAGGGCTATTCAGGCGGTGGTCTTATGGACGAAACCGTTACCAAGAGCGTCACTGAGACTGTCACGAAATATCTATCTCAATGCGGTACATTGGAAACTCCGTCTCATACTCCAGATATAACGCTATCCGGCACCACCACGCGTACGAGTACCCTCCAAGCGACTATCTCTATCACGATAATAGCCAACGTGACCAACTTCTCGGGAGCTGCTCCCATCGGTTTTACCCTCTCCCAGTCGGACATCACGCTTCGTACTCCTAATATCACACCCACGGCTCTTACGACGGAAAGTATTAGTTACCCCGTGTCCAATTACTCTTCAACTCATGCCAACACCACGAAGATACCTTGCTCGACTCCGACTGGTAAGATAATGGTCGATGTCTTTTCCCATCACGATATAATAAATCTAATACTTGCCTCATAGTCTTAGTCCCAGTTCCTCTGGGTTCATCTTCTCATTCTACCCCATGTACCACATCTTTCCGCAGCACGTCTTCTACGTCAGCACCGACTACATCACCAACCCAGATACCAGTTAGTGAATCGGCTAAACTCAGGGGAGTCGCAGTTACGCGGAAGTTCCTAGGGGTATTGACTATAGTCTCCGTACTAATTACGGGCTTTCTATGAAAGAAGCCATGTTGTAATGAGAGATGGATAGGGTTGACTCACTAAATTCTCGATGCTTACGGAGCCCTAGGCATGCTCATGAACTTGTGCCTAGGTTCTCTAAGGCAATATCTATGTAATGACAGCAGGCCTGATGCTGGCCACATGGGCTAATTAAACATTGGTTTCGTTAGTAAATCTTTTCTAAGTAGTTCTAGTAATAGAGGTACAATTTCGATGGTTTTCTGGAAATAAAGAACATTAAATCGTCCTATCGAGTATCGTTAGTAGCAGATTCAAACGCAGATCCCAAGTTAATACGTGAACGTGTGGCCTCTATGCATTGGATATAAGGTATTACCCGATTTTTTGTATTCGTCCCGAACAAATTAGAATTAGGGATTCAAAAGTGTGATTGAATTTGAATGGGAACTTTCGAGTCGAATCTCCAGTGAGATACATGTCATATCAACGCCCGCTCTCTCCCAACCCATATACATATAGTCACATAGAACAAATCACAATTCTCGGTCTTCGCTCATAATCGCAGTTTAAAATCAATTGCTCTTTGCTTCTTCACCACCACCGTCGTCCCCTCTCCATCTTCTTCCGTCCCAAGCCCATCAGATAGAGTCTTATCAGCCTTTTTGTAAACGGTTTTATTACTCGTAGCTTCCTCTTTTCCGTCTCTCCCTCCTTCTCGTCTTCTCTTTAATTGGCTAACGTGCTTGACCTTTTTTTGCATCATATCTAGCCAGAACCTGTTTGGATCGAATGTACGCCGTAGCGATTTCCAAGGGTGGCGTCCTAGAATAGATTCAGGCGGAATCATATTTTCTACGAGGAACTCCTGATGTAAGAACTGTCGACGTTGTAGGATTTTCGTGCCGAATTCATCGACCAGGTGCTTTGTATTCCATAACCTTTGGTGTCTATGGTCCCACGATGGGTGTGCTGGATCGAGTTCGAGGACTTCGATGCCGGCGAATCCTCGGGCTTCGCAAACCGCTGCTATCACCCTGACTTTGTCGAGGTTGTCCGTAACGGACAGGAAAGGGCTCGGACTCGAACAATTCCAGTTGAGGTGTTTTTGAACCAGAACTTGGAAATGAAGAGGGTTGATATCGACGGTTCCATAACCCCTGGCCTTAATTCCTCCGAATGGGTGTCTATCGTGGACAACGCGGTATAGCTTTTTGGGTCGATTATCACCGCCGCACGTCTCGATAGTGATAGAGGGGTTAAGCATTGGACGACCTTGAAGGAAGCCACCACCACGAGTAATATCTTCTGCGCAGGGGAGATTAGGATATAGCACCTTTAGCTCCTCGTGCAACTCCGGTTTCATCCAGAGTTTGAAGGGTATTCCCTTCTCTAGCTTAGAATCGACGACCCAGGCTTCGATGTCAGGCATAGTTGCCTGTGCTACTCGCCGCTCGCCATACTGGGCAATGACTACCTTCTCAACAGGAACGATAGACATGATTCGATGATGATATTGGTACTTTCCGAGATAATATCAAGGATTAAAGGAATGAGGAGATGATATGGTGTGATACGGTGTGATATGATATATAGATGTGTGTATGTGTGTATGTGTTATAATGGCGTGTATATTTGGGATTGTTAGAAAGTACCTGAGGTACGGGTATTTCGAGTAGGCGGTAGATATATAAGGATGATAATTTGGTAATTAAACCTGATATAGATAATGGTGCCGTGGGTGGTCGTATTGCCGGGCCTGTGTATGGTTTTACACACTTGAATCTGAGGATGAGGAAGACGAGGCTTCAATAAAGATAATACTGGTAAGGTATTGATATATTTTATTGTTGATGTTGGTGTTTAGTGGTTTTTTGGTCTGGAACTGACTGGTAGATGTGTAAAAAGGATGTGTAGGAGGACTAGAACCTCAAGGTGAGGCCTACGCTGTTTATATATTCAAAAATATGGGTTGGAGACAACAAATAGGCAGCTTCGCTCAAAGCCCGTAACTGCCACTCTTGCAAATAACCTTAATTTCCACGGGATCCCGTGCAAAGGGTCTAACGCCTGGATCGTATACCTAGATGTATACGAGTGAAAAGCTGTTTCGAGTGATATAAGTGTGCTATTCGGCTTACATGCCCTACGTTCAGGCCTGGAAACGTGAGCAAAGCAACTACGTTGTTCCCTGCTGTAAGAGTGATCTCATTAGGATTACCTGGAGCGTACTAACCACCTTAATATAAGGTATCAGGTATATCAATAGTTTGATTCTCCTAGAGACACTGCAAATTCCTACTGGTATACATCCGGCGTCGTTTTGGTTTATTACATCTTAGTTTTGTGCTTAACTTGTATCTGTAACTACAGGCTTACGCTCTGGCGTATTTCGGTCCATAGTACATTGCAATCTGATTCATTGAGTACTTGATGTTTCAGGAAACCAAATAATCCCTTAACTACATATCAATCACTTAATTTTGAAACTATGTGGTGAAAAGACTCTACTAGTATGGAGTTGCCATAAGGGATGGTTATAAGAACTTATAAATACAAAAGTGTTATGGTGATAATGAAACATATTAATTATATTGTATTGAATATTTGACAGCTAGTTTAAAAATGGTTCAGTAAAACTTCATTTTTTAAGCTCCCATAAAACGCCAGTTAGTTTCTTAAGTATAGAAAAAGGTCAAGTATAGCTTTTATTTAAAATTGGAATGCTATTACTAAAGACTTTATTTCAAGTTGGCTATATATAGTTGGATGATCACACAATTAGTTTTACCAATATACTTATGCGCAAACTTTCGAAAATATAAAGATTTTTGGTTTAAGGCTAGTAATGATCTCACAACAGACTACCCTAGCATGGCTGAGCTTTGGAATAGGTCGCACGGAAATGACTTATAAACTAAAAGGGACGTCCTGGGTTCTATTTGAAATGTTAAGATTGAGTAAAAACCCGAGAAGTAGTTCCTATTAGCTTTATACATTGGCTTGTTCGGCAGTTCTTTCTTTTCAGTCTTATTCTCTTACCCCCTTTTTTCACAGGAAGTACCAACCTATTCTACCGCCAGCTATCATTCGTTTTATACCACTCCTTATACTTATTTCAATTGGCGGCTACAGCAACCCATGTGTATCATATGCTCAGATTATTAGATTTCGGATTCATACGACTCTGGGGGACAAAATTTCGGTTTATTGCCATATCTTACATCTATATGATTATATGCTTTTACCACTTAAGCCTTAGTTGTTATTATCTATAGTTATTATAATGGTTCAAGTTAGTAATTGTACTGATGTGGTAAGGAAGTGTCTACTTGATGTGTACTCCACACCCATAACAGAGTTAGATATATATTCTATAGGAAGGTATGAGATAGTCAACTTCCGGAACTGTAAATGCTTACTTAGGTAGGTAGCTAGAGTTGTGTGGGTTGTCACGTATGAGTTGAAGTGACAGGTGGTCATGGACTTTAGAAGTGAGTAGGAAGGAATGTGCGCAATACTCCTCAGTAGTATAAAGGCGGTGGGACGAATACTCTGAAATAACTAGCTGTTTTAGAACGGATTAAAATGTATTAAAATGATGGACTATGAGGATATGTAGTACATATGTTACGTTAAACCGTGAAAGTAAAAGTAGTATTACAGGGACAGGTTGTTGATTTTAATAATATGTACCAATATTCACCGGCTAGGTGACTTTAAAGATAACCTGAAAAGTGGCTATTAGTATACTAGCCACTCCTAACATTATAAGCTCGATGCAATACTTAAGTGGGTAATTACGAGCCATAAGTTTAAGATTTATATATGCTATAAACTACTTTAACATGTACTATCATACATTTTTTAATAAATTTTAATTCTTCAAAGCTATACTGATATTTAATAGGACAAGTACATGATGAATTGAATTAAACTTGCTTAAAGGCACATCTAAAACAGAACGAACAGAAAGACAAGTTACATGTATTACTTTTCTTTCTAATTATCATCTTATCTTTATGGTTGTGCAATTAAGTTCAGGGGAAACTAAAACACTTTAAGTAACGATCCGCCACTGTAGGTTTTCTAATTTTAAGTCAAGGTATACTATTTGGTGTTTTATTCTTAATTATATTATACTTTAAAATTAGATTTGTCATTATTATATTCTGTTCTTATACGGCTCTTGTTGTAAAATCGGCATGTTATCTATATATGCATAAGCTCGTCTATATGCATACCCCGATAACTTAAGCGTCTAGGTTCCCCTTATCGGATAGATTGACATGCGGTCCGCGTCGCGCAATGACAAAATAGACTTTATCCAATCTGGCCTGGCCGACAACATCACCACCAAATTTCGAGACTTACACATACTCACTCCCTTCACGTCGCTCCTTTAATAAACCCACTACGACCTTGATATTTACGCGAGTGACGGTTCTATTACCACCCTATAATTTCATCAGCCTTCGTACATACACAAAATTGTAATCAATATGACGCGTGCGCAACAGACCATCTCCATCGGCCTCCTGGTCACTTCTGTACGTCGATTCGAGCGAGATCTTCTCGAATACCCTCAATTGGCTCTGCTATATTAGCTTGGTCGCTTACTAATATATTTCCGTAGCTCTATCTCGCCTTGTACCTGAATCTCGTCCCTCTCCCCGAACTAGTGCAGACCGAGATCGTCCCTGTTGTACGTTGAATCCCAATCCGATTCTATTTGCCCTGTCCTCCCGACTTTAGATATTGCGATACCCTATTCGAACAGAAATAAAAGAAATTATCACTAACTAACGTTTGCCAAAAATAAATAGCTTCCCTTCTGGGCCCTCGTCTCCTTCGGCGCATACTTGCTCTTCCGCCTCGGCTGGAACGTCATGACCTTCCACGATGTCCCTGAGGCCCATAAGGAACTTACGGCTGAGATCGAGCTAGCCAAGACCGACCTCCGACGCCTGGGTGTTGAGGTGGATTAATTACGGTCGCGAAGAGTGGTGGTAGAATGAGGTAGAAGGGTCATGGGGTTGAAACTGTCAAGTCATGCACAAACCGCCTATCTTGTTCCTATAGTTAGTTGTAAACTACAGCTTCTTAGCTTGAGACGGGTGAAGCAATGCCAATAGAAATAAATTAATTATCACAAGACTTGAAAGCGTCATGGATTGCTGCTTGGCAGTTTATTAACTCGTTCTCGGCTCTGTACTCATAACTACCTGATCCAAGACACATAAGAATCAACAAGAGCACCACCAAATTTCAATTTCAGCCCTTTTCACTTAGTGGTTCATACTCTGCATCATAGACTGCGTATGGTTCTTTGTAGCTAAGCCCACGAAGACCGAGGGGGAGAGATCCCGACGAGGCTTCTATTCCAAGCAACCTCGCCGTAGTTTGGAACATCGAGCGAGACTCATCGGCTAAACCTGATGAATCCTAGCTATTTAGTTTCTCTCGATTGGGTATACAGCTCGAAGTATCGTCATACCTCATAAACACGTAATAGGTCATGACCTAATCAAGTTACTCGCTTGTATGCATGTACTATTTCCCCTTTACTCTTCCCCAACTAGCAATGCGACTACTATCTTTAGAGCTTCCATCGGATCCTTGTTCTCTTGGATCAACTTGTCAAATATGCTCGGTATACTTGTTAAGCTACCCTTTGTGTCTTGCCCATGCCCTATTATGAGTTAGATTATTTATATACGTATTGTGTTGGATAGTTGAGTTGACTTACACTTCGCCGGAGTCCCTAGCAATAGTCCTATTTTGCTTCGTGCTTCTCCGGTCCAATCGAATTCGATACGCCATTCAATACGGGTACCTGGAACCTCCTCCGGGTCGCCGAGGCTGGTTAGCTCTAGGTCAAGGTATGTTCTTCCTAGATGGGGTAGCATATCAGCTTTAGTGAAGCGCATTTTGTCGGCCTGGCCATCAAGCTCATCGTCATCATCCTCATCGTTCGCTGTCATTGCTCGACGGCCTCGACCCTTCTTCCTCGTATCTGTCCTCATTTCTCTAGCGCATTTTGCTAACCCTTCGCTGCTTCTTAGGTCCCTTTCAACGGCACACCAAAATCGAGCTCTCTTTGTTGCGACGCGGAGCCATTCACTCATAGCCCAAGTTATGACGCTAACATTCCTTGTTAGAGCGCTGGTCCCCGTACCTCTAACGACCCGTTCCACGAAAGGCCCCAGCTCGCCAACCGCGGACGGCTCAAGACGTGGAACTTTCAGCTCAGCAATAGATAGCCTTTTGGTGTTTACCGTCATTTCAATTGTCGCGGCAAACAGACCTGGCAGTGTTGACGAAGCGGATATAGTATATTTTTGCATAAGTGGTCCCGGATTTCCGGCATCGTCGCGGGGTATCATCGAGACAGTAGATGTGAAAGTTAAGGGGGTAAATACTTGGAGGTAAGGCAGCTCTTCTTCCGCTGCCATCGGCACGGGATGATGAGAAATAGGAAGCTTTTCAGTTTCCGCATCAGCATCATTTTGCGGTGGAGAAAATATAGATGGAAGCGACAAGTTCGATTTGCTAAAGGGGAGGAATGAGATGGGATTTAATGCGGCTTCAAGCCAGTCTTGTGTTGGATCGGGAGCCGCCTCCTCTTCAGGAGGAAGGGTGTGTCGACGGAGTAACTCCAGAAGAGACTTCCTGTCTTCTGGGTCTTTTGGCGCTGTACTAGATCTTCTTCCTTGTTGCAATTCGTGTAAGCGAGTATTCTCACGAGTTGCTAAGTCCAGATCCGATCTTAAGCGAGCAACTTCAGCAAGTAGCGAATCTCGCAGCGCTTTCTTCTCAGCTAATGCATCGGGCTCTTCAGCATTTCGGGCTGGATGCGATTTTCGCCTCTTCTTCCGGCTTTGTGGTTGTGCCCTGAGCGTTCTCTCTGCCGTTCGGGATGGTGACTCTTCACGTGTGGCTTCTTTTGTAAATTCGGGATGACGGAGTGGTGGTTGTTTTAGAGGGGAACTCTTAATTCGCTCGGCTAATACTCTACTCCTTCTTGGACGTTTGGTAGGTGTGTTATGAATCCCCACGGGAGAGGTTTGGATCGAGGCAGGGTCGGATATGCCTTGCTGTGTCGGCGTAGGTGGGAGCTCTGGTTCTTCCAGTATAGCCTCTCCGGAAGGTGGAGAGCGCCGTAGTACTCGACCTTTAAAGGGGTTTATCAATTCTTCTTCTTCTTCTTCGGCTGAAGGTGCAGGTAATGGACGCGGCGATGGCTTATTTGGTGTCCTTCGTGGTCTGGAGGCCATAGCTCCTGTAGCGCGTCGAACGGGACTCCATGGTTGATCAGCCGAGGTGGATTGCGTTTGTTGTGCCTCACGACTCCTTGTTTCTGTATCGTCTCCTGCTTGTCTAGTATCTGAACCACCTAGGGCATTGTCAGGGAGACTTCCTGCTTCTGACGCTGCGGGCGCATCCTCCGAAGGTTGAGTTCTAGATGTACTCCTCCGTTCTAGAATGTCGGGGTTCGAGCGCGCAAGGCTAGCCTTTGTCGGCGACGCAAAAGACGGTATCTGATGTCGCGTAGATCTTCTGACAGGCTCATCTTTGGATGACGGCGCAGTCGAACCGCCTATCGGAATATTCGTCGTGGGCGACGTCTTGCGGCGCTTCGGAGCTGAAGAGTCCATCGAATATCCTAAATATCCTCTCTTATCCAATCATAATATTTCCAATCGTATATCGACTTCATGGGTTTGGACTGGGTTTGGACTGGACTTGGCCGGGTTTCGATAATTCTTAATCTGGATTTGGATTTGCACGTGTTGATGTCTGTTATTGTTCCACTACCGCAGATTCGACGTGGGACTGGTTATACAAAAAATTGGAGAATATAAAGGGTTACTTTGGAACCTATATTACTACAAGCGCCCAATTGAACTGAAATGACCCTTCTCCTGTATACTTCACATTAATATTAATAAGGTTGAAATAGGTACATGTTTCTAAAAACGCGTTCAAGTTGTATAAGTGGATGTTGACGCGGCGAAAAGCTACGTGCTATTTCTTATCTTATCAGCCCTGTTTTCTTTAGCGCGGGTCTAGAAATAGGTCATGTCAATACTAGTGCGTGTAACATGTATTCAGGTATTTCGTACACTTACTTACACCAAGTTGCTGCATTTACATAAGCGTACGGTTTGCCACGTGATACAGCGAAGATGCTGTACCTGCCGCTAATTTGTCCCCCTCTCCCCAAACTTCTTCCGATGACGTGAGGTCGACAGGAAAAAAATCAAACCATTTTCTCATTCGCTCGTCATTCTATCACACTTGCTCCCTATCCACCCCGGCCTTGTTCTTAATATCACGCTTGAAAAGACACTATATTGGTCTTCACAATGCCGATTCCTACAAGGCCTTTAATAAGAGCTTCTAGGCTCGGGTCGCTTATGCGACAGCCTCAGGCCCCTCGCGTCTTCTATTCAGGCGGCTCAAAACTACCCGGTGGCACTCCCGGTGAGGCTTCAGAGCAAGCGGTGCCGCTAGGTCTCTACTACGAAGCTGTCCTTAACAGGCCGCAACCTATTCCCGACGTCAAGCCCGAAGAGCCCCCTACTTCATCGCCCAAATCTCCCCGGAGTACCGTCAAAAAGGCCCCCGCCAAGAAGTCCAAGGATGAGACCACCCCGTCCTCTTCGTCCTCTTCATCCTCTTCTACTGGGCCTGAAACCTCCGCAAAGCCGGCGACAGCACAAGAAAAGGCACGTATTATCTTTGGCTCGCGACTCGCTGGCCCAGCCGAGAGAGCCGAGCGTCTCGAAGCCATCCGGAACCGCAGTACGCTAATAGCCGGCGTCTTAGTCCCCCCGCGGCCAGAAGAGCCAGACAACTGCTGCATGAGTGGGTGTGTGAATTGTGTCTGGGACCGCTACCGCGACGAGATGGAGGAATGGGTTAGCGCGTCTGCGATGGCCGCGAAAGCTCTGCAAGCGCAACAATCACAACAAGGAGAGCCATCCAAAGAGGTTCCAAGCGCAGACAAAGTTACGGAAGGAGGGCTATCGGGTCCAACCAATGCTACAAATATGGACGGCGACGGTGGCGGCAGTGAAGCAAATCGGCAGCCGGACTTGAAGATGGCTAATCGACCCAAGATTGCCAAGGACTTTTGGGACGATGACCTATACAAGGACGTACCGGTTGGCATTCGAGAGTTCATGAAGCAGGAAAAGAGACTTAAAGAAAAACATATCAGGGAGGGTACTTTCGGCGCTTAGAGAAAGATGGCTACATCATAAATACCCCTGTCGAGCAATAGAACAATTCGCCAAAGAACCGCTTCACATTCGAGTCGGCTTTATGGACTGTCCGAAATTCTTATATTTGTTTAGTGTTCGGTTTGGAGCCGAAATTCTCGATGCGTATCGAGTTGTCCGCGGTGTCTATCTAGCACGCCATGTCTATCCTACCTATCCGAACAGGAAAGACTCCAACCGCATCCCAGTTACTGACTGCACCTAAGCAGTACCGTTCCCGTTTGTCTGCTTCTTCGCTAGCTCGTCATGTAGGTCGATATCCGCTGCCTCCCACGGATAGCATATCCATTCATCGCCTATCGTTCTCGCTGCCAGATATCGCGATTGCTCTATCATGTCCGAGGGCAATGTACCCTTCTTCTGCTTGTCCTTGTTCTATCGTATCTGTCAGCAGCTGCGGCGGCATATCTCCTGGTATCCTGGGACTCGCGATCACTTACATGTAGGACGAAGATGCTGAACTCTGTCTTCTCGTTATTGCCCAACTTTTGCCGCGCCTCCTCGACATCCTTCTCCAGTTCCTTAACGGCGTACTCTAGCGTCGTTCGCGTGTCGTCAACTTCGTCCACGATCAGGATGCGCTTGCCGACCAAATTCTGGATCTCGCCCAGGCTGCTCAGGTCAAGCCATTGAGTGCGGGTGACTTTAGTTCCAATCTGATCTATGACGCCTTCGTCCGCGGTCGAGGAATCTTTTACGGGCAGCTGCTCGTATAGGGAGAGGCCAATGGCCTGGATAGGGATGTTGGGGCTGCCAGGCTGTTTGAGGAAGGAGCGCAAGATTCGCGCCGGCACATAACCACCACCGCCGATGGCGATAATGAGTTGCGGGTTGAACGAACTCAGAATCTTGGGGGCGGCCTCCTGGCAGAGCTTGTGAACCTGTTGGTCGCCAAATCGGTTAGATAATTGCAGACGCAAACCAACTTTTTCGGATTTTCAGACGGCATAGCCAGTTTCTCACCGGCTCCCCGAAGCAAGAAGCAGAAACAGTGGGGGTTATGTTGTGGTGAGGTTGCAATAGGTAAACAAGCAAGATCAAGATCTGCTTACATCGTTGTAAGTGACGTAGATCTTCTCCACCATCTTGGTTGATGCAGAAGATATAATAGTGGGGGAAATCTGATGTTTTTACGGCTTGTGTGCTATTGAAGAACGCGGGAAATTTTTTAGAAGGAGAGGTGAAGAAGCTGGTGTTAGAGGATCATATAGAAAGATAGAGAAGAAGGATTCCTGTATAGAAAAGGAAGGGCTAGAGGGAGAAGTTTCGAGTTTGAGTTGCGACTGGGACTCGAAGGGAAAGAAACTTTTAGTGGGGCAACGAATTTAGAGGGCTTTTTTTACGTGGGGCTTTGGAGGGGTCATTTGGACTTATTGGAACCATTAGGGGAGGTAAGAGGGACCTTTTCCAGGTGCGCAACCATTTCTGCAGCGACAAATTAGGCAAGCCAATGCCACTAAAGACCTCCACCGTGACACTACAGCTTAGGGTACCTACCACAAACACTCTAAATTCACGGCCATCTCCGCTACCTATATGTTGTACCTAAGGTACACAAGACGGAAACATTCACCATGGGTATTTCACTCAGGTAAAAACCGATGTTTCGGGATTATTTATAGAATATTCCCCGCTGTGTAACAGAAGATGTCCAAAATAAAATAAATCTAGATATAACTGACCTGGACCTTGCAAGTAACCGAGTACTAATATTGCTCTAGGATATCGCCGCAGGCCACGTGAAATGGAATAAATACATGTAGGTAGGTGCATATACAGTATACCTCTTATAGATTGACATGGTGGAGAACGCCGAAGTTAACATTAGTAGAAACTTTATGAGACGAACGGGTAAGAACGAACATATGTCAACTTAAACTTAAATTTAAAACTTAAAAGAGAAGAGTTGGGAACTAGGATAAAATGCTTTTTTATCGCCTTGGCCAACCAAATCTAAGGCTTGATCTCGAAATCTGATCCTTTTACATACATCATATACTTCTACACTTCCTTCGCGCATCTACTATACACTATACATATAGGTACTACGCATTGATCTATCAACTCTAGAGGTACTTAGGATTCTCATATTACCATTAGTTACATTATGGGGCTGGGGGGGTCTATTGACATAGTGTTAGCAATAGTGATAAGGTGTGGACATAATGTCGGCCATGTAACAGTCAGGAATCAGTCTCCCGGCTGATTGGCTATTCCTTTTGATATAGTCACCCCCGGAGGTAATCGCATCCAGATTATAAGGATAACCAGGTCTGAAATAGCTACCGTACGTACACGATTATATCTTGTTGTAATTGTATTGTTTTCGAAATACTGATATATTAGGAAAGAGTGGCCTTTCAGGCATCGTCACCAACGGTAGTCACAGTCACCTAATCGATATATGTCACATACGAGACTATGTCAGGCCAGGTCATCGTCACCATCCAAGGGCCTAATAATATTAAAAAAAAATAAAAGAATAGAAGGCCTTGTAATAGATAATAGATTACAAGGCCTTCAACATACTTATATATACAGCACAGGCACAGGCACATGTAAAAGTCAATTGAAAAGATTACGTTGAATTACATATTACATATTACGAGATTACGGGCTACGTGTTTTACCATTACACTACGAGGTCATTACGATTACGAATGATTAAAGTTTACTGTATTGCAGTATATATGCCTACTCCAGGCCTTTAGTAATTAACCTATATATACCCGGGGCTGACATTGTGTTAGATACTGACATTGTATTAAATCTCTGACATCGTGTTGAATTCCTGACATCGTTGTGGACATAGTGGCTACCTGGACATCGTCAACAGGCCTGGCAATTACGGCGAAATAGACAGTACCTCTAACATAATAAATACCTTGACATACTATCTATTAGTACTGACTTGTAAGTACCTGCAATGAAATCGGTACAACAAATCTTGCTGACATTGTATCGACCTGTTGACATGGTCTTGACATAGTATCGGGGCCTGTAATTATGTAATTATACTGACACCATTGCTGACATAATGTCAATAGACCCCCCCAGCCCCATAATGTACCTACCTAAAGACTTGAAGACCTATATATACACTCATCCCCTTCACTAGAAACAGTAGCGAATGGATCAGCGGACTCCGCCTAGATCACAGACATCAAACCTCACATTGTCTAGCTTCGCCCCGCGAGGCCATAGCAGCACTACCACCATGTGCACTCCGGTACGGCAGCCACTTCAGCCTCAATCCCATAACGAAAAAGGGTTCTCGAAAAGCGAAGACTTCTCAACAGTAATGGACGAGGCTAGAGTGAACATCCCTCTCACCATGTCCTGGCCTCCCCCGCAAGGACCCGTTCCTCCGCAACCCATGCAGGACTCGTCAAGCTTCCATCTTGGTGGATACTAGGATACCCCCATAGGAAAAATACCAGTCCTCGTGCCGTCTCTGAAGCCCCCAGACGAGCAGGATATGTATCAATCCAATGTTCTGATGCCTTATCGGTTCGCCGAGTACAGTGAAGGAAAACTACATCCCTGGCGGTATAAATTTATAGCACCAAAAGGCCTATTGGTTGAGGTTACATATCTCAGAGCATTATATAGCAGAAGAGTTGCTGTGGAGGTCTTACTTATGGATATTTTCTCTCTTCTCTGGCACCTTGATCGAAGAGTGCTTTACGATCCGGCATGCCTAGAGTGTCTATATCCCCGGGAATGGACATATATAAGTTCAGAAACGACCATTTTCAGGCCAACAAGCTTCGAAACTGCGTGCGCGGCGTACAAAAAGCGCACCCTGAACGGATATCTAGACGACAGTTTCGCATATACATCACCAGGGGTAGATGACGTCAAAATAAGCAATCCTGACTGTGAGATGAAAATAAATCGCTTTCTCAACGGGCTAGATATGGCAAGCGTAGACCCAGAGGAGGTAAATGGAACATGGGTAGACGATACTATAGAGTCTTCAAGGAGGCAGGATTATGACAACATGTCCATCTAGTTCGTGAAAGGCGAAACGAGAAAAGTATGGTCCTTCAGCGGTTTGAAATTTAATATTCAGCGTCATGACCTTAAGAGGTATTCAAAAATCAGAACATTGTGTAGAGCCACTTATAGTTGCAACATCAGTTATGGAAAGGGTTGCATTAATATCAACCCGAGCAGCGTTGAAAACAGACTTAGATACCTAGTTAATAATTAATATAGTTTCTATCTTAATATGATAGTCGTTATGCTCGTAGTTTGACGCTGGGGATATGGACATGCTCTACTATTCAGGAATTTAAACAAGGCTATCTGAGCCAACCAAGGATTACAGAATCTACCCCAATCGGGGTGCAATCAAGTTCAGCATTTAGATACCAGTCGAGCAATAATTGAATCTAATAAATGATGTAGTAGTCTAAAATCTTATCCCACGAAGTCCAAAAAGCCACCGCCGAAGAAGTCTTCCATCCTGGGGAATATCGCATGCTCTGACATATCGAAGGGTGGGAAAATCGACTCGGATTCAAGTTGCTGAGCCTCTGGTGAGCATACTTCCCCCGTGTGGTATCCCGTCGTCTCATGATGATTGGGGCCATGGCTATTGACCCCGACCGGCGCGGCTATTCCGTCTTGCTCACCCTCCTGATTTCGGGGATGTGTCCTCGCCGGCGTCTGGTGGTCACTCGTCGAGCCTTTATCGCCGCCAGTTCGGGATTCCATTTTATGCTTGGCAAGCGTCCCGTACTTGAAAGACCAAGCTTTACCAGGGGACGTCCTAATCCATTGATCGATTTGTATGATCAAGTCTCGACTAACCTGATCCGAGACCTTTGACTGCGACTCGTCGTAATGCGCGAGAAGTAGGGCGCAATACCCGATGCACAGGCACAGGCACGTAGGGATCGCATCCATGAGGAAGGACGGCATTTCCAGAAAGGTCTGCAAAACAAGCATGGCGTACTTACACGCATTTATTCGTAAGGTATTGCCATCTCCGTCCTTGTTTCGTCGCGGGTGTGTTGAAGCATGGCATTCGTTATCACTTGCGTCCTCTCCATCTATCTCCGAGAGGAACGTCCGTGGCCGTAGCCCTTGCCCGACTTCTTCTAGCGACCGAACAGCTAGGATGAGACAGGCAGCGTGATATCCGATTTTCAGCATTGACGATGTTGGAAGGCCTAGATAGCTTAGCAGGTGTGCTCGATAGCTTACCAGGCCAGACATCAAACTCACCTAGAAGATGATTCCATTTCTCTTTCCATGATAAAAATTCTTTACATTCGCCGCCATCGCCAAGATACGACTGATGTGTGAGCTTCTGGTGTAGAGTTGAATACAGCAATATCTCAGCAACAAGCATCCCATCTTGCATAGTAGCTTGGTAGAAGTTAAGCAAAATATTGCATTGATTAATGTAAGAGGCTGGTATGATGGATGGCCTGCCTGTTGTCGCAGCCCAACTATAGTGCAAGCGGCGTATTAGTCACCGGAATGAACCACGAATATCAATACTTACTGGAGATGGTGGAGGCAAATCTTAGACCATAAGTGGATGGCTTTATGATCCTCGCTCGTTAAGTTCCCTTGTCTTATGCTGTTTATTATCTTAGAGAAACTGATACTGAGCATAGCTTGCTTAGCGCAGTAACCGGTCAATAACCAGCTGTCGACATAGTCGACTCCGTTCTGTTTAAAGTCAGAGAGGAGTTATTATGGATATTAATTAAGATCACAGCCACATACACCGCCTGGGCTATTTGCATTGTTGCTCATTATCAACACAGCATTGATCTCTTCGAGATTCAGGGGGCTCGATAGGAGAGCTTGTCCCAGTGTGATTCGAACTTGTTCGTACATTTGCCTATGCATCGATGATCCGCATATATCGCTACGGTAAACAACACCCATTAGACAGCAGACGCTGTGCAAGAAAGCGGATACTCTACGAGTCTCGCTACTTGCAGTTAAGTCCTCTACGCCACAGACGAGGAGGTTGTGACTTTGGTAACGGAAAAAACTTCATCTGATGTTAACAAGTACACTGCTACCTAAGATGGGCATTCGCTATTGAAGCAGTTTTCGGACTCACAGGTGGATTAACTCATTTGCAGTCTGTTCGTCAAGAAGCTGGAGCTGCACAAGATCGACATTAATATGTTCCAGCAACCTCCTGTAGCCTCTAGTGATTTGCTGGGATATTGATCTAAGCACTACAATCGGTGCAGACTGAGCCCCTTTATCGGCTGGGGCCGAAAAATACTCGGGAATCTGATTTTCGTGTTCTGAGCGTAATATGTGGCCGTCACCAACGTTAGAAGAACTCTTACTAGCAAGTGTTCGACCATTTTGAGATTGAGCACTGGAAGTCAGGTCTTTGAGCATCGACTTAATCTCTTGTAATTCACCTTCATACCGTCGAAGCCTAATAAGCGTGTAAGCCTACTACATCAAACTAGGGATAATGGTTCAGAGCCATCCCTAAACTTAAGTATCACAAGTATACCTTTCTTCGATGTTTGAAGTAGCTGGCTCGGGCTTTGAGCTGGATGGAGATGCGACGTTTTCTCCACGGAGAGAACATTCAATTCTTCACGTAGACTATTAGTTGGAATTTTTGACATACGCCGTGTAGAAATACATGGAGTACGGGTAGATACGCCAAGGATATTATTCTGCGAACCTCAATGTCTGGCACCGATGGCAACCCTGCGCACCGGGGTCATATTCGCATCTGCACTTCAGCTTCTGGCATGACAGGCAAGAGAATGCCCGGCGCCGTCGCTTCTGCGGTTCCTCGGTCGGCTTGTCCTCCGCGCTGCGACGTTTCGCAGATTTGGGAGACGGAGATGGTAACGTCTCCCCAAGCTCAAGGATATTGATACGCGAGCCGTTGGCAGGTTTCATTCTATACACGTTTGAGTGGCTTATAGAAATTATACAGAGACTAAATCATTATCGCCGACGGAAATCGAAGGCGGATTACAAAAGTTTTGGTTCGACGGTAGCGACAAAGTAGCGATAATGCAGTAGCGATACGCGCTATCGGAAGACCCACCCGACGCCTTCCTTCCGGATCGAAAATGTCCGTCGGGTATCGGCGGAACTTCCAGCCTTAGGTAAGGACTTAGAACCTTTGGATGTCCACTTTTTAAAAGGGGTCACTCCTTTACTTATATACTTCACTCAATCCAAGTATGAGCCATATATGTTGATATGTAGAAGTTCTTACATACCAGTGTTTGATATGCAAGTATGGTATATACGAGGTTTGCCTGGGGCTCTATGCCAGCGGATTAGGTTTATGTAGCCTAGTACAACAATCTGGTGAAAGATTCCAAGGCGGATTGAAGCTACGTCTTTCATTTGGAAGCATTGATATTCACGGAGATGATTGTACCAAAAGGTAAGCAAACCAGTTCCAAGGTATAAGATGCACTTGTTTGCTATGGTTATGTGTGTCATAAATCTTTTAAGATCATTACCCATCTCAGCTTATAAAAACCATTTCCAAGAAAATAAATATAAGCCCAAAGAAATCCTGCCAAATGAACATTTTTAAACAAGAATATTTTCTACAATGGAAGAGCCGGCTTCTTATCGCAGATAAATGAATTGCTGCCTAAAGTTGCACTTTCATGTTTTATGATAGATAATAAATGTTATTGCAAAAACCAATACAATAACGGTTTACTTTTTTCTAAAAGTATCCCCGTGCCTAATTCACAACTCTTCACCACTTAAAGAAATAGCTATAATATTAAATTTTAATAATGAAATAATTAGTACTATTTCCATATTCAAACTGTTGTAAGACAGCATAGCTCTCCCAATTTTTATGGCTACTTCTACTTACACATGGTCCTTCTATATCGTATTTTATTCTCCTGGTTCAACTTCTAACTCTACTCCATGATATTCCGAGTGCGTGAATCTGCCCACATCCACTTTTTTCTAATCTTCAACCGTAGTTTCCTGTTCATTCTATATCATCGGCTATGATTGGTGCAAATACATCTTGCTTAGATATACGGTCTAAAATACCAATCGATTCTATCCACGTTCCTTCCAAAGTCGGCGAAGGACATCATATGCCTTCCTTCTGACTTTAGCTATTATTGCTAATTCAACTGCCCTTGAACTGCTACTACATGCCTTCCTAGCCGATCCTTCATAGTATTTTCAAGAGCGGCCCTTAGTACAGGCTAGATAGGCGCCTACTTGCCGAGGCAACCTCTCCTTATCTTGCCCTTTCACCCTACTAGATACCTCTACTCTAACTGATTCTACTGTTTCACCTCATCCTGGCCTGGCTAGAAAGCACCAGAGCCAAACGGATATAGGCTCCAGTCACAACAGCCTCCCTCTTCTTGTCTTCATAAACATCACTATTCCTCCTCAAAAGGTAATGAAAACACGTTCTACGGTATGAATACGACCCTCCGCCGCTATAGCCTCTCTATGCCTACTCTCCATACCTACCATCTACCTTAACCTATCGTGTTAGTGCTATGCCTTCCCTCGCCGATATAGCCACGACTTATTTGATCCTTCTTCCCCTCTTCATACCGTCTTACCAACGTTGACATCCGCTTTTACTACCAAATCAACAATCTCGTCCTGCCATCCAAACCATAAGTGGTAGGCAAGTTAGCCCTCTCACTATTCTGTCATCTATCCCACTTATTCTGGTCCATTGAGCTTGACACTACACTACCAAGTACTCACCAGATTCAGACGAATTAAGCCACTGACATTATGATCATAGTTGACACTTAAATGACCATGGATCCGGATATTGATTCGCTGCACGGCTCTGGGGGAAGCCGCCGGCTTAGTCCACGGGGAGAGTCGGAGGAAGAGCGCCCACGAGACAGCATTCAAGCTGGTATTGAACGTCGCTTTCGAGAAATGCCATCACACGTTGGTCGTAACACTGTTAACGATGGCGAAGCTGACCAGCCCGAAGATGACGAGGCCTTGGCAGAGGATATTGCTCAGGTGATCGAGGTGATTGATCTAACCGTGCCTGAGCCTGTAGCTGCAGCAAGAGCACCACGAAGACCTCGAGAGAAACCCGCAAAGCGCAACCCAACAATAGTCCCGGGTCAGCGGCTAAAGAGACATGACTACGAGAACCAAGTACTAAAGCGTGGTGTTCTCGTTGAGATGGAAGCAGTTCCAGCGCTACGACAAGCATCATTCCTGCTTATCCAGTATATTATCCTCACTGGGGATGACATCGTCCTCCGAGGGCTCCCTCTAACGCGCGCGAGAAACTTAAGGGGTCAACTACCGCGACTCCGGAATGAACTTATCTTTATGCTTGAGATCGACCAAGACGACCACCGACCTGACGAGGAACAAGCGGCGATTGAGATACCTTTGAACAAGGTTAGAGGGGTTCGGAACTTTCTCATCACTAACAAGGACTTTCCCGAACACCGGTTTCCTAACGGAATCTATAAGGATACTCACGAGATAGAAGAGAGAGGAGTCCTCATATGCCGTTGGAAGTGCAGAACCATCTGGAGCGATGCTATGAAGCGGTGCAATGGCAAGCCTCCTATCGAATTCGAGGTATCGCGTATGACCTACGAGGAGGTGCCGAAGGAAAGATACCGCACCCCTAGCTCCTGTTTGACAAACAAGTGGCGCGGCGGAATAGTTCGCGGCGGTTCGTTCGTCCCGGGGCAGACAAATGACTCGCGGATGATGGTAGATATTGATGACCCTGAGGACCAATCTGGTGAATTGCCCGATGAATGGATTCCGAGGAAGCCAGGGCAGCAATATACATTTGGCGACATGTTCTGTGGAGCCGGAGGGACATCATGTGGTGCTAGGACTGCTGGCTTTCATATCACGGTGGCTTGTGATTATGCAAAAGGGGCCTGCAATACTTACCGTGAAGAATTTAGAGAAGCAGAATTACACGAAGATGATATGTATAACTTCATCATGTCAAAGCAAGCTTCTACTAACCATATTGACGTGCTTCACCTATCACCACCGTGTCAGTATTGGTCGCCGGCTCACACTACTCCCGGCGCAGGCGATGAGGCGAATATCGCAATCCTGTTTGCCTGTCATGAACTGGTTAAGGTCTTTCGTCCACGAATTTTTACGGTAGAACAAACTTATGGCATCCTCCACTCGAGATTTGAATATTACTTTAATGCTCTGATCCACGGGTTCACTCGGTACGGCTATTCCGTCCGATGGAGAGTAGCTAACTTGCTTCAATGGGGGGCTGCCTCGCAGCGACAGCGGCTTATCATATTCGGCTCTTGTCCAGGTGAAGAGCTACCACCATTTCCACCAGCAACGCATTCCAAGGATCCAAATCCTGACCAGGGGACCAAACCTTACAAGACAGTGAGGCAAATTCTAAAAAAGATTCCCCGGGATGCGTCACTCTACGACCCCCTCCATAGCACCCGCAAGCTCAAAGAGCTAAAACTTAACCGGTGGAATCCTGATGCACCGCTTGCCCGTACTATTACCTGCGGTGGTGGCGTAGGAAACTATCACTACAGTGGGAAGCGTGACTTCACACTTCGAGAATACGCAGTACTACAAGGGTTTCCGGTGGACTACAACTTCCAGCAACCAGAGCAGAAGCGGCAAATCGGTAATGCTTTCCCACCCCTTGTAGTCCGAACGCTTTACAAGCATCTCCGCAGGTGGCTGGAGCAGCAGGATCGAGTGTATGCTGATGGTGAACTCTCGGAGTCTGAGGACAGCGATAGTGGCAACGATGATGATATGCGAGGACAGATGGAAGAACCTGCTGATGATAGCGAGGTCGAATATCTCGGAGGGCTAGCAATCGACCGGAACGATAGCGTACAATATCTAGGGGGGCGATATTTACATCAGCAAGGTAGCGAGCCACTTACCATTGACGACTCGGAGCCAGATGCTATGGCCATAGATGCCATGAGCGAAGATGTTCACAGTCCTGACATTTGCATCGATGCAGTTCAAGCGGTAGGAAATGATCCTTTTCATCCAATCCAGATTAAGTGAAAGGAATGGACATTGGTCATAGCATTTACGCAAGGGCATTGTGATTTACAGCACGACTTTGGAGGAATTTCATCGGGTTTGCAGTTACATTTAGAGGATATGAGCACGGGTTCTAGCACTTCTACTGAACCCCCAAACGCGAGTCGCGTTATTGTGCTCTCTATGTGAGAGGATAAAGCTAGGCATCGACCGATGCAATTTAGACAGACGAGATAGATCAGATCACATTTGCTACCGAGTTTACGGATGATAGATCGCAAGTTCATAGGCATAATGAGATTATCTACCCTCTCCGAATAACAGTGTAGCGTTGGTTTCGACGTCTCTATTTCCTTTGGCAAATTCTTAACCCCTGAGTTATTTTCATTTCCATTTCGTGCCTATATATGTGACGCAGTAGAACTAGACCTTTCTTATTGACTTAGAACGGTTAGGCTTGAGACTATTATAAGCTTATATGCATGAAAACACACGCGAATCGTAAGATCCGGGGATATTAACCGTGGTAGCATTCTATTTCCATAGTAAAGGGGTCACCGTCGAGTCTGGGTAAGGTTTAGAAGTTGTAAGCGATACTTCACGAGAACCAAAGTATGCTGAGTATGTAGGCGGTGCATGACCTATTACAAACCAAAGCCTCTATCAACACGCAGTGTCCGCTTGCAGTGAGGTATTAAGGGGTCCGTACAGAGGCTTAGAAGCTGTGGGTTATGTTCTCGAGCACGACGATGAGGCTGGTAGCGAGGCGAGCTTGTCAAATCGGGTTACGGAGCCTACGACAACTCACTCGCCTTGCGAGCAGGGGAAGCTGTCGTGTGTGCTCACCAGGGGTGAAAGTCTAGAACGTGAGAGCTGCGCCGTTGGCCTAGACTAGTCGAATATGGGAAATGCTGTCGAAGTTACTATTGTTCTGGGAGGACGAATCGGGGATGGCTTGGAAAAAGCACGTCAAAGGGGTAATGCTGTAGGTATTCGCAAGACATAAAATTGCAAGCATATCAAATCGTTGGTAGCTAGCATTTCATTAAATTTAGGATACTCGTCCGAATTTAGCAGTGCCCTTGAGGGTTGAAAGAGCCGTGTTGTCCGTTTATTCCCGTGGCTGTTGGAGATTGTCTGTATTGAAATTATTGGTACCATAGGCAGCCTTTCTCCAGCCTCTCTACTCAGTTAGCCGTCCACAGTAGTACGAGTCCGATAGAGGCCAAGAGACAAGAGGGGCCGCCACGCAGCCAGAATCCACAACGGAAGAGGCCGTCTGCAGAAGCGGACTTCGCTAGTTGAATGCATCGGACCCGAAGCCCTAAAGAAACCCGCCGACCTACTGAATGGAACTTACACTGTTGCTCGCCACGTCTTTGGGCTAATTAAGTAATTAGATCTAGAAGTAAACACTATGTGCACTGCGCCACTGCGTGCTAAGTCTTTGCTTTACCGGACTTTTTTCTTCTTCTTTTTTTCATTTAAAAAAGTCTAGAAATTAAAGAGTGATATAGTATCTACGGCATTGGCCGCTTTTGCGGGCGTTTGTAATGGAAGAGCTACTTCGTAGTCTTATGTACCTAGATGCTGAAGTCCTGCTAAAACCCGACTTACACAAATAGCAACAAACAGCAACATGAGTTCTCGGGACGCTCGGCATTCGCAATCATCCCTGTACAAAGTAAAGGAACAAGAAATTATGAGGAAATCTGACGATTCTTTACTATAGTACTAGTTAGTATATTGAAAAAATTTGCTTTTGTCAACAGGGCGCGTTACGGGTTGAGAGAGCTAGGATCCAATTTGGGATTTAAGATCTATGGAGATGATGTTGCAATGCGGCTGCACAGCTCGTCACTTAGATGTTCCATCTGAGAAATGAATACGAATGTACGACGTTGGAGACCCAAAAATTGGAGAGTTCTAGACCGTCGAGACCGTCAAGTCGTCGCTACGGATTTAAATTTGGTAAGATGGCTTTGGGCTGATGTGCCGGACGGATGGTAGCATTTCAGATTGGAAGAGCTTACACAGTAGCCGAGATATATCAACCGGTTTCTTCCTTAAGGGAAGGGTACATGCATATACATCTAGTACCTGGCATATGGGACTACAGCGGATGGATCCGATCTCTTTTTAGAGTATACATACATGTACGATAGGGCAGACCGGAGAGAGGACAGCTAATTTCAACATGCAGCCGGTCGAGATGCAGTAGCTGACATACTACATCATGTAAGAATCTCAAGGGAAGTTGTGTCACTATAGATCGATGCGTTCAAAGATAGCTAAAGTAGACTCTGCATAATAAGATGAATTGTCATGCATATGTAGTAGTGATCATGTAATTGAATTCATTCCTATGCGTGTTGCTCTCAATCTCCAAAATCGTGAAATCGATTTCCACTAACTACCTAGGTACCCAGCTTTTCATCCTAGCAGCAACATTAAAGAGAGATTCGGAGTGACGCACACCCTCGAGTTAAACTGACATGCCTCGACGTGACTCGTCATAAAAGAAAGAAATATTTACTGTGGGGGAATCCGTGCGAGGAGAGCGCATGGACACTAACACTAAAGTCAACATCAGATGAACGGGAGATTATTACCACAGCTATTAGCTAGGGTACGAATTCGACCATCTCGATATCCACGTTTTATTAATATATATCTTAATTTCGATCTATCAGATCTCGGCAACTTCGTCTATTCGTGCAAGGAAGCTAGGCTAAGTACATACCTACATATGCAAAGACACCTTTTATTCTATATAACGGAATATGTAAGATTTCGCGAGTTGGATGTGAAGGTCGAGACTTGGATTTATTGAACCAATATAATATAGTACTAGAATGAAGAGTCTGTAGCGTAGTAATATAGATTTCAACGTAGTGCTAACTAGGAGCAGTAAGCTTAACCGTTAAACATCGACGATTCGCGGTTCTTATTCCGCAAGCTGATATCCGAAATAAGGCTGCTCAAATGCTATTGGAAGCCTTCTTTTCTACTTCCACTTCCAAATAAATCATTTACCTATGTAGTATACGGTGTGGTGTCGTTGTGATAGTGACTGCATTCTGTTCCTGACTAGTCACCCTCTGCCCCTTAATTAGCCATGCAGGGCCCTGGGTTGCCAAGCTAAAATGTGCCGATCATCATTTTAAAGGCCTGCCAACACTCCTAAAGCTTACTGCTCTAGCTTCACGATACATGCTATACGCGTATAATTATAGTAGCAAATAGAAGTACACAAGAAGTTAGGCTTTTTAGCTGGTCGATGCCACATACATAGTACGTACCTCATAGTATAGGAACCGAAAAGCGATGCGAGTAGGTAAACGTCATCCCGACGCACAGAAACGTTCGGCAGAGAGGATCAACATAATCTTCAGTGGCTTGAAAACATTAATCAAACCATGTACCTTAGGTACTTATGCGTATAAGCGTCTAAATATTAACGGACTTTATATTACTGCGAGCTATACACTATACGTAGGACGTTATATTTCTTAGCTAATAGTGACACGCGATATCTTTCATTTTAGACGCGTTCAAACTTGTGATATACTAATGTACTTTTTGCATGTCCAATCAGATCAGTAATACTCGTTAGTATGTACCTAAGGTAGACGTATGTTCTCCTTTTCCCAATCTGCCACTCAGCCCCCTTCCTCTTTTTCTTGGTATCTTAATACTAGGCGCCCGTGCGTATGTATCCGCTCATAACCCCACAAACTAGCGAACATTACCAGGATATAGAAAAGAAAAAACCCCTGTCGACAGGCCTGGAAGCTCCACAAGTGAAGATACTGAAAGGAGGTGAGAGGATTCAGGTGAGCCTCGCCATTGGGACGCCGGTCACTTAGGGCAGAACTTGACGATCTGAATTAGGCCCATAGTACTGACCGCCATGCTGCTAGGCGAAGAAATACTCCGAATTCATTGCATCGCCTAGTACTGCCAAATCACGGGTGGCCGGGTGGCGATGGAAGCCCACGCCACGTACTCCCCTTGGCCAATGTGTTGATGCTAATTTCAGACGAAGGCATAGAAAAGAGAGCCTATGCCGTCTCTTACAATGCCTCTCTTTCCTCTTTCATTCCCATCAAGCTTCGGCCAAGATAGTCACTCTTTTGTGCTTCCGGCGTAATCATTCTTTTTTGGAATATTTACTATTCCAGTCCATTCTTTAAGCAGTTGCTGTTTTTTGCGAAGTTTGATAAAGAAAAATGCGTTTCTCTACCCACGGCTCCGCGGCCGTGGCCATGGCGGCCCTCGCCAGTGCCACTGCCCCGGTCTCTGAGCGCCATCTCCTCGACCTTTCCAAGGACCTGAGCCAGCCTATCTCTGCTAACGTTGATTTGGGCGTGGACTTGAGCGGTACCACTCTCGTCGCCGGTGTTGTCGCCGGTGTGGCCGTTCCCCCTCTAGTCGGTGTTGGTGCCGATGTTGAGGTTGAGATTGTTTGTGACACTTGCTTCGTCAAGGGTAACATCAACGCCAGCATCTCTCTGGACAATGTTGTCCCCGCCCTCAGCCTGTCCCTCCAGGGCATCGAGGCCAAGCTCGACCTCGACGTCAGTATCGGTGCTGCCGCCGTCATTGCTGTCAACCTGTTCACCCCTCCCGCCCCTATCTCTCTCCCCCTCCCTGGTCTTAAGGTTGATGCCCTCATCTCCCTTGACCTTATCATCGGTGTTGAGACCGCCATCGACCTGTCCGCTGGTATCGACCTGAAGCTTGTGGAGGATGCTACGATTGTGACCGATATCTTGGCCGGAAAGATCCTGGATGCTGCTTTCTCTGGATTGTCCGTCCAGGTCCTACCCATTGAGGTCCGAATCGGCTGCACCAGGCTATTGGCTGATCTCCGTCTCCGTGTCGAACTTGGTGTTGCTGCCGAAGTCGACGTTGACGACATCATCCCTATCCTTGACCTCCCTGAGATCGGTGCCGGTCTCGAGGTTGCCGTCTTCGCCAACTTGCTTGAGTACGTCGGTTTCTTCTGCGCTACTCCTTCGTGCCCTCTCTCCAAGGAGTCGTATGGCCTGAACGTTGGTGCTGCTGTGGAGCTTGATGTGTCTGTTGAGGACCTTCTTTCCATCCACCTTGCTCCTACCATCTCCACTGCTCTCCTCAGCTACCCTACGACAACCATCTGCGAGCACCCCTCGTACACTCTGTCGGTCCCGACTCTTACCGCTACCTCGATTTCCGCCTCTGTCACTGGCTCTGCCTCTGCTTCTGAGTCCGGATCTAACTCTGGCTCTATCACTGCTACTGGCTCCGGCTCTGCTTCCGCTTCCGCTTCCGCTTCCGGATCTGCCTCTGCTACTGGATCTGGTTCCGCCTCCGGATCTGCTTCTGCTACCGGCTCTGGTTCCGCCAGCGGCTCTGGCTCTGCTACTGTCTCCGGCCCCGGATCTGCCAGCGCCACTGGTTCCGGATCCGCCAGTGCTTCTGGTTCTGGATCTGCCACCGGTTCCGGCTCTGAGTCCGCTACTGCTACCGCCCCTGGTTATCCCATTGGCACTGGCTCTGGCGTCATCTCTGTTACTTCTGCCACGGCTCCTGTCTCGGCTTCTATCTCGGCTCCTATCCCTACTGGTGGCTCCATCACTTCTACCGTCACCAACGTGCAGACTTTCACCATCACTCAGTGTGCTGCTTCCGTGCCTAACTGCCCTGCTGGTTACGCTACCACTGCTACTGTCATCCACACTACCGTCTACACGACCGTGTGCCCCGCTACTCAGACTGGTGCTATCACTGCCCCCCCGCCGAAGCCCACTCACAGCAAGCCTGCCACTCCTGTGACCTTCACCAAGACTATCGTGACTCTCGTCCCTTGCTCCGAGGCCTCGACTTTCACTCCCCCCACCAACATCCCTACTGCTCCTTACCCAACCGGTGTCAAGGCCGTTCCCAGCACCACCCCCGCTGGCAGCCCTTCCACTAGCTACCCTGCCGGAGCTCCCTCTGTCTCGAAGCCCGCTGGTATCCCCTCTGTCACCGGCCCTGCTGGTCCTTCTCAGAGCGGTCCCGCTGGTACTGCTTCTGCCAGCTACCCTGCTAGCTTCGTTACCGTCCCCGGTGGCAAGCCCTCTGGAACCTACCCTCCCGGTGGTAACTCCAACACTCTCCCTGTTGGTACCCCCAGCAGCGTTCCTGGTGGCCCTGCTTTCCCTACCGGTGGTTCACCATCTGGCCCTGCTTTCCCTACCGGTGGCTCGCCTTCTGGCCCGGCTTTCCCTACCGGTGGCTCGCCTTCTGGCCCCGCCACCCCGACTGTTGTGCCTCCTTATCCCACTGGCCCCATCGGCGGTGGTTCCAACAGCACTATCCCCGCTGCTCCTACGTCTCCCCAGACTTTGAGCACCTATGTGCCCAGCGCCAGCCCCGTTAACCCGGGTTCTTCTGGCTACCCCACCATTCCGGGTGAGACTCCCATCCCCACTGCCGGTGCCGCCAAGGTTGGCAGCGGTATCGCTCTCGCCGTCGCCGGTGCTTTCTTCGCTCTGCTATAAGGGATGAAGTGATATATAAATAAGGATGTAGTTAGAATAGGGGGAGAGGTCTTCTAATATGTAATGTTTCATTGGAAAGCAAGCGTTAGGCGTGTTATCATAGCTTTGGTATATACCATTCATGTTCATGACAGCTTGTAGATTTAGAAATCTAGGTCGTTGACTATTATTGTTTGTGCTATTGCGTGTTGTGCTTTGCCAGTGAATATATGCCTATCTATTTATCGTTGAGAAATTATCATTGTGTGCTAATGTGCTTTTGCTACCCAGATCCTCGATTTCTTCGTGTATATGTCCATAATGTGAAGCCATCCTGTTTACTATTAACTAGTTAATCTAGTGTGTTGTTATTGGATCAATTTCCCTACGTACTTGAGGGCAATTCTCATTGTCATTGTCATCTCTTAGTTTTGCAATCCTTCATTATATCGTACTCTCTTAATCCTCTGGTTCCCATCTATTCTTCTCAAGTGTAGGAACTATTTTATTATTTTCGAATGGTTTCTTAGCCTAACCTATTTTATTGTCTTTCCCCTTGAATTGTCATCGGACTTATGATGCATTTAGTGTGTTGTTAAACCCGTTGGCTTGCATTAATTAGGCGGTCACGTGGACCCCCGATTTATGACATCCTGTGATGTAACACTATGATAAAGCTGCAACTATTCCCACATCTCTTGCCTATCAACCCCTTTTTAATCGTAATAGTAAGGGTTTTTACGTAGTTGAATATAAATCCCACAATTTCTCAATATTCAACTGCCGTTGACCGCCGGATCAACTTGGCTTACACGAGAAGTTAGGTCCCGACTAATATATTAGTTTGGGTCCAACGGTTACGAATCCCTCGATAAACCCGACGCTCCTGTCCTACCAGAACGCTTTTAGCTAGTTCACCCTTTTCATGGCTTCGGCCGGTTCGGTCTCCGCTCTGCTTGGTCTGCATTTTCGGTTGGTCTGTTGCACCAGAGGCATAGGCTACGCCACACGATCTCACGTTCTTCCCCGCACCTCATCCCGCACTAGGGATTCTTGGGAGGATTATTATACCAACTATGAACTAAGGATCGGAGACGCCTGCTTACTTTAGAGGATTTTTGAAAATTTCCCTTTCAGCTTTATATAAAAGGAGTTTTGTAACCGACCCTCTTGGTGAGTGAATTAAAGTAGTAATTATATTTGAGTCTTCTCGTCGCCCATGTGCCGGTCAAGTCAGTCTGTTTCTCACGTCTCTTCTATTTACGTAATAAATTCACCATTAGAAATCCGGAGTAAGGAGATCAAAACGCCGAAACATTAGATACCCTACACTTTTATTATTTCAAAATGGCCCCTCCGTTCCGTGCCGAGCACTTAGGTTCGCTACTGCGACCCGAAGAGCTGCTAAATGTGCGTGAAACCATCCGGGACAAGGGTGTCTCGGAAGAGGAGGCAGGGCTACCGGCAGTGGAGAAGAAGGCCATTGGCGATGTAGTTAAGCTGCAGCAGGACTTAGGCCTGAAGGCTGTCAACTCGGGCGAATACAACCGCACCCGGTTCTGGGGTCTCTTTTGGGATGAGATCGAGGGTACCATCCGCCTCCAAGATGCCGACGCTAGCATGTTCCGGTTGTATCACCCGGATGTTGTTAGTCTGATCGAGACAGGCAGGAAGGTTATGCCCGGAGAGTCCGTTATTGCTGGAAGCAAGCTGTCGCACAACCCTGCCAAGGCGGTGTCCAATTTGTCTGAACTTCAGGAGGTCCAGGCATTCGTTCCGAAGAGCGAATGGGGCAACATTAAGCTCACTATGATTGCACCGTCCTGGTTCCACATGAGGTACAAGCAGGGCCAGGCCTATACCAAAGAAGCCTATGCCAACGACGCCGAGTACTTTGCAGACGTCGCCAAGGTTTACCATGCCGAATTAGAAACGTTATACAAGGCCGGGCTACGAAATGTCCAATTTGACGACCCTGGCATGGCTTGTAAGTCTGCTTTAAAATGTTTCTACAACACTCTTCAGGCATATGGCTAACAAGAAAACAGACTTCTGCTCCAAGGACTTCCGAAAGGGTTGGGAAGAGGACAAGGACAACATTGGGACATGGGAGGACCTTCTTGACGCCTACATCAAGCTATACAACGACTCCCTTGCCGGCTTACCGGCAGACTTCCACTCAGGTATCCACCTGTGCCGAGGTAACTTCATCGGCGGAAGGCACTTTTCTGAGGGAGCGTACGATATAATTGCGAAGAAGTTATTCGAGAACCTGAACGTGAACACATTCTACCTCGAGTATGATACTGAGCGAGCAGGCGGCTTTGAGCCTCTGCAGTTCCTCCCTAAGGACAAGAACGTCGTGGTTGGTATCATCAGCACAAAGTTAAGACAGCTAGAGGATAAGGAGGAGACGAAGGAGCGCATCTACAGGGCGGCGGACTTCGTAGCAAAGGGAAGTAGCCAAACCCGTGAGGAAGCCCTGAAGAGAATCTCCATCAGCCCCCAGTGCGGTTTCAGCACCCACGAGACTGGATACCCCTTAACAGTTGACGATGAGAAGAAGAAGCTATCGCTTGTGAGGCAGATAGCTGACGAAATCTGGGGCGAGCCCTAGATGTGTATCTATATATGTGTACATGACATAGGAGTTCTCGGGTGGGAGATGATCGGTTGTGATTTGCGGAGGTTTAGCGGCGCGCTATTGGCTACTTCAACAGTCCAAAAATTCGGGTTAGACAGATAAAGATGGGGAGCCGCAGGTGCGGCGGCGGGTAGGCGCATGTTTTTGGGTATACCCACGGAGAATCAACTTCTAAGACGTACATGACAGGGACTCGGCCTACTAGGGACACGAGGAATTTTTGAAAACAGCCGATACCACACATGATCTATAATCTACCCGTTATACAAGGGGTACGATTGTAACATCGAATAGGTCTTGCAGCTGCGGCTGGCGTATCCCGGTTAGCCTCATACGCTTTCATAATTAGAAAGCGATGGTCTAAAACTTTGGAGCCCGGCGACGAGCTGGCTATCTACCTCTTATGGAAGTGTTGTGAACTTCAGAGTAATGACTGCGTGGTATCTCCATGAACTAAGACATACCACTGTCCCGTCGTAATTTGAGACAGGCGTAAGTTGTTGAGAAAAAACCATCATCCTCGGTATATTCTCTTAAATATTTGGGTGTGTGACTACTATAATTGCGTAGTGACTTTGAGCCTTGGTTGCATTTCGTAGATCTTGGAGAATTGATGAGATGCGCTTCAAGGTTTCGTCTTTGTCAAGATAAAACCGTGATAGCCGAAACCAGAACCATCACCGAGAACCTCCATCTCGATCTCCCAGCTAGTTCCTTCGCAATTCAGTAGAGGTGTTATGAAATGCGGCTGTCGGTATGTCACGTAAAGGAATGCCCCATCATCTTTGAGGACTCGATTTACCTGCATAGTATCAGTAGGCGTCCTGTATGAATTGTATACAGAATAGATTAAGACACAAATAAAAGCGACTGCGTATATTTAGAACAGCACGTCAGTAGTTAAGACCTACCTCGCGGATGTATTGACCAGTATTCTGTTTAACATCGTCGGGTGGACTCCAGGGACTACCATGGATCATCGCGTCTAAGGTTCCCTTATCAAAGGCGACATCTATGGACTTTTCAGGGATGTCATCCAAATGGCGGACATCACCATGCTTCCATTCGATACCCTCCATACTGGAGTGTCGTTTAGACATGAGATCCACGACGACCGTCGAAAAGTCGACACAGAGCTGGTTCTTGTACCCCCTTTCCCATAACCCCACCGGCACGTCCTGCGAGATACGTTAACCATGTTAATCGTTTCTTATACGAATAAGATTATTTATTCGCTGGGAAAACATACACTATCTCCCGACCCTAAATGTAAAATTCGCGGATTTGTGTTGGGACTACGGGTTTGAAAGAGTCTCCGATCAAGAAAAGCCTCGAGTTCAGCGAAATTCCTAAACCACTCATGAGTTGGTCGATCTCCTTCGGCTTGAGCATAACGCTGATCCCAAAAGCTGGGATGCGCGAGACGTTCATTTTCTTCGTCTGATGATCCCATTTCGAGAACTCTTGACTCTTGACTCTTTTCAGCTCGAATCTGTCATCGCAACCCGAACGACATACATGTATCTTTTTAAAAGTACCTCTGCATTTCTTTAACGCCTCAAGCCGTTTACAGGGATTAGGTACTGTGGAGTATCCACGTGATACTTATCTAAGACGGAGCAACCTTGTTCCCGTCCGCCTGTACCTACGGATGATGAATACCTGGATCCTATGTAAACGGAGCGAGCTTATTAACTTTGTTTTTCGTAACGCCAACACCGGTTTTGAAGCTGGGAAACTTGGAAAAATGCGCATCTATCGGTCCACTTATCAGTTTTACATTGTGAAAATTACTATTTACTAAGGTATGTATCTTTTCCTAGTATGTACAGTTCCTACCATTATGTTTTACTACATAACCCACATGCCGATCAGGGCTTTATTGAGCTGCAGTTTTCCGGGTCCATGGATTTCGCTTATGCAGGTACGAGGCTTGTCAAGATCCCCCAATCATCTATATCGAATGCCTGCGACCCTAAGGTACCTCTACCCATTACATTTCACAGGTATCATGTGTGCTTTATATTCGGAGCGCATTGCCATTCTCTAATTACAACAAGATGCTTTTGTGATACTATATTTATATTTATCGCAGAAAAGAACTGGTAGGGCTGATAGGTACCTACTTACCTCTTTTAAACTTTTAAGGCTAGGTGCTTTAGGTTAGACAGATTTCTATGATAAGCAATTATAATAAATATGTATTGCGTCACTTACATGGGCAAAGTACTATCGATAATACGTCATCGTCTTCCTACAAACACATATTGAACATTTAACTCAGAATAAAAGAATTCTTAAACCAAAACTCTCCAAACAAAGCAATCATCTAAGAAACAGATATCAAAGAAATACAATGGCGGAAATCGCAGCTGGGATCTGGGCAGCAGAACAAGCCGTCTCCACGAGCATCTATGCTGGAGCGGCTGGTTATGCCGTTGCAAAATCTACTATGCCCCTGAAGGCAACATTTTCACAGATTGGATCTACGTCAGATGATGCCTCAAGGTATGTGCACTTTCTACGGGATTTATCTTCTCGTGTTCATATTATACTAATTTGCAGAAGGTCTTCACTCAATAGATCTCATCATACACTCACCGTAGTTGGTGACAAAGCTTATATTTTCGGAGGCCAGACGAGTCAAAGAAAACTTGCCAATAACATCCACTTCTTAGCACTGCCAAACGCCAGTTCTGTTGTACCTGAGTATCAAGTATTGCCCGCCATTGCTGCAGAGAATGACGGGCCCGTGCCTAAGCCGCGAACCAAGCATTCTGCTTGCGCGTTAAATAACCGCGTCGCTATCTACGGGGGTTGCGATGAAGCCGGAAATCTCTTGGATGAAGGCCCTATAATATGGTTATTCGATGTCGAGAAACTCACATGGAGTACTCTTAAACCTTCTAGCCATCCAGAGAGAACGCCACCTCCGAGAAGCGAAGCACATTTACTCGCTCACGATGGCAACCTCATCCTCATCGGTGGGATAAATTCAAATGGTGAAGCGCTAACGGACGTTTGGCATTACGATTGCTCTACTGAAATTTGGAATCAGCTGCCGCATACCCCGGCCGCCGTCACGAGTGCAGCAATTTCGGGACACACGGTATATGCAATCTCTAGCTCTGATACGCTTGGTAGTGAAGTGCATCATCTAGAAATCCAACCGTACACTGAACCGGCTTCAACCTGGCAGACTATCTCGTTTCCCACAAACCCTTTAACGCCAGGACCTAGACCGAGGTCTCATGGTGGGTTAATACCTATCACAACGGGATACGGTCGAAACTATCTCCTCTATTTCTTCGGCGATCGTCAAGGAGAAGCGGAGAAAGGAAATCTACTGCAGTGGAGCGATCTGTGGACCTTTCAACTTCCATCTAGTGATTTAGATGTCAAAGCGACTACCACCATGAACGAGGCGATCAAGCCGGCTAAGATCAAAGATCAGATACGCTCAAAGCTCGGTGCCGATACGGGCGCGTCTAGCTGGGCTGAAGTTGAAGTACAGCCCCCCGGTGACCTTAAAGCACATCAGGGTAAGGTTCATCCTGGTCCGCGAAGTTCGTTCGGATACGATATAACAGCTGATGGACGGGGTGTCGTACTATGGGGCGGTTGTGATGCAACCGGAGGATCGGAGGGTGACGGATGGATTATTGAATTCTCATAGAGCTGCCGTTCCGTGACACGACAGGTCTCTATTGTCAAGGATCTAATTAAAACAAGGACCGCTAGATAGGACACGAGATAAAACGGGAAATTGATTTATTCTGTGAAATTCGCATTTTTCTTTAAGAAAAAAATAAAAGCATTCAACAATAGACATGTTCGCCTTTCTGAATATGCTTTGTTAACATCGGGTAATGAAAGGCGCCTTTGGCTTAAGTAGTAGATAAAGGTTTGCTTAATAGGGAAGCGTTCATATTAAACTTGAATTCGCATAATAGAGAAAGAATTTTGACGATTTTGACGCTTTATGCACTATTTTAAATTATATTCTATCTCAAACTAAATACGTCCACAATATGGGTAGAGGTTACAGCATTGCTTCGGTCTACGATACCACTCCGTATCACGCCTACTGCCTATCTGAAGGAGGGGATGAAGATGACGATGTCTGCGTATGGGATGAAGGTCCAGAGCTTTTCGATTTGTATGATAGCGAAGATGAGCGAATAGTCGCTGAGATTCATAGTTCTATCCCCGAGCGTGATTGGATATTCCGCAGCAAAGCACGAAATGATGATACCCCAACAACGATACGGCCTGCAGCGGCAAATAGGAGAGACAGCACCATCACAATATTAGAAAATCCATCCAAAGATCCAGAAAAACTAACTGACGATGAGTTCCAAGAGCGACAGATCGCCTATGCACTGTCGACCGCTCGGAGGAATCTAACTAGAATGTCGCAGTTCATGTTAAAGTTGGAGTGTCGCGCAGGGAAGATCACGAAAGAAGGCATCAAGCACACCCTTGATGCTACTGTCGCCGACAGTACTGACGCGGCTAATCAATATCCTACTTACCAGGACGAGCTCGAGGAAATCAAACACCTTAGCGATAATGTATGGCAGCGCTTATATCTCATCGACCGACACTGGCGACAACAGAGCCGCAGGAATCGCGATGCTGAGGGGCACAGCCCCCCCATCGAGCTTGAAAGCGAACCAGCCGTGAGGGCATTCCTAAAAGAAGAACGGCAGACTAACCCCCTAACAAGTAGCGATTCGTGTTATTATACAGCTGCCAACCTAGCGAGCGGGAGGAGGTTTGAAGACTGGATTACTTACCTGAAGAACTTCTGCGAGTTCAAGGACGACCCGGCCGAGGAGACTAAGCTTGTGCATCTAGCCTGGCGGTTCTTGGACCGCGAATTGCGTGGGCCGAGGCCGACTAATCCTGCGTGTATTGATAATTTCCTGGCCGAGCTTAATGGCCAATACCAGAATGGTGCTTTTGACGAGGCGATTAAGAATCCTGAGAAGCGGGAGAAAGATGATGATAAGGCGTGGGGGGCTATCAAGAGGTTTTGGTTTTCGAGGTTTCAGTCTTAAGTGGTAAAGCAATTAGAATTAATATATGGACTTATTACATTGATGAGAGTATGTTTCTGGGTTAATGCAGGGGATAGAGCTGTGAGGTGTAAATGTCTTTAGGTAGATGTGTACCTAGTATTCCCCCTATTAAATAATACATGTAGTTTTTTATGAACCTATATTTCCTTAAGTTTCTACATTCCCAGGATCAATAATCAGAAGCTGGCACTATGTACTGGAAGTCAATTTTCAACGTCGTTAGTAGGATGTGGTTAGCATTTCGAAGCGTAGGTTGATATAGGGGCGTACCCATGTAGCCCTCGGGGCCCTAATACTCCCAGCACGGAAGTTCTTCCCTCACGGAGGTAAGTTCGAGACTACATTAAGTGTCATGCCAGATTTCAATCATTGTGTCTATATTACGAAGCTACTTCGATTTACATTGCCTATTGTTTAGGTACCTTTGTACTGCACAGGCTGATAATTTCAATGCAATAGCTCACCGCGAATAGCTATTGGTTCCGTTATAGCCATTCATCACAAGGCAGTGGTATCCTTTCAAGGTTTGCGAACAATTCTTTGTATCTGCTAATAATCTCAAAGACATCTTTAGAAACCTCACCCAGGCTTTATCTTTCAGACAAGGTATTATCAGTTGCATTGTAGTGATGGTGTCATTGATAATGTAAAGAGTGGCTATGGAAATGTAACATAAGAACTATGTTAGGCCTACTTCCTAGTAACGAAATGAAACAATTCTATATTCTCGCTTTCATGTAAGCTACATGGGCAATTGGACCCCCGCGGGAAGCCAGTAGCTACGTTTACCCCCTTTTATCAAATCAGCCACCGAGTTCCTTCGCTCTCATGTTGTACACTCAACGGACTCCTCTACTGGGGTCTTCAAAAAATATTAACTATTCCACCGTTAAGCCTATGCTAAGTAATGATACTCCTGTAAAGAACCAGCTAGCTGAAATTTCAGGTAGTGAGGATCATGTTATTGATATCGAGAGAATAACTAAAGTGCAAGAGAGTATTTCGCCTACCACGACGTATTCTTACGGTAGCAGTTGCGGTGTATATTTCTGCGACTATTGTGCGCAGAACGGCTTGGAGCATTCCCCGGACCCGGAAGGGGATGAGCGTAACACTTGGATAAGATATATAGAAAGTGAGGGGTCGATGGCGGTCCTTGAATCGATGATAACCTTTCAGATGCGCCTTCTTAGCGTGTTAGTACCAGCGATCCTATTACTCGTTCTAAGGATATATATAGCAGCATTGTTTTAAGATATATAGGTTAGGTACATATCTAGGTAGCTTAGGTACCAAAGTAGGAATACTCGTCATAATATACTTGTTTGCTTGTTCATAACCGGCGTAACTTCCCTCCTCGTACTTCCTTCTCCAAGTGAATATCCTACATCGAATATACAACCCTACCTACTTCTACCTATCTCTCCCTACCTCTCCCTACCTCTACCTGCCAACTACTATCTAAACGATTCAACACCTTACAACACACCAAGTACCTTATCTACATCAAGACACAGCCTTCGCAACATAGTCTTGCTCCTACAGACTGGAGATATCTCACAGCTCTCAAGCACCACCAGTCCATCCGTCCTCAAATCATCTACTACTCTTGTTACCACATATATTTTTCTCTATTCTAGGTCTCGTCCGTATTCAGTATCCTAGTCACAGTGTAGGCGGCTACTCTTCTAAAACCTTCTCATTTGCCACCTTACACACGACGTCGAGCAGCTTCCTTACTTCTCGCTTACGGTAAGTAATCCCGGCAAGTAGTTTTTTCTATCCTTCCCAGCCCCCTCGTGACATCCTTACTACCAGCACTATTGCACATCCCATTACGTTTGACGATCTCGTATTCCTTACACCAGTGGAAGATACACCCCGCCGTCTTCGAGCGGGAAGCCTAACATCCGTTTATCTCCACCTCCTTGAGCAGTTCTTACTAACACACCTCACTGTACAGCCCACCCACGTAGTATCCTAGTATCACGATTACTGCCCAGTCTACGATCTCTTATCGTACCGGCGATCACGCCTACTGGGCAATATGTCCAATATAGGCACCGACGACGGAATAGAGGCACAACTGCCGGTTGCTGCTACTGACGCAACAGCGCAGCAACTGGAACCAGATATTTTCACATGGAACTCGTGCGGAGACTATGACGACCAGAAGCGAATTAAGATCAAAGAGGAAGCACTTGAATTCGGTCTCTTGCAATGTGAGAAGCTTATTCAAAAGCTCGAATCCTCTTCCCTCAGCAACTCCGGTACAAGTGACCCATTGGTTTCAACTTCTTTAGGGTGGACAGACGTCGAAAAATGGATCAAGAAATGCAGTAGGTATTTTATAGCTCTATGGAGATGCTATACTAACGGCTATTATAGAAAATCTTATTGCTACTCACAAGGAATTCAAAGTCCTCGTTGGCGTCGCAGGGCCAACCGGCAGCGGGAAGACGTCGGCTCTTAACGCCCTCCTTGGGCTAAGAGGGTTTTTGGCGACCAATAGCCAGGAGGCTGCCACGGCCGTGCCTTGCAAAGTATCCTACAACGACGACGATAGATCCTGGATGAAATACAGAGCCTGCGTCGTTTTTCGCACGAAGACCAAGCTTGTTAAGCAACTAAACGATTTCTTCCAAGATCTGAAGACTAGGAATGAGCTTCAAGCGGCAAATACCGGCGAAATTAATGACGAAGATGCTCTTGAAGATATTGATGCCCGACTAACACCTACCTTTGAGATGATTCGGACAGTATTTGGCCTTGAGGAGGAGAGCGTTGCAAATATGACAACTCAGACGCTTCTTAGTTTAAACCCGGGCGTCGTTAAGCTTCTTGGAGCAACGAAGAAGTTTCACGGCAACAACCTTGACCAAGTCTCAGAGCAGATTAAACCATACATAGATTCAACAACTGCAGACCACACAACGTCAAGCTCAGAGTTTGCGGCTTGGCCCCTCATCGACGAGGTGGAAATATTCGTCAAATCTGACATCCTCCGAAACGGGGTCGTCCTGGTAGATTTGCCCGGGCTTTGTGACTGGGTGGAGAGCCGGGCTGCAGTAGCCAAGGGTTATTTCCATAAGCTTGCTGCTACTCTTATTGTGTCGCCCGCCGTTAGAGCAGCTGATAACTCTACTTCCATGAGGCTCCTGTCGGATCATAAAGGATTATGCATGACGTTAGACGGGAAATTCAACAAGCGCAGCTGCTGCGTCGCTATTTCGCAGATAGACGACATTGAGCGTGAATCGGCTTTAAGAAGTCGAGAGGCCAAACTGGACACAGAATTGCAACAGCTTCTTGAAGAAGAGAAGACTTTAAAAAAGACGAAGAAGGACCAGGAAAGTCAACTGGCGAGAGCGGAAAAAGAACTAAAGCGTACTAAAACCGCCTTGAATAAGGCGGCCACAAAGAAATCGAAACCTCCCCGTGGTACGAAAACACGACCCTTTCTAGTAGCATCTCACTAATAGCATATTATAGGGGTATTCAAGAAAAGTTCCGAGGACTCGCAACTCCAAACGAAGAAATTACGAGCAGAAAATAATATCATGGACCTTAAAGAAGGGCTCGCTAAAACAGAGCGCGAGTTAGAGGGGATCACCAATCATATAATATTCCAATGTGTGAAGAATAGGAACACATTCCTCGAGAGCCGTATACAACGCGATTTCCAAAGAAAGAGATCGTCCATTATTCCCGACGACGAAGAAAACAAGGACATACGCGATGATGTAGTTTCTGTCTGCCCATTCAGTTCTAGAGCATTTTGGGGGTGTATTTCGGGCGAGAAGAATGAGCTTGTGGCTGGATTTCCGGAAGAGCGCTATTCAGGAATCCCTAACCTCTTCCAATGGATCCGCGAGGCCACCACCCCAGACCGCGAGGCCCACGCGCAAAGAATCCTGCACGAGCTCCATGGTCTCTACAATACGATTCGAACCTGGTCGAAGAATGAATGGGATCACAGCAGATTGCAGATCGATACGGAATGGGTGGTGCACGAAGTACTCCCATCGCTCCATGGCGGTATAAAAAAGGTACCGAATAGCATCCCATTTATTTCTAGGCAACTACCTGATAACCAGTACTAATATCGAGTGATAACAGGAGCTGGGGACATATTGGACGGAGCTCAACGAGTCTGTTCAGAACTGCAATCCCTTAGAGAAAAAGAAAGTATCAATTGGCAAATGTGTAAAGGAATGCGATATGGTCGTAAAGAACTGGGCGTTCAAAAAACCCGCAAGGACATCCAAAATACATTGGACCACATATCAAGCTAATATAGTCAGGAACGGGGGTAGTTTTAAAAGCAAGTCGGCCAGTGGTCTCGTCGACTATCACTGGATGCAAGACGTGTAAGAGTCTCTTCACTGTCTGCATATGTTCCAGAGTTGCTAACTTCAAAACTAGTTCAGATGTCTTGCTAAGGACCATTGTAGCTGACTGGCATCGGGCCTTCCACGAAGAAATCCCTGCAGTTCGCCGTCTTGCTTGTGATTCTATCGACACCATATGGGATGCATTCCTAGAGCAATTGCAGGCTGGTGTAAAGAGTGTCATATCTGAACTTTCACCACTCCTAGCGAAGATCATGCCTGATCTTCGCGTCATAAAGGAGCAAGTCAAAGAGAGGGTGAAGCAGGCTCTGGAGGGCATTATAAAGAATGCGTCCAAAGTTCATCCGAAAATAATCGATTCAATCCAGGGGAAATGGACCCCCGTATTTCAGCAAGCTCAGCTGATTACAGGTAGGTCGAGACTGAAGTTCACTTATCAGGCATATCTAACTTATACTGCTAGGGAGTGGCTCCTTTTTGAAGCGACGGGAGCATCTAGCTAAATTCCCAAAGAACAATGGCACCCAGATGTTCAATGCTGCCTTTGATAACACGAAAAATAAGCTCAAGGAACATTTCGACCTGTTTCCCGCCAGCCTCATCGATATATCCAAGTTCGCTATTGAAGAGGTCGAAGATCAGATCAAGACGGCTCTGAATAGCGCCATGTTGCCTGATAATAAAATAGAGGAGGCACTTAAGGAGAAGATTGAGTTGCAGAAGGATGTACGAAGTGTTCTGATCGAATGGGATTTCAAATGGAAAGCGAAGGGGACTATTCGTAGTCTCCATACGGAGGGCAAGGATGCTTCTATTCCTGATAAATACTGCTCTACCAGGGTCGAAGAGGACGAGGAAGATGAAGAAGACGAGGACAAGATGGAGATAGATGACGAGGGGCTTGAGAATAAGGACGCTGATGTTGAGAATAAGGACGCTGATGAGCTCGCTGGCAATGATACTAATGATAGCAGCTTCACTGGCGAAGCCTAGCCTCCCTACCATTCGCCACAGCAACATCCTCCGAAAATTCGACGGTGATCGATTGATTGGCTCCTACTGACACTCTGCTCTTGATCTGGCTCGACACCGCGTTACTTTGAAATACTCGATAGGAGGACCACCAAAATCTACGGACATCTGGCACACCAGGCCTACTATATTTGCGGTGATTTCTCCACATTTGACATGAACCACCGGGATTCAATGCTTGCTCTACCGTACTCGTGAGGCTTCACGGATGATATAATGCGATGATTTTCTTTTTCCACAATGCGCATGTCTTTACATGAACTACCTAAATAGCAAATAAATCGCGTGGATTCTAATTTAAACCCGATTCCTCGTAAATATATCGTACACTATGGCGGCTTCGAAGCACGTAGTCTTCTCAGTTAACTTTAATATTATTATAACCATTTAGTGTGTAAATGCCATTATCAAAGAACTCGGTAGTCGAATAGGGGCTCACTGATTACAATAGCCTTAGCGCAAAACAATGCCATAAGAAGCCCTTTAAGGAGACGATAACTTATATAATATTGGAGAAGTATTCTAATGCTACATATTATGATATCATAAATTCAAATAAATGATATTGCCTGGAAAGCAGATGATATCGCCCACCTTGCGTATCTACTACGTAAATTCTTAGCAACACTCCAGCTTCGCAAGAACCCACCTTCAACCACCTACCTAGTTCCACGAGGTATATTCCTGTCTCTGGTCAGGCGGGAGCACCCTGTACTCCGGAGGGTTAATTTTAAAGAGAATCTCGTGGGCTATGTTTCTTAAAAACGCCGGGCTGGCATCCCCACAGCTTTCATGCAGCCGTACGATACCATCGTCGAGCTGCTGACACAGTGATGGGAAACAAGCGAGGGCGGCTACTAGTAGTATGGTATGAACCCACACGCCCTTTCCACTCCAGAGCTTGATGTCCTCCCTCGTGTACCGCGGCTTCATGGGCTGGCAATACCGCCACCCTACGCATAGCCACAAGCACCAGATCATCACCCACGCGAACGCGGCTATCCAACTGGAGCTAGCAGCGACATACGCAGCTAGGAGGAACAGCGAAATGGCGAAGGTGGTAATGCAGCACGACAAAGCGATGATGTTGTCATAGTGGTGGGGGTCCACGAGCCTGCATAGCGTTACGCTCCAAGGCTCGGGGCTGCGACGGGTTTCGCTGCTGGTAAGGGAGCGGAAGAGGGTGATGAAGACGGACTGCCGGATTACGAAAATCACGAAGCTAGCGAACACGCAGATGCTGACGTAGAACAGGGTGTGGAAGACTAAGGAGAGGAACGAGGCGTGGGGTTCAGGTAGCTCGAGTAGACGTAGTATTGCGATGACGTCGGCTACGGCATCGTCGATGAGACTCGGGGGGTTGGGAGAGGGGTCCCCGCCGTATGGCCAGTCTGGAACCATTGGGGATGTTTTTGTTTTTGGAGCTAGGAGGTGATGGGTTAGTGGATGGGTGAAGAGTGACACTTGTAGAAACGAAATCCTGTTAGATTCAGAAGACTTAGTTTGCACGTCGAGTAGCTGTCTTGTTGATTATCAGCGGAGAGGACCCCGGGTCTAGATATAGGCAAGTGATGAAACGGTAGTCTTTGGGGTCGGGTTGAAATTGTCTGGACCAGCTTTGTATCTCGAACTATGCCTTTTTCTATCTCTTGTCCGGACGGAATAATCTATATTGTCTATACAAAGAGATCATCTCAATGAGCATGCTACGTGAGGTAGAATCCTTTGAAGATAGGAGGCTTCTATGATACAATCCTCGAACAATAGACATTCAAAGCATACCAGCCGTTCCCCTAACCCGACTGCCAACCTTCAGCTTCAGCAAAAAACCACTACGGCCCGAAGAAAAGGCCACACCCCGTCTATCATGTCCGGTGTTTGAGACCAGCGCTCAGCATCTCCACCATCAGCGTAAAGCCGGGATTATACACCCAATCCAGCCACCCGAGGCTAATCAGCCCATAGTCCATCAACGTGCGCAGCTCAGGACACCCCAACGCCACCGCGAGAAGCACAAGAAAGGCGGGGGCCAGATACCCTTTGTAGACAACACTGATGCAGACTACCCCGTACCAGATGTAGAAGAACCAGAAGACGGTGGTGGGGGCTGGGTAGTTGCTCATGCTCTCGGGATCGATGGAGTCGAATCCTGCCGTTACCGCCCTCATGCCTAGTAACCCGAATACTAGCATCCATATATTAATCCCCCAGCGCGCGGTGCGGAGGAGCAGTTGCGGGTATCGCGCTAGCCATAAGGTGAAGACTGTACACCAGGTGACTATAGAAGAGATAGTCAGTAGCTTGATCCTACAAGTAAGGGAAAGTAAAGCAACGTGAGCAATATAAGGTATTCGGCTCCGTCTGAATCTGAGCGGACGATAGCTTAACCTTTAGGCTAGAATATATACCGCCTCCAAAGAATAACTAGCTACAGAGGTTACGAAGAGGCAAGGAACTCTTGATAATACATACTGACGGCGGAAAGCAAGATGAAGTACAACATTTAGACTTATTCCATTCCTCCCATCCAGGCTATAACCATCAGATTGGGCAAGCACACGAATTATACTATAATTATGGAATCTTTTGATGCTTCTAAGACAGCGTGAAGATATCAAATAGCTCACCCAGGCAACGGGGGTTGACCTCTAGCTGAGGTTAGGTATAACAATAGAAAACCCATCAACCATCCCCTTGTGCGTTTTAGCGGCCCAAGCCGAAAGCAGTCTCGAGGATGAATGACAAAAGACCTCAATGCGTATTTTGTTCCTCTTTTCCTCTTCATTTATCTTTATTGTACTTGATCGTTCACATAGTCTTTGTCAACAAATAGCGTACCTCGAAGTAATCCACAGCCCAAACGCGGAGACAAAGAACGGATCAAGACAATCGTAGTATGTGCATCTCGACTTGCTTGTGTGTACAGTATGTCCAATTACCATTATCATCGTATTGACATACACCAAAAATCGGGTTATTCCCTGACGAACAAGCCAGCCATACCCATCCCGGTGCCCACACACATACTTACCACGCCGACCTGTCCCCCGGTCCGTCCCAGGCCATGCAACAACGTAGCCGTCATCCTCGCTCCCGTAGCACCGAGCGGGTGGCCTAGAGCAATGGCGCCTCCGTCAGGGTTAACCTTGCCCTGTGCCCAAGCCTCCTGCAAACCAAGCTCTCTTAGGCAGTAGACGGACTGGCTGGCAAAAGCTTCGTTAATCTCCCACCGATCTACGTCCTCTGACTTGATGTCGAGCTGGTCTAAGAGTTTCGGGATGACTAGCGCGGGGCCGATACCCATTTCATCTGGGGCGCAACCGACCGTAGTAGCGGCTACGAATTTCCCCATGATACTCGACGTCAACCCGAGCTCTGTCGCGGTGCTCCGCCTCATCAGAAGTGAGGCAGCGGCGCCGTCACTGACTTGGCTCGAATTACCCGCCGTGCTTGTGCCGGATTCGCCAAGTACAGGTTTGAGCTTAGCGAGGCCCTCGAGCGTCACCCCCGGCCTTATACCATCATCCTTTGTTACGGTGATCTGTTTCGGCTCTCCAACCTCTTTTCCTTGTTTGTCAGTTTCCTGGAACACGGTAGAAACAGGCACGATCTCTTGGTCGAATAAGCCCTCGGTCTGAGCCTTCGCCGCGCGCCGCTGGGACTCAAAGGCAAACTCATCTTGCTCCTCGCGCGAAACCTTGTACCTCTTCGCAACGTTCTCGCTGGTAGCGAGCATAGGCATAATGCAATCGCGGGCATCTTTAACAGGGCTCTCGGCTAACGCAGGCCACCTATCTACAGGTATGGCCTTACTAGCGTAATTCCTCGTCATGCTCTCCATTCCCGCGGCGATACCTACACTAATCATGTTGACGCGGATCTGAGCGGCGATAGTAGCCAGACCCTGCAGACTGCTGCTGCATGCGCGGTTGACAGTATACAGGGATGTGGTATTAGGGAATCCGACATGATTCATAGCCATGCGGGAAGCCTTGCTGCCGCCGAGTTCGGAGAGGACGACACCGACGGCGACATCTTCTATCTTATTTGGCGGGAGGTTCGGGTTGGCGTCAAGCGTGGCGCGTAGTACGACGGAGAGTAGCTCTTCAGGGTAGGCATTCTTTAGTTGGCCGCGACCCGAGCGACAAATAGGAGTGCGTAGCGAGGAGAGGATGACGGTGTCGGAAGGTGATTTGGCTAATACAGCAGAAAGTCCTCTAGGGAGTGTCATAGTTAGGTATTTATTACAGAAACAGCGGAATCCAATGTCAAGCTTGCTATATACAATATATACACAATGGATATAAAAGAGGTAAATAATCTAGCAGGAGAAATACATATACAGGCAATTAAGAAGGAAGGAAATCCAACTAGACGATAGCCCCCCAAGCGGGACGGGGGAAAATAGAGTCGTAAACGGTAAAAGACGGCAAAGGGCCGTCGATTGTTCAAGAAGTAATAATCAAACTGCCGGTTGCCGGTTCCGCAGGTGGGGTCTATTACCTCTTAGCCAGGGCTGCCAGGGCTGCCAGGTACCTAGACAGTATGAACTAGAGCTTGTTAACGTACCTCTTAGGTAAGTTTACATGATGCCGGGGTTAGGGGTACATGAACCCTTTCCATAGCTTCACCCGTGTATAGATCGTGTATAGATCGTGTATAAATAATCAACACAAAATAAACTACAGGTAAACGGTCTACTTTAATTCTGTATTTAACATATTTATTTGTATGACATGACTAATAAACATCCATCGTCGTAAACCCATCATGTCAAATTGCCCATTGCCCATTGCCCATTGCCTATTGCCCATTGCATAAGGCGCCGTAGTAAACAGTACAAGAATCCCCATTGCGACGATTCGAGACTCTTCCGTATAAGTGCGCTCGGAGCCCAGAATCAAACAGACCCAAGCGCCGCCACAACAAAACCGGGTATAATACAGACCTCATTCATTCTCGTCATCATCGGAGCCTAAAGCATGAATGATAATCCCAATTCAGCCTTGCCGTTGCCCAAACCACAAGCAACTATGACCCTTCTCATCCGCCAAAACCCCTCCCAGAAACCCTTCAAAAAGCCCATCAAACAAAAACTTTTCAAGCTGCCTGGCCGTAGCGAATCCCTAGCCCAACACGGCCATTGGCCTCCGTGTTCCCTCCGTATCTCATCTTCTTAGGACTCACGGCGTTTTCTCGGCGGCCCTCGTTACCCTCCGTGCTGGCGCTAAACTTTCGCTTCTCTGCCGCGAGCCCGGCCTTATTCAGACCCGCGAACAACTTCGATTGTAGTTTAGCAGATTTCTCCGCCGGTACCGGCGTACCATCGCGCGATCCAACCGAGCTAGCAACCTCAAAGCTCTCCCGCGGGTCACGGCGTAGCATTTCGGATGCTGCCTGGCTGGCCTGGCTCTCAAACACCTCTTCCTCATCTCTCCGCCGGGACGCTCGCGAACCTTGCGACATGTAAGACTGAGTAGCTGCTGCTACAGATTCTAGGGCTGCGCGGGCGAGCTCCTCATTGTCGTCGGCGGATATAGTACTTTCTCGGCTTTGACGCCCTCTTTTCTGAACCGGTGTCTCTAAACCATACCGACCGCTGCCGTACCGGTTTGGGGGTTCAGTCTGCGGTACCAGATCAACAGAAGGCAGTAAACCCGAGTACTCTCCGCGGGGGCGTGCAATCGGCGTAGTAGGGAGAGACGATAGCGATTGGACTCCACGAGTGTGCCTTGGAGGCGCTCGTAGTGTAGGTCGACCGGTTGCTATTGGGGTAGATGGTGCACTGTTATCATGACTCAAAGCTTGGAGAAGAGCAGCAAACCCAGCCTGGTTTGTATCATTATCGTGACGGACATCTCGATGGATGGCTTTGGGCGTCTGTCGTGGTGTGGCCCGGTATTGTTGAGGTGAAGCGGCTGCGGGAGTCTTCGGGGTTAAGGCGCCGTGAAATACTCCACCGGGACTGCAGAGCATATGGAAATGTTCCCTGTTTTCACGAATGCGATTGAGAAGCATGTCACGCTCGTCAATCAAGCTGTCGCGTTCCTCGCTCTGCTGTTGAATAATCTTGGTGGCAGATTTGATGCGTTTCTGAAGAGCTTCGTTCTCCTTTACAACAATTTCATACTGGGCTTGAAGTTCTCGATATTTGACTTGAGTTGAATCGGTAGCCGCATCCAGCTCTCGTCGAGCCTGACGGGAATTCTCAGTCATACGTAGTACCTCGACTTCCCGTCTCGTCATGTCATGCTCTACCGCCGCTCTCTTTGCATCATCGTCAGCCTGCATGCTAAGCAGGTTATATTGTAGTTTGTGATGAGCTGTCTCCATCTTCAACCTCGCGTTTTCAGCGAGACATGTCTGAACCAAAGTACGGAGCTCGTCGGCCGAGGCGTCTGCGATTTGATCCGAATTTGGAACAACATAGCCCGATACAGAAATCGCATCTCGTGCAAGTGTCCGGAGTGCCGTCGCAGGAGGAGAGAACATGTTAGCTCTTTGTGAGCTAACATAACCCAGAGGCATGTTGGAGGCTCCGTTCACCGTAGGAACCTGAGACGAGGGAGGTGGGGTCAAGGATGAGGGAATAATATGGGAAGATGGGTTACGGTCATCCATTACCTCGGTCTTGAACGAAGTAGATGGATCAAGAGGCGAATTTGGACCTTCGGTAGAAGGGATGGATTGTTGTGATGAAGAGTGGATGATACCCGTGACATCAGGAGGAGTGGAAGGAATATGGTCATAATCGATCTCTATAACGCCGTTCGGGCGCGAGTCGTTCGTTTGAGTATCAGCGGACATGATTGTATTCGATAGTAGAGTATTGATGAGGACGATAGGGTGATTGAATCCCTCTATTAGATAGAGTCGGTGTGGGAGTAAATTGGACACGAAGTAGTAGAGGCGTCTAAGTTAAAAGGCGATGGTGATAAGAGAGGGGGGCGGTTTAGTTCGGAAAACGCAACATGCTCTTTTGAACTAAATCAAAAGAGTTCGCGGACGGTCAGAAGAGGGGAGAGGAAAGTAGTAAGATAATATCACTGCCACATCTGCCACATCAGAGTTGGTGGATGTTGGTGGATTGAAGAATGAAGCAAATGAATGAGGATGTTTTACGTGGAAGTGGAGAAGTATTGATGCGGGTTGAAGTGGACGGGATGGGAAAACTTCGTTTACTAACTGGAACTTACAATGGAAGTTGGCTGGTTGCCGCACTGGTTTTGCTCCAGCAGTCCCACTGTGCTAGAAATCCTGAAGGCTGGCAGGGCCCACCCTCACTGAAAGTTAAAGGCTGAATGCGCTATGCGCTAAATGCTACCTAACCCTTGCTTCTTTCTCTGTTGAGCAAGTACCAAGGTGGTCAAAGCACCGAGAGCTACTAATGCACGCTAGAGCTTCTCTCAACTTTAATTGTGAGGTAGGTGCAACGCATTCCTGAGAATTAGATATATTTTATTACGTATAGCTCTTGACTCTACTTGACTTTACTTTTATATAGGTAAGGTATAATATACACACTAACACTATTTATTCATACATTATTACTACTTATAATACGTACGGACGGAAATGGATACTTTTCATCACCTTTTGTCCCCTTTTCCTCCCTTTTCTGAAAACACCAACTACCCATTCTCAAACCTATAATTCAACCTAACTCCCCTAGGACCCCACACGAGCCCAAATTGGTATCTCCATCGCTACACGAGAACGTCCACAAATGAACCCCCAAGACGCCCAGTCCAAAAATCAGCACAGGTTTATATAACGGCACCAATGTATTAGCTATTAGTCCACATCGTTCAAAGCATCGTCTTCGCCTTCACCTTCACCGGATTTCGCTCTCCACTCGGCCATCTCAGCCACGGGAACACGACCCCTGAGCCACCGGAGCGTTGCTTCAGTTCCACGATCAAGAACATTCCATCGCGGGACCCTAAAGCGGTTTCCCGTCACATCTAGCCTCTCTAGGCCTCCGGTGCCTCCGAACAGTCCAATACGTGGATTCAGATGCGCAATTTCGTTATTACTAGCATCCACCACTTTCATTCCCTTGATTGCTTCGGGATCAAGGTCTTCTAGGCGGTTATTGGATATGTGTAGGATAGTAAGGCTCGGGAAGAATTCCCGTAAAACCGATAGTTTTACTATTCTATTGAACGAGACGTCCGCTTTTTGAAGGTTTGGCGCACAAAGGTTTGTAGTAAGTGGCGTAAGACTAGTAATAAAATTCGAAGCTAAAGAGAGCTCTCGAAGAGCAGTAAGGTCAATTGGTTCCGTCAACCAACTCTCACCCGTGAGCTGGTTATCTGCTAGCGAAAGAGACGTAATTGTGTCGGTAAAAAACGACAAAGAATTGGGGAACTGGGTAAAAGTATTGTGCTGGAGTCGCACATCACGTATGGTATGAACTACAGCGATCTTAGAGCAGACGACCGGGTGCAATGAAGAGGATTGTGTGTTTGACCGGTCAAGAATACCCCCAGATTTGATAGGCCAGGTCTGGCTGCTCAAAGTATGAGACCGTGAGCGAGCTGGAGATTGAGGCGCTGAGGTTGGTGGAGTGGCAAAGTCGTCGGGGTCTGACCGACCTTCCTCCTCGTTATCGCCATTAGCCAGAACATTCTGTTTTGTATCATTCATATGAGGTGGGACAAGTGAGAATCCATTTCCGAATTGTTCGATCCCACCTAGTTCGGCCTGAGGTAAAGGCTCCAACTTCGCCGCCAGTGTATCTTTCAATTCTTCGGTTGTTAGCGATGTAAACTTCTTGACCCTGAGAGGGTTTCCAGTAATTCGCAGCATGATGAGACTCTCCATTCTAGCCACTTCGGGAGGTATAACCCTAATATCATTGCTAGTAAAGTCAACATGGCGCACATTCTCAAGACTCGTAAGACCCTTTGGGAAAGCTGTAATGCTGTTCTCATCCGCATTGAGCGTGAGAAGACTAGTCCACAAGCTCATATCGGGAAGCGATGAGATACGATTTATAGACACCGTAAATTGATGCAGAGACGGCAAATTCAGAGCCCGATCGTCATCTACTATCATTTTTATTTGATTAGCCGCCACGTCGAGAATTTGAAGTTGCGGAAAGCCCTCTACCCCGGGGCCGATGAGTGTCCCGGAGAGTTTGTTCTTGCGAACCAGCAGTTCAGTGAGGGGGAGCTTTGAGAGGCTTTCAAATGGCAAAGCCTCGAAGGCGTTCTCGTTTAGATTTAGCATACGAAGGCGCACCATCTTGTCGACACCATCCGGGAGAGAAGAAATATTATTTCCGTGAAGATCAAGAATTTCAAGGTTCTGCAAATTGGCCAAATAGTCACCTTCCATGCGACCGTACAAAAGGTTATTGCCGAGCTTCAGGTCTCGAACACTAGTTAGCTGTGAGATTATTTCGAGGCAATTGTTGGTGAGCTTATTGGACGCCTACAAAATAGTGAGCATTAGTTGCGTTTGTGTGATTCAGAGAAAAAGGGGAACCTACCAGGTTTAAAGACGTTAGCAACTGAAGACGTCTTAGGCCCATAGGCAAAGCTATCAACATATTTCCATGTAAATCTAGTGACTCTAACCCCCCAAATAAATGTCCCTCACTACTTTCTTCGTCTGCGAAGTCACTGGGATCGGTGTCTGGGAAGATGGCATCATCGATCGTTTCTAGCTCGTTGTCGGCAGCCACAAATCTAGTTAGATCTACACTCTCCGCCCAAGAGCTACCAGGACGACCCATTGACTCTAAATCGTACATCTTCAAAACTTCCGTCGGGATTTCTTTGAGACCCATAGCTGCAATGTTAAGCCTTCCTGTTGTCCTAGCAGTATCAATTCTCGATTGCATAACTCTGCGGTTTGCGCTCTCAAATTGACGCTGCCCAAAAGGGTCATCAGACAGGCCGAAATCAAATGTAGTATCCGTAGGGATAACTGGCGCCTCCTCAGCCTCGGGAACATTTGTCACCGACACTTGTCGACTTGCAGCGCGTTTCGCCGCCTTGGCCTTGGCAATTTGATCTCGTAATGCGGTAGACGACTTTCGAGCAGTGGATACGGGTGCTTCCTCAATAGAGTCCACTGTCAGCACCGTAGAAGCAGTAGAAGCACTTGATAAGTTGCGACCATCCCCAGATGTGCTAGATGATTTAGCGGAAGCAAGAGAGGCTTTGCGGGCGGGGCTCGGGGGTGCAGGAGATGACGGTTTGTCTAGAGATGGAAGAGATGGTTTCCTATACAAGTTGTTCATCGAAGCCCTCGATTTCAGAGGACGAGCAGCTACCGTTTTAGAGCCGTTCTTGGAGACTGAAGCCTCGAGACGTTTATCCAGATTCGGCATTGGAGGGCTTATTGAAGCTGATAATGATGATCGAGAAGGAACTTTACTCAAGCTAGACCGCGGGCGCGGGTTTAAAGTTAAAGGAGTCTTGCTAGTAGGGGTCCTCGAGTTTATAGAAGATATTCTTTTTGTTGTTCCCAAGGTATTAGTAGAAGCCCGAAAATTAGAATATAAGCCCTCATTTTGCCCTAAGCTAGACCCTGGCCGGCTAAGTGATCTAACCGACCGTATAGTCGAGCCATCTGATTGATAACTTGAGCCCGGCCTTGACCTTGAGCTAACGCTACCTTTGGATTGCGGCCTTAGAGGCGCTTCTCCCTCGAGAAAATTGCTACCTCGCCGTTTGAAAGCCGGGGAAGAAGGTAACTGTGAAAGAGTCTCAATTGTCCTCTCGGTGAGTGACGGACGGGACTTTCTCGACTGTGGTGACAATAAGGCGTCGAAAGTAAGACCCTCGTCGGTAGACCTTGGTAAAGGCGGAAGAGAGTCAACAGCAATGTCGTCATCGTCTTCTTCTGGAGATAAGGTCCCTCCCGTAGATGTTGTAGGTGAGGACTGTCTAAGTATACCCGACGGCTGTCGTCTAGGTACCGGGGGTTTCTTGAAAGGCTCGCCATGAGTATCCCGACTATCCCGACTATCTTGTGAAGCAGCTTGTTTACGTCCGAGCGACATGCTCCGGTTCCTAGTATTGACATCTCGGCGGTTCGTCTGCGAGCTGACAGGAGGGGCTTGTGATCTCTGAGTCTTGCGTACAGTTGAGGTAGCCCTAAGCTGTTCTTTAGAGGGCGTCGCTCGTAGCCGAGGATTTCGGGCATTAGAGGCGGTTACAGGCTGGGTCGAGCGCCCTCGCGTCGGTTCAGGAGGCTGTCGACTCTGAATAACAGGCTTCGTAGCAGTAGCGGTAGTATTAGTTGCCATATTAGATCGAGGCAAAGGTAGACGCGATGTTGGTCTTGGAAGGGCACTAATTCTACTACTACTACTACTACTACCGCTACCGGCGGTACCGAAGGAGCGTTTCTCATCCATTTTAACGACCGAGTTCGGGTTCGAGTCCGAGTCAAAATAGTGAACGCATTGGCCGGACTCCTATACTGAGGACAACCAAACGACAATAAGTCGTAGGCCGTAGACGAAGACGGCGCAAAAATAGTGCTACGGCTGTGGCAATTCGTAATAATAAAAAATGGAAAGGAGAAAGAGAACCGCTACCAAAAAAAGAAAAAAAACCCCAAGTCAATATTAGAATCCGGGTTATTACGTATGTATGAACCTTGCTCGGTTTACTAGACAGGGTTGATTAAAGTGACAACAGGTAACAACCAATAGATAACAAGAAGCTAATAAGCAGAGCAACCACGATCGCAATCTTGTCTAAGAGCTGTTTCTTGGTAAAAGAGTCAATGCACCATTAATTTACATTGTTGCTAAGTTTTTAGGCGTTTAGCCCATTACAAAGACAGGCACGCTAAGGGACGTCCGTTAGCTTGGGTAACCGCGTCCAACAACATAAGGTTTAGTATAGGTTAGGTACATACCTCAATCGCTACACAGCTAACATAACGCGTTCACGACGTGATGGATGAGCGAAAGCCGGGTATGTGAATGCAGGGATGATAAGCTACATATAGTGGGCTGGTGGGGTAGGTAAGCTATACCCCCAGTAAAATCATGTCCCAATGATGTCCCAATGCCGCTAGCTCCACACGCACTGCGTAAAACTTTATCACAGCCCTTGCAGCTTGCAGCTTACAGCTTGCAGATTGCAGAGAATGTATCCAAGGAATTGCAGATAAAACTCCAAACTCCATCCTCGAAGAGCAGGTAACACAGCTCCGACATCCGATATATAAAAGAAAAAGAAAATCCCCAAATCAGGATCAAGGACCAATAAGACGACTTTAATCAAGCAGAAATGTTTACACGTTCCACTTATAACCCATTTTACGCGTAAACACCAAAGTCTCAGTCTTATCATCGATGCAATCAATAAATCAATGTCTTATAAATATTTGCAGAATATTAGGTAGTGTTCCTGCATATAGTAATAGAACCCCTATAAATTTAAGGGGTTAAAAGCGAGAATGATGACGGTGATGGAACCGTGAAGAGAGATGCTATTGGATGGGATGTAAAAGATATATGCATGTAACACTAACATGTCCAACTTCAATCCGATGTGATATCTTCGCATGCATGTGCCATGTCGCATTCTATATCCTACCATCCTTTACGCACTCACACATTGATGCCGTGGCGGTTGTGAACCATCGATGAAGAGCCTTTAGCAAACAAGAATCAAGGTAATGTGAAACAATTGAAAGTACAAGGAAATGAAGGCTGGAAAGGAAAACTTCCATATCATTGCCCAGTTTTATAAACACTAACTAACCTAACCCAGGTATAACATCCAACCCTAAACAAATATTAGTCTCTTAAGTATCCCAGAAAAGGGGCTATCTACCAGGTGATAGCACTTACATCCGTCAACCGGTTCATCAACTGTCCGCCGAATAGCACATTTATTAGCAACATCGAAGGATTGAGTCACTAATGTAGTGCAGTTGGCAGCAAAACAGTCATTTGAGTCCATAGCTCTCTGCAAGGCGTCGATGGAAATCCAGGAGTATCGAGAACCGGGTCTGCACATGGCGCCGCATTGTCGCCTTCGAAGTTTGCGCCCGTGAAGCAACGATAACAGTTCCTCGGTGACTGTCCCTCTCCGCTTCGTAATGTGGCGTCTCCAACTAGCATACGAAAGCCAGGTCTGAATGCGGTTACTTTGCTTCGAAGGCCCTGTGGAAAGTAGTAGACAGTTACACCACCAACCGACCCGTCTAGAAATCGATTAGGCATTTGCGGCACACGCTTGTATGTTCCATTTCGAGCCCGGAAAAACAGGTTCGCTGTCCAGTAGTTCGACAGGTCTTCGCTGAAGCTGCAAGTGGTGCAGCCAGCAAGCTTGGAAACATCGGTGTTCTCTATGGTAGCTTTGAACGCATCCTACTCTCATTTATTATTATTATTAAATATAATATACTTAGACTAATAGTACACGTACCCCTCCAACGGCCTGATAACTTGTCAACATTGATTTCTTCTGAGTTTGGTTTGGTATCTTATGATACATACCTGATGAAGATGTAAACTTGGATTCGCTCCTGGCTCTACAAGTCTGCAATGGCTATACTTAAATACGACGTAATATGATACGGAGCATACGATCCTTACGGGTCAAGTCGTTCAATCGTGATTTGGCTGCATCCGAAACGCAAGATACCTGCGCCCAAGGCATAAGGGATGAGGAGCGCCAGGCTGGTGACTGACATATAATACATCTCTGAATTTCAATAACAGGCGAGGATCAAATAATAAAAGTCTAAGTGAGAACCGAGGGATTATTTGATAGAGATCCTTTCTCATATATGACTCTTATGAAAATACCAAGCATGGATAGAGATAATAGTTAATATATTATTACTAAATAGCCTAACCTATAGGAAGGCAAACTTATAACCTCCCATAAGAAACCCGCCTCTAGTTGAACTGCCGAGATGTGGGAGAACTCCGCACTGGCCGTCCGCGAGATAGGCAGTCCCTTATACAGAACTAGTTCGTTATTATGTTGATAGAAGACCTACCAAATCCGTCTAGTATACCTACGGGGTCTTGTACTTGATTTGCTAATACAGTCAAGTATACCTATCAACATGGGAAAGCGACTAGAGAACCGTCTAGGAAATAATGACTATACCTCCTTTTCAAGAGAAAGGCACTACCTAAACTTGACGACATGATTATAACCTACACGGTAAAGAGCTACCTTATCCGTCATAATATATGCATATTCAAAGAAGCTTATTTTAACGTATGGGGATCCGCATTGGTTGTATAACTCATACACGTTGTAGTTAATATAACAATGAGCATATTTCGAGATAAAAACTTATGTATAAAGTGTACGATATTCTTAAGGTGTAGTATACTGACCCAAAAGTAAATCACCGTAGTATTTGTAGTGCCGCCTACGAGGTAGAAGAAGAATAAAGCACTCATTGAGCTTGCACTCTACGTGCTGCGGTTTTCATCGCGGCAACTCAGTAAAGTACACCTTAACGTGTTTTATTTTCTTGTCAATGAAGCCTCAAAAAAGAGCACTCTAGAAAGTGTTTGACAATAACATCTTAAATAGGTACTGGGTATCTAGGGTGCTGCATATGAGGTAGACGTGTACTTAAGCGTCAACCAGGTAAGTGATAGTATCTCTCACTCCCCCTTTTTTGGGTTTCGCTAAAAACCTGTTTCACCTATTTGAACAAAGTACAACTTTCCCTAAGGAGTACAAACCAACTATTAGCTGATATCTCGGGGGATACTTTATGCCATAACCGCTAAGATGTACGGTGTGTGGTATGAGTGAAGTATGTGAATAGTACCACAAAGTCGCCGCAAAGGAATTAAAGTAAAATTCAATCTATTCAATACAAACATACTGGGAAACCCCTTTACCAAGATCAAACATCGCAAACATGCTCACGAGGAGTAAATATTCGAGACCTAATAACCCGCGCTCTTCAGCACTGACTTTACCTAATCTCCTCTAATTGGCGAATGAGTGACGAAGTTTGCGACGCATCCTTACCAGAGATATTGGTCATCGTTATGTGATACGCAAAGACTGCAACCAACCAGCCGGCAGGTAGGCAATCAATTGCATCTCACAGGTTATTCCCAGTTCCTTCGTTTGGCGATCACCGGAGATCGTTTCCATTGAAGTTTTTTTTTATCAGTCTTCGGATAAATATCCATGTTGGGATCGGTCGCCCAATAGGGCAGGAAAGCAGGCTAAAACAGTCATATATAAAGTTAATTAATCCCGCTACTCTTACTAACAGGTAGCCTTTGAGGTATCGTACCGTGTCATAGTTCTCTCAACATGTATTTCCCATCTGTAATTATTCTCGCCTTGTCCTCGGGCGCCGCCGCCGCGGTTGCGCGCTTCGATGTCCCGGTACCAGCCCGAGTCCGCGACGATCCCACGCCGACGGAATGCACAGCTTCGGCAATCACCACCGAAACTACTATCAACAGGGGAAGCGAGGGGATCTGGGTAATGGGACCAAGAGCAACGAACATCAATGAGCTTTATACATTCACACAGACGGACTGGCTTGATAATGATCACCAAAAGATACTTGATACCTGCGGCAGTATTTGTCTGGCAGGAAACAATACCGCCGAAGCAGGCACTTGGCTCCCGAGCGGAAAATACTTCCAAGGTGGATATGTGGTATGTATAAAGACGAGACATGTTACCCCTGGCCCTCCCTCAATCTACCCTCTCTGTTCTTTCATATAGAGTTGCTAACAATTAGTAGTAAGTATAATAACCCTGTTCTTCCCCATCATCTGGCGAGGAACATTCGAAATTCTTTAAAGGTAGGATTGCGAAGCTAACACTAGATCTTCTAATACATTAGCAACACACCGGGAGGAAACGGCCCAGACCACCTCCTATGGCAGTGCTCCTGCTACGATCGTGCTGTGACACAAGACGATCTCGTCCCTGGAACAGGAACTTGGAACGGCGCCAACCCGGGAAGTGGAACCAGTAAGCTTACCCCTTTTGATGGATTGGTGTTCTATTTACTGTCCATATAACTATCAATATTTATTCAAAAGCTTGCTAATTATGACACGTAGTGATCAACCGAAAGTGCTGATTCGGCTGCTATACAAACGGGACTCGTTTGAGGCAGACTAAGGCGGGTAGCCTTAAGTGGTCGTGAAATAGGGATATGCTAGTCGCTGCATAGTATGCGATGAATTTTTACGTACATCAAAAAGGAGTTAATAAAAGAAATTGATTGCCGCAGCTTCCTGAGTAAGGAAATTTATTTATTTTGATCTATGAATGTTGAGAAGGGGTACCAATGTCTTGATCAACGGGTCAATCGGTTAACTTTCCGTCAGTTTCTCCTACTTTGAGATAATTTCAGTTATCGCGTTTGGTTTTTTGATATTTTCTTCTGTTGACTCGGGGATATCGGCAGGAACCTCATGCTAAAAGGATGGCTGCAACTGAAGCAATGCTACTTTGGTGGCGTACGTGTTCCTATCGGCTTCCTGCCGTGTGACAGTGCAGGCTGCCGTCCAACCGTGGATACCAACGATAGAAGAACACGCGTCGGAGCTGGATCTCACGGCCTGGTATCAAGACCAAGATGATATTTTCCTAGACACACTTTCTATTGTATCATTTATCCTATGGGCTGTGTGTTGATTATAATAGGGTATGGGGATATGCGTTCGACGACCTAATATTTCGTCAAATAGGCCAATCATATGTCTTAAATGGGCTACTGAGGTTTGGATTATGTTGGTCAGGTCGATTAGGCAGTAATATTGGTATGCGGCAAACGACCAGATGCCGTTTTATTATATAGATGCCTGAACAGGAATATAGGTACTTGAAAGAGCTTGGAAGTACTAGATGTAGGTTCCTTTAGGAGCAGCAGGCATCCGTCACTCGACAATTTGTTGCCCAAGACTAGACTACTTTGTTTATATTTCAATCTGTTGCCCAAACAAACGACAACTACCTAGGTACTTCTTTGCTTCGTGTTGTCGGGGTGATCTAGGCCACCACTTTAGGCAGATATTTCAGCCCACTGCACTTCATCTCTAGATTACTTTAGCAGTTGCCTTCCTAAGATAAAACAACTATCATATTGCACTCTTAAAACGCAATACTTCGTAATTCGCGTTCTTCAACATTGTCCTGGTTAATATCCTAACTACCTGGGATAACTTATTACCAAAATGGTACTCTCTTTTAACGCGGAGACCCTGAATGGGCTCTGCTCTAAGGACCAGCTCGAGCTGTTGGATTCCATCGACCATTTACGTCTTCAAGGGATCGACCACTACATATCCCTGCCGCAGATAATTGTCTGTGGTGATCAATCCTCCGGCAAGAGTTCTGTGTTGGAAGCTATCTCAGGAGTGCCTTTCCCAGTCAAAAGCAATCTTTGTACCTGCTTCCCTACAGAGCTTGTTCTTCGACGAGCTGCCGAAACCGGGGTAACTGTTTCCATCATCCCCGACAATCCTCTCAAGTTCTCGACGCAGAATGGCCTTCACACATTCCACGAAGAACTTGAAGGCTTCGAAGGCTTCCCGGATCTGGTTGAAAAGGCTAAAGTGTCCATGGGAATTTCGACTTCGGGGAATGCCTTCTCGAAAGACCGGCTCAGAGTTGAGATCACAGGCCCAGATCGTCCCCACCTCACGATTATCGACATGCCGGGTCTGATTCACTCAGGAACGAAATCGCAGAGCGAAGCTGATGTCAAACTGGTCAGACAAGTCGTCGAAAACTACATGAAACAACCTAGGAGTATTATTCTAGCAGTTGTCTCTGCGAAGAATGATTTTGCGAACCAGGTAATATTGAACCTGGCTCAAAAGGTCGACAAAACAGGTAGTCGTACCATAGGAGTCATCACGAAGCCGGATACTTTAGTGCCTGGTTCTGGTAGCGAGTCTACCTATGTCTCACTTGCTAAGAACGGCGAAGTGAATTTTGACCTTGGTTGGCATGTTCTCAAAAATCTCGACTCAGAAACTCAGAAAGGATCCTCTCTCCTGGGCAAGCGAAATGCAGACGAGGCACAGTTCTTTTCTAAAGGTGTTTGGAAGGACCTCCCCTCGTCGATGTTGGGGATTAATGAGCTTAGAAAGAAACTCAGCAATATTTTACTCCATCAAATTGCTCTTGAACTGCCAAGTCTGATCCACGAAATTGACCTTAAGCTAAAGGAATCCCGCGACCAACTTGAGGATCTTGGAGAACCGCGACGCACTCTCGACGAACAGCGACTTCGACTCTTACAGATCAGTCAAGATTTCCAGTCAATCGTTGAACGATCTATCAGCGGAACATATAATGACGCATTCTTTGAGGACGCTGAGACATCTCGAGGGTACCTCCAACGGATCCGCGCCGTCGTGCAGAGCTTGAATAGAGAATTCGCAGAGGAGCTTACCAAACGCGGCCACAAACGCGAGGTTTCAGATATAAAGACTCCGAATCCCCATGGCCCAGAGTATATCACTAAGGATAAGCTTCTCAGTCACATTCAGACTGTGATGCAAAGGACTCGCGGCCGGGAGCTCCCTGGAATCTTTAGTCCCATGGTTGTGTCCGACTTATTCCACCAACAATCGTCACCATGGGAAAAGATTGCGCAGGATCACGTTGAGAAGTCTTGGAAGGCCGTGGAGACATTTATAGAACATGTTGTGCTCTATGTTGCGGATATGCCGATCGGCAGGTCTCTACTTGACCAAGTGTGCCAGTCCGCCCTCAGTGATCTTCTTGCGGAAGCCAAAACCAAGACTACCGAGCTACTTAATTCGCACCGGCGACTTCACCCCATCACCTACAACCGGGAGTATGTGGAGACTATCCAGAGAATTGGTAAATCTCAAAGGGATACGTTCTCGAGAATCATACAAGAATTCTTTGGGGTGTCGTCTCTCTCGGGGTCAATGTATCTGAACCAGGACAGATACAACTTTAACACGCTCCTTGATAAGCTGGTTAAAACAGAGCCCGACGTTGAACGCCTTGCAGCCTCCGAGGCTCTTGATCGCATGGATGCCTATTACAATGTAAGTGCTACCTTTTAAGTTCCCTGAGATCTGTCATTAGTCGCTAACTAGGGCTCCCCAATATAGATTGCGCTGAAGCGATTTATCGACAGCATCGCCACCGAAGTCATTGAGCAGAAACTTCTCGGGGCTCTTTCTAACATTCTTTCTCCCGTAGCAGTCTTCAGCATGTCGCCAGACCTAGTAGAGCGCATCGCTGGCGAGTCCCGAGAAAGTCGGATGATGCGAGAGGAGCTTACTAAGAAGATCACTGTCCTTCAGAAAGGATCAGATACTTGCAAGCGTTTCGTCGACTCGAAACTAAGCGGTAGGGTTGCATCCTTCTGAAGCTATATAGGAACAGAGCTGATTTGTAATTTTGATGTCTAGATGATCCGCCTTCCCACTCGGAAAAGGACAAGACTCAAGAATGACGACTGAATCAACAAGGCAGAGGAAGTAATTGGATGGGTGTTTATGGATGAGTCTACGAGACGGGTCTTTAACTTGGATCCATCCCAATATTCTTTGTAAAAACTCCCAAGCATTCTCCCACGAATACACGGATACCGAGGGGCTTGAATCAGCCCGTGACAACTTGACGTATCTGTCAAATGTAGTTATTAAGTAGCTATCTGCTAAATCATTACATGTCTTATATCAATTGTCTAGCTGTTTCGCTGAGCCTTCTCAATACAACCCCCAAAGCTGTACAGGCCCTCCACTCTAGTGGTATTGCCAATATATAATGAGTTCAACCCATAGTCTGTCTGTATATCAATCTCGGTGTAAATTGACTCGTAACTAGTTACGCCTCTTATGATGCCCGTTTTTAGTGCCGCCATATTCAACCGAATGCAAATGATGCGTCGAAAAAAGACCCCAGAGACGTCTTGATATTAAAAACAGTAAAAAAAGGAATTTCGAAAATCTTGAAAAATAAAATAAAATCAAAGTGGGTATACAACGCCTCAACCATGCGGATGCAATAACGTGATCCTCAAACTCGTCGTCTGTCGTCGCATGAGTTCATTCGTCGTCAAACTATCGGCCTAGGAGCCAGCCCATTTTCTTGCCGCTATTTTCTCCTTTCTCTCCGGTCTCGTCGCAGTCGAGCTCGAGCCGGTATCGCCGGACGCTGCCGGTATCGTCGTCAAATCCAACCCGTCGGTTCGCCTTGGGCACGAAGCAATCCGGGACGATGTGCTTCATGATCCAGCCTTTGACGCCTCGACTCGCAGCATCAATAGCAGCATATTCAAGACGCCTAGTATGGTCGCTGGTCCAATAGTGGGTCGTTTGCGGGAGAGGAGGATACGACAACTCGGTGTCGTGCGCATCTTCTTCCTCGTCTAGACCTCCAGAAAGTGATTCCGGGGGTGGAAAGTAGTAGTATGTAGTCTGTTGTTGCGGTAATTGGACGGAGTGCGAAGGTTGTTCGCTTAGATGTTTTAAATGTGAGGTTGAGGTGGACTTTGCAGCACGGCGTACCGAAGGCCGTGTTCGCGGTCGAGTCTGGGAGGAACTTGTAGACATGGTGGAATTGCGCCGTTGAGCAGACCGAGACTCAATGGACCTAGACCGGGGAGATATGGACTCGTAACCGGAGTCATGGCGGATTATAGGTTTGAATTCAGGTCTATCATCTTTGCGCGAAAACATTTTATTTTCAGTTGTAGATGCGGAGGAGTTTTCGTATAGTTCGATATTGTGGAAGCTATGGTATGTAGTATCGACACTGGTAGTCGACCGAGACCCGTGAAGGTCTGCTGGTAATGGTGTGAGCCGTGACATCTTGGCTGGGATAACTATTCTCTTGATACATCGAAAATATGTTACCCCAATAGAGTACCGAGGTTTATAGAATATAGAATATTAAGTAAGAAATATGAATGATCAATCACGGGAGTGCGTAGATGGGCTCCTCTTTAAAGAAGAGACGCATTAGTTTCTTTTTTTCTTTTTCTTCTTCTAGTGTATTACCCCGGTGAGACGGCGACTCAGAACGGACAATTAGGGAGCTAGAATAAAGTTGCGGTCTGAGTTCGAATCACTCCTAAATGGAGTGATGGGTAAGAACTCAATCTGCAGAAAACGGTGAAGATGGGGGTTGGTGGATATAGACGAATATTTCCGCGTATGTATGCGGACCCATAAGCGCTTTCGTTCCGAAGTTGATTGTGGTTCTTCTTAACCCTGTAACTCAGGAGTAGTCTTGTAAGACACAAATATGTAATGAGTTATTCAAAAATGGTAACCGAATATAAAAAATAGGGCGATGTGTGCCAGGAATATACACGGTATGAAATAGATAGAGTATGGGGATGACTTTAGACGACGATCAACCTTGTATTCGCCCCTCTTAGCCCTGCAGAGCTAAGACTGGTTTATTGAATGTTTATCGTCTAAATTTGTTGGGTGAAAGAAGCGGTCTGGAATCACTTGACTTTTTTTTTTAGGGAACCAGAGACAATTATCGTGACCGGCACGACCCCGCCAGTGCGCGCGCCAAAAAGACCCCACGTCTTTTCACTAACTATTGTTAGTTTGGTTTAGTTTAGGTACGGATCCGTACGAGAGTGGAATATGGGGAGCGGCGTCTCAGGGGCTTGGCGGCGTGTAATTCTTCAGGAGGAGTTCATGAAAACCAGGGGCCCGGAACCATTGCGGGACGGATATTCATGTGGATAGATAACGGGGAGGGCATCTACTTCTTTAAGGTAGTGAAGCGACGAGAAGGACTGGCTGAATTTTGACGATAGTGGGCGGTTCTGTGCTGTATGCCTCGTGGATATCCGAGTATGACGGCCGTAGCCCTTGCATCAACGTGCATGCAGGGAACGGCAAAACGGGATGACCCTAGTCTTGTAAGATTGGCGATGGTGGTTCGTCGATGGGTTAGAATCCGATGTCGCTGACGATGCTAATAAATAACCCCAAACCTCGACTGCATTAGTGAACGAGCAGGCTCCGCTTCACAGTGGAGAGTAACAGAAACCCCCGTCCTATGTATGATGAGTCCATAACTATATGAGAGAGGGGGTTAATGAAAAGGAGTTGTAACTTTATAAGTTAAGCTGCCCTCGCTCGGGCATCCATTGATATAAGTTGTTAAATCTTGAGTCGCCATTTTCTAGAAGCTTGTGAATGTCCGGACTTTCACATGCTTTGCTTCAAGCTTCCTGCTACACCAATCTATATATATGAGAAGACCGGGGGTAGCGTGGCTCTCGACCCTAGGCGTCACAAGGGTGGCTTGGGTAACATATGTAGTTTATCATGAGCTGTATTTGGCAACATCACCTGGCGCAACCTTTACCAATGGTCTCTTGCGCATGTCATTATGCTATGTTAAAATAGCCAATAATGGCGCGTCGCGTACCTGTCGATGAAACCTCGTCAGAAGGCTATTAATCCTTCTCATGGGGTTTGATGCAAGCTCCCCCGAGCCCACTTAGGCACGCTTGCTTGCTTCTAGACCTCCCGAGGGGGTTCTTCCAATAATATCTTGTTTAGATGTTGAACTTCGGGCATTAAGTTTTGCATGAGAATGAGACATGAGATCAAACATCCAATGAGGGTTCACGTCCGACAACGTCGGAGAGGGACGGCCGTCTTATGGGATCTTCGATATAATGAGAACCTACCTATCCAGTAACCTAAAGTCGCTAACCTCGCTATTTTGAATTCTCTGCTGACCACTAGGCACAAGGGCTACATAGTAGTCAAAGAAATGAGAAACCTTTTGGTGGTAACACATAGTAGATCATTAAGCATCGCCATCTATCAACCTCGCCACTTTGCGTGACATGTCTTAAAATAAGATCTATGTAGTAGTGCAGATAGCCTCTTTAGAATTGAAGGTAAGGCGCAATATACCTTATATTATATCATAGTGGACATCAAGAAGTTTTATGTGAGTTGAAAATCCGGTAAAATTAGCGGAGAAAACAGGGAAATGCTTGCACCTCTTAAAGATTCCAAGATTTAGTGTATATGCATGGCTAAACTTCGGGTTATCTCAGGAGAAATATGTCCAACCAAGTCTTCGAAGTAGTCCGTGCGTCTTTGACGATATCTTCGAATTGATTGACTGCATTGCGAAATGTGTATTGGTTACTTAGACCCTGCACGTGGCGACCAACATATCTAACAGCTTTAAATTATCATTTTTCCCCTTCATATCTTGGCTGGAGTCCACCATTGCTTTGGAGATAGTTGGTTTTCTTCCCCTATTATCCCTATTACCCCTATTACCCCTACCTATCTTACTCATAGACTTCTATCACTGCTAAGTGTTCAAACATACCCATTCGAGTGATTTTCAAAACATCATAACCCGGACTATGAGTAAAGTGGGATGGTGGTACGCCCTCGATAATTGTTTCGCGAGTATTTAACGCATCTAGCTCATCTCATAGCTGTCTTGTCCTTGATACCGGCAAAGACGGCGGTTAAAACTATATAAAAGGAGACAACTCTCACAGGCTAGTTCAAAGCAGCTCTCCCCAGAGAAAGACGCTACATTGTAGCTACCCTAGTTGGCTTTGGAGATGGGTAAGGGAGAACAGATGTAGTTGGTTTACTTGTGCGACAGAATACAAAGGAAAGTTGCTACCTTATTGGCACTTTATATATAGTGCCCGTATAATCACACATACGGTGGAACGTAGAATATCCCTTCCAATAAGTCTAATCTTCGTTTCTGAGTGACATGTCTTTTCTAATGCCCCGTATAACTTAATCTCTTCTAGGTTCTCTCACTTTTCTAATATCTCCTCTATCCTTCGAATCATTAACCCCCATATTTTCCAATGGCTGTGTTTAAGGCTTCTGAGACTCTTGAGGCTCTAAATCAAGCTCTCCCTAGTGGCAGCATTTGGGAGCCAGGGTCTGAAGAATATGAAGAGCTCAACTCCTCCTATTTGTCTAGACTAGAGAGTGACCTCGAGCCTGCCTTTATCTTCCAACCCCAGGCCAAAGAAACCTGATGTTAAGCATCAGCTATTCATCCTTGATGGGCAACAGTATCATGTGCTTAAACCAGCCGTACTACACTCAGGCGGTCGAAAATCCACCCGAGCTTAACCCATTTACCAAAATCCAACCGCAAATTGATGCTCTCAATATAATGCGTCTTCACAGCGTGAAAGATGCGGCTGCAGAGCAAAGTGCATCTGGCCAAGATCGAGTGAGGTATGTACACACAGTTTCTCGAAACGAGCCCTGTAATGGCTTTCGAATTTTGATATAACAAATTACCCAATATTTAGGGATAAGTTTTAGAAGGTGTGCTAATGCGTCGATAGATGTGCTTATATGAACATAATAGTCAAAGTGGATCTTGGGACCCTGAACGCCGTGTCTGAGATCTATACGGCTGAGCTTGAACCCCTGAAGGGAGTTGAAAACGTAACACTATCTTTAACTCTGCAGCCGTACCCAGTTTTGTCAATGGAACAGTCAACTACACACGGGGGCAGTTCTCTGGGTCTTGATGCCGCTGAAGGCCCACTCGTCTCGGTTCTTCTTCTTTCATATTGGAAGAACAAGGAAGATGACAATGCGGTGCTGGGGATGATGAAGGATGCGCTCGACAAGATCAAAGCAGACGCAACTGAGCGGTAACAACTAGTTCCATTTGTCTACATGAATTATACCTTCAGTCACCAGGATCCTTTAGGTTCGTATGGTTTGAAGAATCGGACCAAATTACAAGATGTTAGCAAGAGGTATGACCCTGGCGGTCTGTTCCAAAAAGCTTGCCCTGGTGGCTTCAAACTGTTTTTGTAAGTTGCGGTATTCAACGCATCAATGTTACATGGGATACAAGAAGACGGCCAGGTAGTATCACACATAATAAATATATGAATTAAACCATACCAACCAGCGTTTTCACCACCCCGGCGGTTGAAATGCGTAGAGACGAGTTCTTACGTAGAATCCACCCAATTCAAGGGCTAGCTCTAGATTCAAAGGTGTAAGACTCGCCTAGCACATCATCTACCACTACTGTCCTCGAAATGATTAGGCACAATATTAGATCTTCATAATGGGAAACATAAATTTGTTGGATTTGAGTAATCGGTGGCTATAACTGCAGATGAGCAGGTTGAATAAGACTGAGTTGGCAACACATAATTGCTAGGAAATTATTTTTTCAAATATTCAGTGTCGTTCATAGAATTTCATATCTCTTACGCACCCGTACCCTACCGTCGTTGAAGGGCACCTTAAGCCAGACTATGTTACTTAGTTCCGGTCTACGATGTGGACATTGGACATCATAATTTAGAACCAAGATCCCGTTGTTAGAGCTGTCCACCGAACTAAATACTGAGTATGGTCTCAATGAAGAAAAAGAAAAAGGAGGTGGCGAAACTCATAACGCCAAAGAAAACCCAGGTCCGTAGTCATTCTCTCTCAAGAATGGCTTTGCTCAATTTATAGTAATCGGCATTCTCAGTCATCGTGTAGGTGTTCTAAGCCTCAGATTTGAAAGAGGGTGCTCCTAGCCTCTTTAGCTCCGGGATCTTGCTATTATATTGAGGCTTTAAACTTCTAAACTAACTACTATGAGCAAAGACCTGAATACCTTGCTAACTACTCAGGTAGCTGGGAGATCAACAGGCTCAGCGCAGTCTAGACTAGGGCCATATGAATATCGCATAGAACTAGATATACCTGAGTGCTTATTGCGGCTCCTTTGTGAAACAAGATTTCTCTTTAATTAGTAACTATGTACGTTGACGAATCATTCTGATAGGTATATGAGCTGACACTACAGCTAATGCGAAACTGACTTTCTTCACCTAGTCATATCTTCACCTGGTCATAATGCTTTATATTGCTTGAATATCGAGTTGAGAGTTGAAATACCTATACCTATAACATATGAGATAACCTGATGACATATCTGCTAGAATCTTAATGAATGAAGAATGTTGGCTATTGTAAATTAGATTCTCAATAGGGCTACGTATCGTAGAACTCTTTAGTTAATTATGAATGTTCACATTCCACTTCTTTCCCGTGAAGTGATGACTTTGGGGACAGCTGAGATATTACGAAAGGGCCAGCGTGAAACCCCTTGTTAGTGGCGTTCGAAAATCGGTAGTAGGTACCTATATTCATAGTTTTTCGTACTCACAATCCTCACAGCCAACGGTAAAGTATATTATTACTGCCCTAAGCCTCCTTGGATGTACCCTATAGGATACGTAGAACTTTCTGCTGAGGAATCATAACCGTGGAGCTAGCCGGGCATATGCTCGTTCTCAAGTTGAATTATACCCTCGAGTACGTTTCGGTAATATTCTCCAAATGCAGAAATATTCAGATATTTGAGCTGATTAAGAGATGATTATATCTAATCCATTCATATCGGACGTGGCTGAGGGACTTGGCGAGGATCGTAATGACGGATATACCTGATTCAGCAATAGAGCTGCCGCCTCAGCCGTAGTTTAGACCTACATGATGTGGATGCTGCACGTCGTCCTCGTAGTGCACCGTACGAAAACGGGGTACGGACAAGACGCAGGTAGTCAGCCAAGGTTGGGGAATATACGAAAAGCTAGCCCGGATTGTAAAGCCTTAGCCATGATGTTAGATTATCTGTCTTGTCAGTTAATTTATTTTTGCATGATGGTAGGTGTCAATTCGACCGGGGAAAAGAAGATCATGAGAATCAGATGTTTATATTTACTTGTAAGTGTGCGGCTTATCCTAGATGATTGGACGGATTGGACGATGGGGTTTCTGTCAAAGAAAGATAATCTAGATCGGAAGAGAGTTTAAGGAATTGATTGTCATTTGATGTATATAAATATGTATAAAAATATACATGATACAGTAATCTTTTCTTGTAATGGTCAACTTTCTCAGGTTCTCAGGTAACACAAAGTGTCTTTTGCCCGCAATGGTTGTCGCTGCAGTGTGTGACGCGTAAGTCTTTTTCCTCTGCACTTACGAAGTACCTAGTCTGGTACCTAATAGGTACGGTAGGTACGGATTGCTTTCCAAGAGTTACAAGCGTTACATTAGATGTTTGCATCTGCAGCAAAGTTGCAGCAAAAGTTGCAGCAGTTACAATTGATGTTACCCAATTACCACTATTTGTAAAACCAGATCCACCATAGGTGCCTTCCCTGCCTTCCCTGCCTTCCCTGCCTTCCCTGCTTTCCCTGCTTTCCCTGCCGAATGAGCCAAGATTGCAAGATTGCCGCCAAGCTAGCTAGACCGTTAAGGGTACTACGACCCCTACTGCTTGCTGAGTGCTACCTTCAGCAGCCCTAAGTTACCATTTTAGCTTTGATCTCACGTGATCTAGCCTAGATAAACCAAGATGTCCATGTTGATTCCACATTTTTAGCTACGGGTAGGGATAATCGAGATACACTACAAGTGGATAAAGTACCTCATCGCCGGCATATACCTAGCCGGATACTATATCTTGTATGAGATCCTATTGTACCAGTACATAGGTAATCAATATTGACCTAAGGGGACGCAATTGCCCAATGCTCTTTTTGTACATAGTAGTTACTCACTTCCGTTTTCTGCTACAAATTAATCAAACGGGGGTTCAACCAAAACAAACTTGAAAATGAAGAGATGAAAATACATGTACCTACTTAGAATAACGGCAAAAAAAAGGTGTGAAACAAAAACATAATAATAATGATAATAATCACCACCAACATATGCAACGCACGTACACTCATCAGGCTTCAACTCTTACGCTTTTTTACACTCTCACACACAACATGTCACCAACACGTTGACAGCCGACACACCGCAGGTGACCCCGTCCAGGGCGACACAAACCGGGACAACACACATTTGCATTACATATGTAGACGATAGGAATGCCATCCTTGGTTTTCGGTCAAGTTCGCCGCATCTTGCGCATGGTAAAATTTAACTGATATCGACGATGCTGATTCTGATGCCGAAGCTCCATGGTTGATACCTAGGTTGATACCTTGATACCTTGATACCTTTTGATACCGAAGCTGATGTTACTGTTGCTGGATCGTTGGATCGCTGGATACTTCCGCTGGATACTTCCGCTGGATACTTCCGATATTCCATTCCTGCTGCTACTGATGTAGATGCCGACTTATTCCTTTTTTTCTAAGTCGCGTTCTCATCTATCGTCATCGTCATCACTATCATCATCCATCAACTACCTACCGCATACTATTTCTATTTACTTCGGGTCGCTTGTCCTTGTTCTGTGTCCTGGTTATCCTGGTGTCCTGGTCCTGGTCTTATTACTTCCCTGTCTTGTCTTGTCATCTATCATCTGTTTCTTCACCTAACCTGGCATCTCCCTCTCTTACTCTTATTACTCCTACTCTTACATTTCTCTTACTACTTCTACCTCTACTTTTTACTTCTATTATTTTTATTTTCAACTAAGAGAAACAAGGCCCCGGCTAGCCCGGACGTCCGTCTGATCACCCAAAAAGTCTCTTTCCATTTTTATTCTCAAAACTCTTTCCCTTCTTGAATATATCCGTACCCCGAACTATTTTAATATCTTAATTATTTTATCAATTATTTTTATTATTATTTTTATTACTTTTATTCGTTTTTGTTCTAGTCTATTTTTTTTCTTATTCTTTCACACCCCCCTTTTCCAACCCCCCACCATATAACTCGAAGCTCTACTCTTTTTATTTTAATTATTCCCCCCCTACCTGGATCTCTCGGACGAGTTTACTGGTTTAAGGGGGCCCGTCATGCTGCCTTCGCCCTCGGCCGGCCTTAGTAACGTACCGCCCCCATCTACGGCCGCGGCCACGGACCCAACCATTACCACTAGCACCACTACCTCAGCTCTTCTGGTACCTGGTCCAGGCCCTGCAGCAACAGGGGCATCATTGAAGCGACCTGCTGCAGCCGACCTGCAGCGCATTGCCGGCGCAAGCGTCATTCCTTCAAAAAGACAAGCTACATCTAATACCAGAACGAATCCCATCCCGAATCCGAGTCCCTTGGCTGCTGCTCCCATAATTGCTCCTTCGTCTTCAGCTTCGGCTCCTCCGACTACGACAGCAACCCAATTCTATCATCAACCTCAAGCTGCTATGTCCCTACCCGCTATGGTTACAGAGGAACAGCTGCTGGGTAGGACCCCCGAGCAATTAATCGCCACCATTCTCCAGATCCAGATGCAACACCAGCAATACGTCGCTCATATCTCGGCGCAATTCGATGCCATCAGCCAACAGCTGAATGACCTTCGTGGAAGCTTAGTGGCCTCCCATCAAGCTGCAGCTTCGGTACGTGTCATGCTCCAAAAACCCATGCCATTCCCCGTATCCAAAATTTATTTATATTATCCACTAACCCGTTGCACCTTTTTTAGGCACTGAGCTCCCGCGATTCCTCTGTACGACCCATTATACCCCCGCCCCCTCCGCAACTGTCGGCTGCTTCATACCCTCGGGGACCGCCAATTTCTATGCAAACGCCAAGCCGCCCTGCTAGACCTCCTCCAACTTCCCCATCCACTTCTTCTCAGGCGGTTCAACCTAGACCGGCTGCGCAAACACCGGGATCTGCAGGGCCTCCTCAGTATAAATACGGGACTGTCGGCACGGTAGAGGAGGTTTGGAAAGAGTACCGGGAGGGAATGGATGGGCAACCTGCCATTGAGGAATTGGACGCTGCGTGGGGTTCGCGCTGGCGGCCGGAGCCGCGGGGCCGCACATGGTACTCGAGGCGAAAAGTGATCTGGGACAAGATCAAAGAATACATGGCAGAGGGCTTGGATGAAGATGAGGCGGTGAGAGAGGTCGAAAGACTACGCGATGGAAATACGATTAACAAGCTAATTCGGATGCTCCAAGACGAACGAAAGGATAAAGGAATCGGAGACGACAGCATGGTCACTTAGCATGGCGACTTAGCATTGCGGCCGTAACTACCTAGGTACTTGATTCGGGATTGGCGTTATATGGGGAGCGGCATTGATACCACACATATATGAGGCTGCATTTACGGGACTGCCAGCAAGAGGAATGCGGCAGCGGAATCGGAATCGGCATATCATCGTTGTTCGAGAGGATGTTATTCTTAAACGGCCTGCTACAGTATGTTTATTGTTCACTGGTTGAACAAACGAATAGCCCATGGCTAGTGTCTAGACGGGAACCCGTGGTAACGAGAGACCACCGGAACGACGCTTCAGCGGTGATTAGGAAAACATGTCGTTACTTGGTTCGTTACTTGGTCGTAGGTAGTCTACCAAGCAATTACACAAGCGTGGCTTCGAAGCGCCTGCTACCATGCTGCCATGCTACCGATGACACCCATTGGCTTTTTCTAATACAAGTTTCTGGGCATGTGCATAGAGTTCACGGAATAGGTTCCGGTGATAGGCTACAAGACCCGAGGCAAATAATCCCCATCGCATGGTCACGCGCCTCTCTCGAGTGTTTCCCAACAAGTGCATTAGCAGCGTGGCTTCGGTACTTGGGTATGACTATATATGGGTCTGCATCGCGGATCTCATACACTAACCGTTAAGGACTTCATAACCAACAACGTAATGATCTATCGTGGCGGCATGAATCGGTTACACAAAAGTCACGATATACAAAAATGTGCAGATAACATGATTGGCGGTGCGTTTGATCGTCACAGTAAGCTCATGGGGTAGAATCAATACCCTAGCGAACACAAAGGTCCCGCGTATCCGACCACGTCACTAGATATATTGCCGTTACCTCCAAATGATTAAAAATGAAGACGATGCAAGCTAAATTTACTTGCTCAATGTCGGCATCGGTCAGACGAGGACCCTGTACGTAGCTGTATTGGCCCCTATTGGCCCCTATTCCCACTTTTTCCTTGCTTTGATGCTAATCATGGCGTAAGCTGCTCAGCCGCATAGGTATTACGACGCTACCTACTTAAATTTCCGGGTTGTTGACTTCAAGCCGGCCGAACTGTTATCCTAACTGCGTCTTCGGTCGAGGGTAATTGAGCTGGTTTATTTTTGGTCGGATTCTTGGCGCGAGCCTGATACCCGGATGACCACCGAGCACTGCCGTCAGACTCCGACTCCAAAACCCAACTACGACGTCTTGATTGACTTAACCACATCGAGGCCAAGTGAGGATGAGAAAGGGTCAGGTGCAAGACCCCAGCGTCGGTAAATGAACTTTGAGGTGTGAGAGGGCGAACACGGTGGAAGAGTAAGAGTAAGCTTCTTGGGTTAGGAGAAAGAAAGTGGCTTGGGTTAGGTGCTGTTTGTTGGCAATAAGATGTTGTCCGCAAATACAATGGAAATGGGAGAGAAAATCGGAAGGGCTTTGCTCTAATAAATGGCAAACAAAGAGCTTGTCTAGATTACAATGTCGTCGTTAAGCGATGATAATAGGGTTGATGAACTTTGATGAGACTAGACTCCGCTGTCAATCATATACCTGGGACAAAGCGGCATCGTATATATATTCATGACGTACCTGCTTATCATGAGTTGCCTCCTAAGAGATCACGCCAATCCATATTACCGGATTCCATGTTATATCTTGGTACTGTATTTCATTGAAAGATGTGTCTCGAGATCTACGTCCATAACACCACCCCTGAACATGACACCCGCCATCAAAGCACTCTAAATCCTGTCACGGGCTATACAGTTTACAGCCCGTGGCAGGAACCACATAGTATGTTATGCGAGTATCCTCATATCACAGAGAAAATTGATATAAATCAGCATTGTCCTTGGCATCCTGGATGCTGCCGTCTTGAGCATCATCACTGGTGCTGGTCGAACAATTGTAGTATGTGGTCTAAGTATCACCACTTTGTTGATGAACAAAATGGCGAGACTAAGGACATCTCATTTCTAAATATATACATGAGCCATAATCCGACTCATCTGCTTATTGCGGGGTGGCTATTCAAAGCCGGCGCCGAGCTGAGATCATCTAATCACCATCTGAGCAATTCGCCCATTATTATAGAAGGATCCTCGTACGCTGCCGGACTAGCAAATGCCGAGTGGTTGCGTACGCGACTATACGAAATTGCGACTATGGCAAAGGAATGCCTTGCTCAGTTCGCTATACTCTGGGATCTGAATTCGGGTCCCGGCGCGCTTCCCCCGCGTCCCGGCTTCGAAGCAGACCCGAGGCTCAACGAATATGTATCGAGGGTCTTGTGTCTGCGAGTCGCTGATAGTGGGCCGTTTTTAGACGTCAGTCCGGTCTCGTGGCCACATAACACACCGCTTTGGGACAAGTTTCGAGCCGGAGTCGTCCCGTTACGTGACGATCCATATAGTGTTCCGTGGATTGCAGGAGCAAGCAGGGTCGAGTCGGACCCAGGCTTCATGTCCGCTACGGTCCCGAATTCAAATGGTGTTTTTCCACCGGAACAGCATCCACCTGAGATGATATATAATCCTGGTATGTCACATATTTATCCTACGTCTCCTTCACACGTAGAACCTCCCGAGCAACAACTGGAAGCTCTAAATAATATCCCCATAGATACTCTTCCTACACCTCTGTCTACACCCACTCCCTCTACATCTTCGCTCCCTAGATCTACGTTCCCTGCAAATATTCTCCCTATGGACACTTTTCTCTCGCCTTGTTCACCTACACTTTCTACTACCACGCCTTTACCCCCCCCCAGCAACTCCTATGCCAGAGGCAAATATAAGCACCAGCCCTATCCCTGATAGTGTTGGAAATAACATTGAGCTGAACAAAGGAGACGATGTGCACAATGTTGAGGCCATAGTAGGCCACGATCCTCCCCACGTGGTACGTCGCGCCGTACGATGGTACAAGGTTCGCTGGGAAGGAGACTGGGAAGAAGATAAAGAGACATGGGAGCGTGACATTCATATTTCTCCTAAGCTTATTGACGCATACTGGGAGAAGTTTGATGCGGAAAACCCGCGATACTATTTACGAAGTAAGGGGTCATCGTAAGTAGATGGCCCGTATAGTATACCACCGAGTCGAGTCTTGATAGTCTAGTCGGGATTATAGACTTGGTCTTACTAGGAATCATACGCTTACCCTAGGACTTTTCCTAAAATCAGCGTAATATCTAGTTAGCAAATAAGCTACTTTCAGTAAATAATCGTAATAGATAATAAGTACCTATTTACCTGCTAGTATCTAGATATATACCTGATATGGATTTGATAATTGACCCCATTCACAATACATACGCCAACCACTTAAGCAGCACGAGTATTGATTCCCCCTTGTTTACTTCCCCACTTGTCTAAAAGGGGTCATCAACTTCGCTGTCGTGGCCATCTCTAGGCGCTCGTAGACGCCGAAAAGATGCAATAACATCGACTTGTTTGTTTGCGTGCGAAATACTTTCTTTTGGGGAACGAACTTGCCGCTGTATCCTGTCGTCTATAGCGTTTCCGGAAGATACCCTCTCTGTAGGTGATTCTTGATATGGTAGAGACGACGGCGACGGCGAATATCTGCGCCTCGACTCTGAATCGCTCTTGCGACGTGGGTTCGGCTCTTGATCTTGTAGCACTGGACGCCACTCGGGTCTCAAGTGTTCAAAGCTTCGTCTTTGATACGAGTAGTCTGCAGGCCTGCGGCCCAGGACATCTTAGTAGCAATACTGCAGCCTCTAAAATGAGCCATCTGATATGCAGAGATGTCCGTGACCGTCTCAATCGTCGAGGAAAGGAACGACCGCGAGCCTATTTCCCGCCAGCCGCTGTCTAGAAATACGAGATACAAGGGCGCTAGAAGCTCCTGCGTCCAACCTCGCGTGAACCAACGTGACCTCGCAAGTGTTTCTAGCTCGTCGCCTTTACGGACTCTCCAGACGTCACTCAAGAAGGCGTAGAACCCTGACGCAAATTAAAAGGAGACCATGTTACCATCAGCCCTAACCTGAAACTGTAGATCTCGACGTCTCTTGGCATTTCCTGTCCTAACCCTATGCGTATTGCATATGTGAGAACGAACAAGCTCCTGTATCTAGTATTCATGTTACTACCTAGGTAGGTACCTAACCTATCAATAATATTTGAGCATCTTTTCCGAATAGCGAAGAGCACTTCTTAACTTTGAAGTAGTAGTAACTATTTAGTAATAGAGACAATACTTTGGTATATATTTCGACATAAATATGAAGAGAAGTTATCAACTTACGGTGGCTGTTCGCTCGTATGACTTATTCTTCTTCCCCACGTAGCCACCAACGTTCCAAGACGTTGCTTTTACTACCATTGCACTATAGGTGGACTATAAGAGAGTCTATATATTGCCTGCACTCTTAACTACAGTGATAGGAGCTCTATTAATTCAAACCAGCTCCCATAGGTGCGCTTACACCAGGTGATAAGTCGTATGGTTTGGTTGCAACCCGTTTTAGGCTATCCGCTTAATGTGATGGAAGAAGCATCCAATTTCGGAAAGACTACATCTCAGCTCCGTTATCAGAGTCCATAATGAGCTCAGCTTCCGGCCATAAAAGTGATGATCTTCGCTCTAGGGCTTTGCAACTAGTTTAAGCATTACTCATGCATCGCATTTAAGACGATTTCACATACCTATTCGGAGCAATGAGAGGACTCACCTTGACCGTTTTCCCCTTGTGGTGGGCTGCTGGGGCGATTGCTGCTCCTACGCGGGCGCAAGCTGCACCTCCGGCTGAATTCACACCGAACACGAGGGTCGGCCCCGGAGGAAACAGCTACAAGGACTCGCCACATTTTCGCGTCTATGATGCGACAAGCGACTCTGTCGCGAATGCCGTACTCCAGACTCTTGAGTCAGCCTACGACTGTTTCGTAACTGGCCAAGGATGGAGGTCGACGGGTCTCTCATTTAATCAAGACAATGACAATGGCCCTTGGTACAAGATGAATGTCTACGATGTTGCAGATTTAGGGCCTAATACTGCTGCCAATACCGGAACCGATAGCGCCACCGGCCTAAGTTTCCTGAATGTCGTTACGCAATGGATGAATACGCCTTCGATTACTGTTCATGAGTTCGGACATGCTCTCACATATGCTGAGAGATACTGGGTTAACCAGGGCCGGACGGGAGCATGGTGGGAGACGGTCGCCAACTTCGTCGCCGACACATTTATAACCTCCTCGATTTGTGCGGACTCGAGAGCGCGCTATAATCAACCGAGTGGTGATACTCTCATGAATCTTAAGAAGGTTATAGGCGATTCTTTCCAAGTAATCGTGGATGGGTCAAGCGGTACCGGAAACTATTACGAAGCATGGCCATTCCTGACTTACATTACGAACAATCCAGACAATTATGCTGGTCTGGGGATGGCGAATTTCCCGAACGTATGGAGAAAATACAAGCGGAACAGCAATGAGACTCCTCTGCACATCTTGGATCAGCTCGCATCGCCTACTAAAATCCAGACAATCGTCGGTCGCTACTGGGCTAGAATGGCGTATGTCGATCTCGGACACGAAAAGGCTAGGGCTCTATTCAATCAGCAGAGGAAAGAGTTTAATTACGCAAATTTGGATTCCCAGGGCAGTGGGAGATATCGAGTTAAAGCAGCTCGGCAGCCGCGTTATATGGGCGCCAACATCATCCCCTTGAAGGCGACTGGATCATCGATCAGCATCACTGTAACTGCCACGACACCATATACAGCTACTCTGGCGGTAAAAGGTTCCAATGGAGCTGTTCGGTATATCGAGGTGGTAGACAACAAGGTGCAAGCAAATTTGGCCAGCGGGGAGGAGGCTACTCTCGTGGTTGCGAACACGCCGAATACGCTCTACCTTTATGATCCTTTCTCACTCACTAGCGATGTGAGTCGGGGCTTGGACTACCAGTTGCAGATCACAGGCGCAAGTGTCTAGATTTAGGTCTCCCTGGGCACATAAACAAGCTGTAAGGATTAAATGGTCAAAAATTATTATGGTGATTTTGTACCGTTTTATGATTGCCCCCTGAGTTTGTTCTTGGAGGGAGTTGGAGTGTTCATTCGCAACTTAGTAATCTTGAAATCGAGGTTACCTAGAATACAGTGATAATTCAGCAACTCTATAGTATTCTATGCTACTATATGAATTGATAGGAAATCAATACACTCTTGCAGATAGAATTCAACATTTCGGATCCTCTTTTATTTGATTGGTTGCGCTGATTTCTCTTCAGGGGTAGTTTTTGACCCCTGTTGACCTTTTATCGAAGAAAGTATTTGAGAATAAGAAAACTTCATCAGACTTCTATTAGTTATTAGTAATACTTAACATCTCTTATAAGTCTACCTATATATCGACCTTGGACAGATTTCTGTAGAAGGATAAACCTCACCATATCATTGGCCAGGTAGATATCGGATGAGCTGATGATCTGATACAAGAAGTACCATGGTCAAGGTAAAATATTACAGGTCAATAAATCGGTAATAACGGCCTCTTAGGGGCTACACAACCCGAATGCCTGGTTTTTCAGGCTACGACGCTGATAGAAATCAATAATTATCTCCAGCTGAACTCATCCATATGACCATAAAACATCAACCAAGACCCGTCGAAAATGGATTCATGTACTACATGTCGCAACCTAGAACCTTTGCCAGGACTTTCTGGAGGTTTCATAACCGGTGGCACGGGTCATGAGCTAGAGAGCTCGGCGCCCACTTGTCAACTGTGCTCGATCCTTTGGGAAGGCCTGGGGGCCTTCTGCTTGGTGAGCCCGGGAACTGTTCAGTGGATAGTGTTGCGCCAGGAAGAAGAACCATTCCGCCTTCAGTATAAGCAGTCGCCCGAAGACAAAGCATGGATAGGCCTTCATTATTATACCAAAGACGGTATGTATATTCTGCCTAGGTATCGGGCAATTTGTGAAGAGGGCTTAACCTAGTGAAGTCTATATCAGCTAAACAATATCAGCACACGATCCGCTATCAGGCACTTTCAAACCGAGCAGCGACCTTGAGCCAAATACTGCATCTGAGAAGTATCTTTCACAAATGAAAAGCTGGGTTACCCATTGCAACGACAAGCATGATATCTGCAGAAGTCGTCTGAACGACTATCTCCCCACCAGAGTGCTGGATGTATCACGAAATCAAGACTATGCCTTCATATATGAGCCGGTCAAGACCGATAAGGGCCCTTACATAGCGCTGAGCCATTGTTGGGGAGGCGCTGTCCCCTCTATGACGACGACCGAAACGCTAGGTAAAAATAAAGATGGGATATCAATCGAGTCGCTACCGAGGACATTCCAGGATGCGATATATGTTACACGACAGCTTCAGTGTCGCTATCTTTGGATCGATTCCCTTTGCATTATCCAAGATAGCCTCGACGACTGGACAAATGAAGCCTCACACATGGCAGACGTCTACGGTAGTTCGTATGTCACTATCGCAGCAACCGCATCAGCCGATAGTAATGGCGGCTTATTCTATCGACACGACATACTAGATGCCAGACATACTACCGAACGCCGTCTTAAAACAGGTCTGTCTACTATCGTGAATGTACGCCCAGCGCTGGAACATTCGCCCTACTTTGCCAGCACCCATTACGGCCTAGATTACTCGACGAGAGCACCTTTGCTCGAACGATCTTGGTGTTTCCAAGGTAGGTCGATCACCCCCTTTTCTTGGGGAATACTCATAGTTAACAATGAGCGCAGAGTATCTTCTATCCCCACGCGTATTGTCGTTTACGCAGTGGGAGATACTTTGGGTATGCTTCTCTAAGCGGTCTTGTAACTGCGGGGAGTATACTGAGAACACGCGTGAAGTTGTCTCCTCGAGTGACCTAAAGGCCAGGTTTGACGCTCAGATTCGCGGTGGCTCGTTGAAAGACTTGCACCGACTGTGGGAAGATATAATCGGAGCTTATCTACTAAAGGGAATAACATATGACACAGACAGATTGCCTGCTTTGGCGGGAATAGCACAACCATTCTACGAAAGGGGTCTCGGTCGGTATGTGAATGGCTTATGGGAGACAACCCTACTTTCCGATCTATTTTGGGAAGCCAATGCGTCGTTCGGCACCAACTATAATATCATTGCGAAACGCAATGCTAATAGAAAGGTTCCATCGTGGTCATGGGTATCGGTGTCCGGGTCATTTCGATACGCTTATAGCACATACGTATTTGAGGATATCGAAATACTTCATATCTCGTACAGCCCAGAAGTATCCAGGCCTCTTGCAGAGATCTGTGCTAAGAGTATAACTATTCAAGGGTTACTATACCGTGCTCGTGCCTGGGTTCCATTCGACTATCGGAAGAACATACCCGACCCTCGGCGGCGGATTCAAGCCGCAGAAACCCAAGAGGAGGATTGGTATGTTGACGTAACCTCGGAATTAACTTGTGGTGCTGAGAGTCCAATGGACGTTTATATTCTTTGTGGTACAAAGGGCCCAGGACTCATCCTTCGTCTTGTCGAAGGGACGGAGTCCATATATCGGAGGTTAGGTATGATAGATTGGGTTCCGCCTGGATTAAGCGAGCAGAAGCCTACAATCATTCAATTAGTATGATAACTTGAGCAGTAATTCAACCGAATACAGAGAACAAGTATAGCGGAACTCTGTGAGGTAAAGGATACGTAAGACTTTGAATGAGGTTCCCATATAATAGTGGGAGTTTCGAAATACCCAGAGCGTATATATAGAGAAAACCAACATCAGATCCATTCGCATGGGCCAGCTATTCGTCACCGGGCACAGCCTAGGCAACTGTATTGCTCAAATCCTTCCAGTCGGCTCGTGGGACTGTTCTATAGAGACCTTATCATGTAAATTTGGACTTAATACTATCTTACGCGGGACTAGATGGTGTTGATTGGTGGGCAGAACACCCGCCCGACCGGCAATATGGCTAGAATGATGATATATTAAACGGTGACTTCAGAGCGGCACTTCAGGCCGGTGGCATACTACTATTAATAGGACATATTTCCCATGTATACCTTTCTCCCAAGACTCACTCGAAGCTTATTTGATCTCTATATCTCTATAATACTCAGCAAAAGATTATATTCAGAACATAATAGCATTCAATTTAACTCTCACCTGACGGAGTATCCAGGCTTTAGTAGTTCAGGATGCTACCGCATTGGAGTTTCATACTCGCGGGAGTCAGCGCTATTTTGCCAGGTGCCTCTGCTCTACTTCGCTTTTCGTGCTCCCAGCTTGTCGTTGAAAGGCTCGACCCCTTAGTCAATCCCGGCGTTGTCGGATCGCCACATCTTCATCAGATTATCGGCGGAGTACGTACACATATTCAATGGAGTTTAAGTTATAAGGGTTCACTCTAATAAATCGAAATCTGTAGAATGCCTTCAACCCGTCGATGGATCCAAAGACTATGGATATCCCTAGCACAGCTACTTGCACGACCTGTACCTTTGCCGAAGACTTTTCTAATTATTGGACTGCCGTCATGTTTTTCCGCGCACGAAATGGGACGTATAAGCGTGTTCCGCAAAAGGGTAATGTTTACTTTGAAGATTCGAACGGTGGTGGTATGACGATCTACTACATACCGAGTTACCAGAACACAACTGTTACCGCATTCAAACCTGTAAGTAATACCAACCGGTCTTATACTGGAAATCTGTATCGTGGCTTAGTGTTGCAAGGGATTCCGGATGATTACTGGTAACCCTACGATACGCACCGAAGAAGAGGCAATGAAATTCCGCCAGCTCACATAGTAAGTCTTTTACATACGTGTTTAGTCTTTGCACATGCAAATTAAACCACCTTTACTACGAGATCTTATTAAAAAAAGCTTACACTGCTTTTATAGCACCTGCCTTCAAGATCCTATGACGAGAACAAATGAGACTCATGACATGCCAAAAGAGCCGTGCCCTGCGGGTATCATGGCAAACCTACGGTTTCCGACGTAAGTGGCGGGTCGCTACTTTAGACAGCAAGTTAGCTAATGGGTTATCTAGTTGCTGGGATGGCGTCAACTTAGACTCTCCCGATCACGCCAGCCACGTCTCGTATCCCGAAAGTGGCACATTCGAAGAAGGGGGCCCGTGTCCTTCGACGCATCCCGTCAAGATCCCCCAACTCTTTTACGAAATCGTCTGGGACACTACTCCTTTCAACGACAAGTCCGAGTGGCCTGAGGACGGCTCGCAGCCATTCGTATGGAGCTACGGCGATGCCACGGGCTTCGGTAATCACGGTGATTACATGTTCGGTTGGAAGGGTGACGCGCTGCAAATCGCGATGGATACGAACTGCAATGGGTTCAAATGCCCGGAGTTGCAATACCAAGAGATCAAAGAGGGGAATAAATGCTCAGTAAAGCCAGTGGTAGATGAAGATGTTGACGGGTGTAAGTATTTCAACTGGTAAGGAAAGTTCATTGCTAACAGAAGAATATTAGGGCTCACGGAGCTTCCCGGTGGCATGCCAGTCACCGATGCTAGTGGGAAGCCTATTTATTAAGCCATCATAGACAACGGTAGAAGGCAAATAGGGGTCAGATAGTATAATGGACAAGATGTGATATCCTCAAACGTAATATGTTGAGCCCCTTTTCAACTCTATTACTTGACATGTAGAAGAAGCTATAGATACACGAGACACATGCACTATATGGGCGTATGATTATAGTGACGTTAAGATTATATTTCATTCTAAGCCTCAAGCTGATAAGGATGGTTCGACTCAAGCTAGACGGTAATGTCATATTTATTACTATACGGTATATCATCTTAATAAGAGCAAACTGTGACTGAACTTCGAAGAGGCATGGAATATGCTGTAATTTGTCTTTGTTATAAGCTGAGACAAACTTTTCAAAGATGCTTCCGGAAGTATCACCCATTGTGTTTCATGATTCACTGGTAATAGTAACAACGCATTATTTACTCTAAACACCACATAACAAAGAAACTTAAATTTAAAGTAAGCTCAACTTTTCTATTGGAACTTGTTAGTTGAGATTTTTGGGAACTGTGCCACTAATTCGCAACTAATTCGCAACAAGGTTATTTCATAATCTGGCTCACAAGTTAGTTTATTATTTGATCATAAAACATTAAACATCAAAGTAATGTCTATGACACAAACTGACATTAGCGACGTCGAGGATATACGCAGCCGTAAAGTTGTAACGATCGAGCCAGACAACGGTGCAAGAGTAGGCTCGCTAGCTAATGACTGGAACCGGGATCCGTCGTGGTTTTGGCCTCCGCCTCTGTATCAAGCATATTGCAAACTCCATTTCTTAAAAGAGTGTTCTTTATATCACTTATGGGAAAATGAATACTTCAAGCTCAAAGCTGAAACGCACACACTGAAAACTAAGAAGGCCAGCAAGTGGCCCACAGCGCCAACACGAGTACAGCCTTCAAGACGAGCTCGAGAGAAGAATTTAAAAGATCAGCCGGGGATATCTATAAGCAGACAGAGCAGTCCATCACGCAACAATAAGGCCGACGGGACATCTAATACACTCGATACTCGTCGCGAGCAACTCCGACTTCATCTTCCCTGGCCGGTTTACAAGACACAACTAGAAGGTCGGATCAACCAGGCATTCGACGCGCTTTCGGGAAAGAAGCAGGAGAACATCGATATATCTGAGCCCGATCGTGCCTCTGACATCCAGCCGCGTTTAGAATGTCGATACTGTAGATTCGATCCCGTAGTTGTAGACTGCGAAGGTTCCGTACCTAGAAGATTAGCACCGCCGGCACCGATGTATTCTATCCTTCCAGATGATATAAGCGAAGAGCAGATGGGCGAGTTTGGTGGTATAAAGTTCGCAGTCGATCTACCCGGTAATCACGAGGCGATTGTTTTGTTAGGGATAGAGAAACTTGACGATCTGGTTGGATGAAGGTGTAGCCAACGACGATAGGATAACGAGCTCAAATAAGGATCTGTGGTCATGCCGAATACACCTTGAACTAGCAAGTCGAAATATAGGAATTCTGCAGCTGCGCTAGACAAGAATAGAATGTGGAAGAGAAGAAAATCATGATGCCAGGTTCGTTATTAAGAATATGACATCTGTTGCTTTTCTTTGGCTTACCTACTATGATATAGAATTTGCCACAGATATATATTCTACACCTACATTTCTGAGGCCGTGGCAAACACTCTGATTGAAGAGTTTGACGACGAATAACGCCGGTCGCCGGTTTCCATTCCATGTAAGCAAGGAAACGAATTAGAACGTGAGCTCGTATTAGATCTAGGTACCTACTAACTTAGTTCTTGTAACGTCAGTCCTCTAACGACACTCTTACCCTCCTATGTGTGCCAAGTTGTTATTAATGTTATATGACGCTGTGACTTCGTAGTTGATCAAGATGCGACAGCCAGCGCGAACAAGTCTTTTTTAAAAAGAGGACGTTGGAACTGGAAACGGGCTAGGTAAAGGGACCTTTCCTTTTTATGGCTAGGCATATTCGACTTGAAGACTCTTCTTATTAGAGATCGAGGTCGAGGACTCGCCAATCGGCCCGGCTAATAGCGTGGGGCTGAAAAGAACTTCTGCATGGAAAAGACCAGGAATACGACCGGGCCGCGGGTCGACGGCAGGCAACAGGTTCGCGTGTGATCTGCCATGGTAAGCCAAGAGAAAACAGACGGGGATTCTCTTTTCAGCTTTTACTTGGAATAAATGATGAGATCGGATAGACCGAATTACGTCAAGAAGATGTCTTGGTGTGCAAAGACTCTTGAAAATAAACCACCTTCCATGTTGATCGTAAAGGCTTGATTGTGTGATTCTCTAGTAGGTTTTCGAAATGTCGGTTTCCTGTAGTTTAAGGTTGAGCTCGAAAGCAATGTTACATCGCCATGCGCCGAGGCGACGGGGAAATCTAATAAAAACTGTTTCTTGGGACCCCGAAGATCACAAGGTTTCGTTTGCGTGCGATGGCGTGCGATCTGCCAAGCATCCATAAGAACCTCATGAATCTCACGAATTCTCGGCTGCCCCTGCGTATTCACTTATACGCAAACGCTCATCTCCTGATCCTAGATCCTCCCCGAACCCAAGAGGCTCTAGAACCTAACCTAATAAGCTGTGCCACTTGCTTGAATTGTCTTGTTGTCTTGACTGGTCTTGTCTGGTCTTGTCTGGTCTTGTGCTGGTCTTGTGCTGTCTTAACCTTGAATAACATGTGTAACATACGACCGGCCCCGAGTTAAAAAGGAGACGTATTCCCATTAGGTTCTTGTGGAGCGCGTACCATTCCCTCAGTTCCGCTCTTTGCGACCGTCATACTAGGAATCAAAGCCAAGATGTCATCAGCGACAGAGGTCGGGAAAGACTCAGACCCCGACACGCGGGAGTTGAATGCTCCTACGGACGAGGAGTATGCCTCCTCGACTAACGATGGAATTCAGCAGTTTGCTTATTCCGACGAACGGAAGATCGGTGTTACTGGAGCGGTATTTCTGATTTTGAATAAGATGATCGGAACAGGAAGTAAGTGAAGCGATTATTCCAACAACTTCATAAGCGCTGCGAATAGACTGACCAGTTATTCCAAGTTTTCTCTACTCCCTCGGCCATCTTCGCAGCAACTGGGTCGGTTGGCATATCAATAATATTATGGATTGTCGGTGGTATTTTGACCTTCTGCGGTCTGAGCGTATTCCTTGAGTTCGGTTTGGCTATTCCGCTCTCCGGTGGCGAGAAGAATTATCTCGAACGTGTCTACCGCCACCCGCGTTACCTGGCTTCATGTGTTTTGGCATCACAGATGATCCTCCTAGGATTTTCGTCCGGAAACTCCCTCGCATTCGGCCGGTATGTCTTAGCTGCCGCCGGAAGCACAGAAGGAGACGGTTGGACGGCCCGTGGTATCGCGATCGCGTGTATTACTTTCGCCGTCGCGCTCCACTCGATTTTCCCCAAATGGGGGCTGAGGCTTGTAAACCTCTTGGGAATATTCAAAGTGGTCATTGTGATCTTCATCGTATTTTCGGGCTTCGCCGCTATCTCCGGTCGACTTCTCATCCCGCCGCCCGGTAACTTCAAGAACGCGTTCGCCATCGAGGTGACGGAGAATTATGGTGGCCGGGGCGCATACGGATACGCGACGGCGCTATTGCAGATTATCTACAGCTATAAGGGTTGGGAGAACGCCAACTATGTGCTCGGAGAACTGAAGAATCCCCGCAAGACCCTCGCGATCGCAGCACCCATCGCCATCGGCGGTGTCACTATCCTATATGTTCTAGCCAACGTGGCCTACTTCGCAGCGATAACGAAGGACGACCTCGCTACTTCTGAGGTGTTGGTGGCTGGGTTATTCTTTCGCAACGTCTTCGGTGATAGTGCTGCTGCACGGGCTCTCCCTGCTTTTGTCGCACTGAGCAACCTGGGCAACGTGCTGGCCGTGAGTTTTGCACACGCTCGACTCAACCAAGAATTTGGAAAAGAAGCGCTTCTACCGTATGGAAAGTTCTGGGCGTCTATCAAGCCGTTTGACGCGCCAGCTGCTGCTGTGAGTATCTCTCTTCAAAACTTCTTATGAATTATATGACTAACTTGATATACCTAGCTTTTCCTTCACTGGCTTATCACAGTGATCATTCTCGTCGCCCCTCCCGCAGGCCCTGCCTACAACTTTGTCGTCAACTTATATACCTACCCCGGTGCTTGGATCAACGGCTTTGTCACTGCCGGCCTCATCTATCTCCATTACAAGAAATCGGAAAATTGGACATCGCCTTGGCATACATATTTACCGATTAGCGTCATCTATCTCTTGGCCAATATCTTCCTCGCTATTGTTCCCTTCGTCCCGCCGTCTGGAGACTGGAATGCTGACGGTTACCCCTATTTTATATTCCCCGTCGTCGGAGTTGGCGTTTTACTTCTAGGTGGAGTATACTGGACATGTTGGTCTAAGATCTGGCCGGCGATCGGTGGATATAGGATCGAAGCTCATAGAATTGTCGAGGACGACGGCAAGGAGGTGGTGCGGTACCGGAAGATCAAGACGAAGTAGTTGCAGCAGTAAATGATTCAAACGCCATCCCAATGATGTATTAACCTGGATACTCGTATATAAAACCGATTCCATTTACCCTAATACATTAAGATAGCGGAGGAACTAGTGATTTCGTCAATTAGAATCAACTTATCCTCATATTGCTTCGACCTTACGATTATTATCCGAGTGAATTCTCTTAGTATAAATGGCAATATGCTTATATTCCAGTCCAAATAGCTCAGGTTAAAAAGTTAATGTTATGATAGCGTCGTACGGTTTTAGATATCGCATCTTCGCGCCCGCTGGTATAGGTATACACCTATATCTATAAGTAGAACCAATTTATTATTCATGCATGATCCCGTTCTTGATGTGCCTTATACACTAGGTTACGTGCTGGTCGTTTTGAAGCCGCGCCCTTCACTATCATCCCCTTTAATTATCCGAGTCCGATGCGAAAGCGAACAGTCACCGGTGTCTCGGAACCGAAACAAACACAGACTAGGCGCGATATTTAAGACATGGCGCAAGCTACCGAACTCATTGCCACGCAGCCCACGCTAAGATTTCCAGAGCGATATTCGCGAGAGCTCTAAAATAATTGCCTGTCTCCTAACTCCGCATCGAAACCCTACAATAATTATACCATGTTAGGTACCTACCTAATGTTAAGTAATTTTAGAGACTGGCAAAATCATACTTTTGGCAAATATCTATTCAAAGGGTTAACGGGGTCCCTGTCGTGTTCCAAGACTAATAGGAAAGGGTCATAGCAAACCTCTATATATCGAACGATGTGGCGGTCAGTTGTCTCTCATCCGCAGCCGAGTGTGGTTACACAGGCGTCTACTTGCCGTCATACATACACGCTTAGTTCTCTTTTCTTGTCGATCTCCCGTATTTCTTGTGTAGGAAGAAGGCTAATCAATAGTGGCGTAATCTCTTAAAAATACGGCCCTATGTAAAAACGGCGATGGCGACACATGATATTGAGCTTGCTCATACCTTAAATCTATAGATAGATGAGACGCCGTCCCGTGTAACTCAGTGTGAGTGCTCGGAAACGTACTCTGTAGAAAGTTAACGTGCATCTATGGCTAATAGACATCCTTAAAATCCTGAATATTCAAATTCTCCTTTTCCGCCAGTTACCTTGAAATAATAGCTATTCTACCCCTATCCACTTCTTAGCAGAATTCCTAGATTAGTAGACCAGCCGACATGTCATCGGATTCAGATTCACCTTCATTATTTGAGGTGGATTATGGTCCCCGTCTACTTCGCATATTGACCCCTGTCTCGGTGATTGTAACCTTTGCCGTTGGTCTTCGTATTATTATGAGGATATACCGTACTTCTGGCATCGGAATTGATGACTGGCTGAGTATAGTTTCTCTCGTAAGTCATGACCTTGTCTCACTAGGTTGAACAATTAGCACATCTCTCCAATCTATATACCTCTTACCTACTGGGTAAAACCCTGACGAAACTAAGTTTCTAACATTGTTCTAGGTATTTTCGTGGGCGCAGTACGCTCTTGTCGTTCTACTCGTCAAGATCGGTGAAATGGGAAGATCAATTAACTGGAACGAACCTCAGGGAATTATAGACCTCAAGGCGAGCCTGCTTATATTATACTAAGATTCCGAAGATATGTGTTTAATTGTGCTAACTCGTTGTCTAAGGTGATTTTTGCCAGCCGATGGATCTATGCGACGACTATCCTGACTACCAAACTCAGCATCCTGATGATGTACAGGCGTATCTTCCCGGTGCGGTTGATGAAGATAGGGTATCTTGTCTTGGGCTCTATTACTATAGTGTGGTGGGCCGTTTATGTCCTTGTCGAGACCTTTCAGTGCACTCCTGTTAAGAAGCTATTCGACCCTGAAATGAACGGCTACTGTATTCCTCTCTGCAACTTTCTGTTAGGGATTGTGATTCCCAATATTGTCACCGACATCGCCATCCTATGCCTACCCATCTACGAGATCATGAACTTACACCTCACGCGTAGTCAGCGTGCCACTTTGTCCGTTATTTTTCTGCTTGGAACAGGTGCAATTGTTGCAAGTGGGATCCGATTACGATACCAAATCCAGTTGGCTTATGGAACATCTACAGACTTTACTTGTAATCACCATACCTCTTGTGATTTAATTTGGAATATAGCTAATAAGCCTAGTGGTAAATGTTAACTTTATCCTATGGACCACCTTAGAGCCCGACCTAGCGATTATTTGCGGCTGCCTTCCCGTGCTTGGACCGCTGTTTAATAGCTTGCTTAGAATGCGCCCTTTCACATGGATTCGCCAGTCCTTGGGTCGTGACTACGATAATGTCGAGGGAGATAAAACGCCAGTTACTATACGTGCACTTCGGAGCATAGGCGGCACGTCGATGCATAGGGGCAAAATAGGAAAAGGTAACAAAAGCCAGGACTTTAGAATATCGCACGGCTCTATAAGACCATTTAGGAATCTCGAAGATGATTCAGATAGTGTTGAAGTAAATAGCCACGGACATAGCAGGGAAGCTAATCGAGGAACATTCGGTCTGTGGCCCCAAGGATATGCCGCCGAGTGTTGTGCCGTGGTGAGAAAGACTGGGGGTGATGGGGTCGATGAAGTCCCGCTTGGAGTTATCACGGTCGAGACTGTGGTTGACTGGAGGGAAAACAGTTCTTCTTCTGACACCGTATAGTTTTTTAGAACCTAGGATGTAACATTACATCTGATATATAATACGAATTATAGTAGTTGCGCGGGTCGCAACTTGTCGGCTGCTTAAGGTGGTTGGTAGGTATAATTGATGCTGATAGTCATATGTATTGATAATAATAAGAGAATTTGGCTATCCGTTTATAACGTCAGGTGTGCAAGAAACCGAGATTTATATTAGAGGTGTCTTATATATTAGGTATTTGTGTAACATGAAAATCGGCTAAAAGCGGCGTGCTCGAGATCCGTTTTTTTAATAAAAAAAGATAGTACCTTTAGCTACCTACCTCCTAGAACCCAATTTTAGGAGGTCGTTCGCACTTTCCTCCCCTGATATGTAGTATGGTGTAACATCTAAAAAATTCTTTGGTACCTCCACATGTTTTTAATTTTTTTTACTAATGTTACCTAATTTCTCTCCTCCTCCTTCTTCGTTATATCCGATGTCTTAAAAAGTTTCCTCCTCTTTTTCTCAACTTTTATTCTACCAGACATTTTATCTCCGAAAACTTTTGATTAATCCGTTTCCATTCGGGTTACGGCACTAACATATTTGTGAGTAATCGTAACTTGTGATTGGCCACAACTTTTCCGTCACACTGCGGTATCAAGCCCAGAATTATTCGGGGTACGGCCCGGTGCGCATCTCTGGGGGTCATGCGTGTTCGGCGGGTTTATTCTGCGGCGTTCTACGGTACAGGCGCTTCGTGCGGAGAACAGAGCTGGAGCTGGCTGCATGTGTCGCTTATTCTTCTTATGCTCTGTCCAAACGGGGCCAGATCATTTTAATTCTTCCGTTTAATCCTTTAGTTAATCGTTTAATCATCTATTCGTTCGATCCCTCTTCTATCTATCTGTTTCAATTATATTTCAACCCTTTTTTTTTTCCTCAAAGTCAATTTGACGCAGGGATTTTCTATTCCCCCCCCCTTCTCTCCATCTCTTCAGACTCAAGCCCTACCCTAGAACTAAAAGGTCTAGGTATTAATCGGTAGTCGCTGGTCAGTGGTTGGTGGTTGAAACAAACACCATCTATGTCCAATTATACATCCGTAGCGGTTCCATGAACATTCAATCCCCGGATTGAAATGGCTGACGAGACGCCGCCGGGCGATCATGGCAGTCCTGTCGGCAAACTCAACAATGCTATTTCTGATTTTGCCTCTTCTTATGTCAAGAAGGAATTGCAGCAATTGACCCGCGAGCGAGATGATGAGTTGGCGCGGAGCCACGTGCCAAAGCTGAGAGCTCTCCTCAGGGAGGTTGACAGGGAGCGCCAGGCGTATGAACAAGACAAGGAGAAGTTAATCCTAGGTCTGCGCAAGAAGTTACAATTGCTCGAAGTCGACCCTGATATTATCGAGAGTACCGTCTCAGAACTTATCCCCGTTACCCCCAAATATCTGAGCGTCATTCCCAGTGCTTCGACCCTGACTATTCGACCCCCAACACCTTTTATGTCACCGGTTCGCGATAATTATTTTAGCACTGTTCTTGGCGCAGATGTCTTATCAAGCATACCTCTATTGGCGTCGCAAGTTCACGACCAAGGAACTTCTAATTCGATCAAAGATCACTCTTCAAGCCCTACCAATATTAACGTATCGCCGAACGTAGGCCCGAATTTCGACCACCAAATACAGAGTCAGATCCTATCCGAAAACCCCATGACTAACAAAGCTCCTAAGCGGGTCAGCGCAGATGGTGATAGCGCCGCAAGTGGGAAGCGACGGAGAGTAGATGGCGGAAAGGTAAGAACGAACTGGAGCAGTCACTTTAAGCTGCTACTTGACCAGCTAATATGTATATGATCAGAGTCTAAGTAGATCTCAATCGGATATATTCCGCAAGATCGCATTCCCGAACCTAGAGACAGGGGAGCGTATCTTCCGGCATGCAGAACGTCAAGGCTTCTTCGTCATACGATGTAACAGGTCCAACTGCCAAACGGGATTCTTCACGGATCCGCCTCTAGCATATAATAGAGCTTTGAAGCATTTCCAAAGTCACGGCGAAACGGGACAAGACGGCGAAGAACTCACTAACGAATACATTTTCGAAAACTTCGCATGCGAAAGTGAGTAGCTTTATCTTGTATTTATAGGGGAGGGGTTAATCATAGGTACTAATCGTTGCCTACAGTTGAAGGTTCTAGCCTGGTTAGCAAGTACTGGATTAAGGAACATCTTGGCCCATCGCCGCATACCTGTAGGTAAAGACATCCTTGTGATCTACCTAGAGGAGAGCTGGTTCTTTTTTTGAAAGCTTCATTGGATCAACTATTAATGTCTCTAGTCATTCCCGGAAGGTCGAGATCCAAGAATATCCAAGCAGCAGATACTCTTACTGTACGAAAGAGCAAAGAGGACGACAAGAATTATACGCCGTCTAGCAAACCCCGGAATCCTACTGTGGTTGACGAAACCAATGAGTCGGACGAGGAGGAATTAGAGGCTGAGAAACCACGCCGCACGCCCAGGAGCGTACCTCGCCCAGACTATGCGGAGTTGGTGGCGAACAAGGATCCTTGGAATCTATCAGACGGTGACAGCGATGTGCGTTAGGCCCATAAACCTAGAATATACTATACCACTGCTAACTAGTAGCCGTAGAAGGTCATTCCCCGTTCTATGAAGGAGTCTCGGACGCCTGGCAATGGTGCTATCAAGTCTACGAGATCAGGGAGTAGTATATCACCTAGCTCGTCAAAAAGATCAACGCCGGGGCCTTCAATACTAAGAGCGAAGACATCGGAACCGAGTAAGTACGTCGACACCTCTTCCCTCGCATAAAAACGCCGTCTGACACGGCTAGACCTTTTGGTTACACCTCGGAGCAGTGGCCGAGACGGTCCGCACCTAGTTAGGAATCGACAGTGCCAGCTCAACAGCCCGCGCGTTGCGCTCATCGATGGACATCTCTTAAAAATAAACTTTAAGATCCTGGCGTCAGCACATAGGGGGAAATAATTGTAAACCACGCTCTGCTTATTCATGTCCTTATGACGCTACTATTTCCGAAATGAGTTATACCCACGTCGACATGATTTAAAGATAGGTTATGTACCTAATATATTTTTAGCATCACGGTGAGCTACGCCCATGAAATAAGTACCTCGCAAAGTTCAGAGAATACGAGGGGCAGTAGAGGCAAGTAATTATGTTTATGCGGGATCTTTAAATCTCAAGCTAACGACGCAACGATTCACATACTAGCTGGTGAGGCATGACCAGGATTAGTCGGCACTTCGTATACATATCACACAGCAAGTACTTTGAGTTACATATCGATCTAATATCCCCGCTCACGTATTGTCCTTTGTGAGCTTAGGACTGTATCTCCGTATATATAAAGCAATGTCGCTAGTTTTTATATTATATACATAGCCCACCCGATTCGTCAGGCATTTTGTCTCACATGGTTGTATGTAACTGAGATCTAAAGAGGCGCTTGATTTGCATTCGACTCATCATAGCTTGGCCTGACCGCCTTTCAGCGCGTCCCAGTCCTGCTGCGTAAAGGGTACGTAGGCGCTGCCGCCCTTGGCATGGTCGGGAACCCAGAAAACAGGGTCAGACTGCGTCTGAGCTGGGTCGACGCCGGCGCGCTTGAGCGGAACTTTATCTTGCTTGTTGTTGTGGGTAGCGGAGCGCGCGGACATGCGGCGCACGAAGATGGGTACGGCATACTTAGGGAGGTTGGCACGGGCGTGTCTGTTTCCGGTGAGGGTTGCGGTTAGCAAGGGGAGCGAAGTAGCGCTTCTTCCAATATTTGCAAGGGAGTTTGGAGGAAGGGTATGTGCATATGTCGATACTCTATCTATTCATTTGTATTGGATGTGTGATATACGGAAGGGTTGGTGGCGTTTTGTTGGGATGCGGAAGCGGGGAGGCGGAGGGAGAAGAGTTCAATGCGTTTGCGTTGACAAACAAAGTGACATAGAAAAGGGGAAAGGGGGAAAAGGAAATATTAGACTTACTTCAGCAATCCGTTATAGTCAAAAGTCTTGACGGCCGGGTCAATGAAGATAGCTGCCATGCCGGCCTTTCCGTCGTGGTTCGGTAGAGATACACCGTACACGGTCGCTTCACTTACACCCGGGAATCGACCTAGTACTTCGGACACTTCGGCCGTGGACACGTTCTCTCCTTTCCAACGAAACGTATCACCCAACCTATCTAGGAAGAACCACCGTCCATCATCATCTCGCCGTAGCGCATCGCCCGTACGGTAGTATAAGTCGCCCTTTCGGAATACATCGCGCACGTATTTCTTCGATGTCGCTTCTTCGTTACGGTAATACCCTGGGAAAGCCGGTGTGATCGTAGGCGGCTGCGTAACAAGTATCTCGCCGCCGACCGAGTAAGGGACGCGTCGCGCAAAGCCCGTCTTGGGATCCCGCGCGATGTCTCCTGTGTCGACGTCGATTTCAACCGGCACCAAGACGTTATAGAAACGCCATCGCTGCAGAAAACCGTGGTGGCCGACGGCATGGGCGCGGAAGTCGCCCCGGGCCGGGTTATCTAGCGGCATGATACCCTCAGTCGAGTTGAAGAACTCGAAGATGGTGTCGATGCCGAAACGGTCGCGGAATGGCTTCCAGACGTCCGGACGCAGGCCATTGCCGTAGATGGAGTGTACGTTATGTTCTTTGTCACGTGGTGACGGTGGTGCTGCTAGTAGATATCGCAGGGTCTCGCCGACGTAGACGAACCACGTAGCTCGACTATCTCGAATGTCGTCCCAGAACCCTGACACGCTGAACTTGGGCGCGATGCATAGCGTCTGGCCCGTTAGCAGCTGCGTCATGCCGCTAATGCCTCCTGTACCGTGATATAGTGGCATGCAGTCGTAGTAGCGCTGATCCTCGCCCTTAACATACGAGAAACCGCAATCCATACTGACGCCGTACCCGAAGCTGGCGGCCGCGGGCAGCATACAAGCTTTGGGTAGCCCAGTTGTGCCGCTGGTATAAAACAGACCAAATGGTGAGTTAGGCCGGACGTTCTCGCGTAGCTCATCGGACGGCCGCTCGCACTTCGTCGCGTTGACTTCGTGTTTGACATCAGCCAGATTCACAATACTCACCCCTTGCGCAGCCAACTCGTCCTTAACGGCATCGAGGCGCTCCAGTAGCTGAGGCGCGCCATCAGCCAGTATGAGTTTCGCTTCGGAGATACCCAGACAGTGCAGCAGAGCCTGCTTAGTTAAATTGTGGTTGATGAGGGCTGGAGCTGCACCGATAGCTAGCAAACCCATCCAAGCAAAGACAAATTCGGGGCTGTTGGCCATGAAGAAGGCGACGAGGTCACCAGGCTTGACACCGGCATGTTGTGAGAACCACTGAGCGTATTGGTTGACGCGGTAGTAGGTCTCGGCATAAGTGAAGCTGCCCTGGCGCGACCAGATGCACTCATTACTGGGTTTGGTCTGGGCATGCTTCTCGAAGAAATAGTAGGACGAGACGCGCTTTTCTCGGACTACATATGCGGAAGGGGTTTTTGTAAGCTGTGTTCACATCTAGGTAGCAGTGTTTAGAAGGTAGGCTCACTAGCTTTCTGAAGGAGCTTCGCGCCCTGCTTTTTTGCGCGGATGTTCTGCCAATCCTGTCGCAGATGGAATTTGCCGTCGAGATACGTGAGACCGGCCGCAGTAGCAGCTATCGACGCCGCAGCTGCGTTGGTCAGTTAGTTGCCTCGCACATGTGAAGCCATGGGAAATATCGAATGTCTTACCAACGGCTGCCATCCTTCCTCTTAGAAGAATTACTACTACTACTACTAAACCAGTATCTTACTAAGGAAAGAAAAGGACGTGGCGGAAGCTATGTATATCGCGCACTAAACACGATTCTACTACTAGTTATCGCGGAAAATCAAAAAAAGACAAGTTGGATTTGCATTTCAGATCTAATCCTTACCGTCAGTTCATCGTGACGGCCGGGATTCTGATAGAAATCATCTTAAGAAAAAGAGAAGAAAGCGACACGACGCGCCAACAGTACAGCCGAAAGGTGACCTCGGGATTTTAGCTTGCGTAGTCCATTAGACGGGGGGGCTATTAGGACGGCAGTTTGTGGGGGACAGGGGTCATACACTCCCAGAGCCCGGAGAGAGTAGGTAAACAGCATTTTGCCATGTTCAGGGGCAAGAAGGGTCAACTTTTAAGGGTCTATCTGCTATGAGGCTATGATTATTAGGGAATAGCGAGCTGGAATGATGTGGGGGAGCTATGTAGACCCTCTAGGGACCCTCTCTACCTTACCCCCCAGCCCCCGAACCAAAATACCATTGCCTTATCCTGCTCGTCTTGGCCAAGTATCAAAAGTCGAGCTTGGATTAGCCGCTGGAGAGTCGCCCCGCATTTCCCGGGTCTATTGTTCGGCACCTGCGCGGTGTCTGGGTGTTAAGACGGAGAGACTTTTAACTCCCACATTATATAACTTTGACTGTTAGTGGTTGTGTAATAGGTAGCTATTAAAGAGCTTTACAAGTTATATGTTATACCTGTTAACTAAACCTCGATTCATCAAGTTATAGTTAGTTAACTAAGTCTTAAAAGACTAAAGCTTCGAAATATGTTACTATGTCAGCAATTGGAAGACAACCATGCCTACGTTCAACACTGATAATAAAAAGTGTTATTAAAGAGACTTAAAACTATATTAAATACCTAGGTATGAATGCTGCTAATATTCTTACCTTGATATATAATAACCAATCAAGTCTATAACAGTCCAAATTTATGTATTAATAGCCAGTGACTACAGGAGGTACTCTACTTATAAGAGCTACCACATAAGTGTCTTCACTGATTTGAATCGTTGTAGTATTCACCCCTTACCTGGTCGCAATATTTAGGGAATCTTTATCATGGCATTAAATACTCAGATAGAACCCCTATAGCCCTCTTGTCGCGCATACTCCATGCTCAATATTGCAAATACTGGTCCAGCAGGCTCTATCATCTTGATTAGAAAGCTAGTTGCTATGTTCCGCATCATTCTCGTACAGGTACTTACCCAATCGATACTCTCAGATCCGTCAATCATCTGTGACATAGTAGCCGCGTATGGCAATTCTGAATCGACAACAGGATCCATGACCCCTGACGAAATATTTTCATCCGCGAGGGTAAGGCCGACATCGTTTTGTGCAACCTTCTTGATCATCAAGTCAAGCGCAAGTGCTGCAGTCTGTGCATCTGGTGAAGCTGCTTTGTTAACTGCCCATATCCGTTGAGACTCCTGGAGCGCCCGATACTCTCTACTTGCAAGTTGCTGCGTATCCCTTCTCTCGGTCAAGACTCCGCTTCGAGATCGCATGCGAACGGACAAATCTAAGCAGAGAACCATGGAAGCTAAAAGAAAGTCATGCACTGATAGTGAAAAGAACATCCATCTGTCCTCGTATAATCGACCACCAGGCTCACATGCCTTATGTATATCTATCTGCCGGGAAACGATGTCGAGAGCTGCTTCAACGCATGCGTGCCGTGATTGTTCAAATCTAGGACTTCTTAAATCATAACTGATGTATCGTCGATGAAGTATGATAAGACCTTTCAGGTAGAGGATCTCTATTGTACATCGTTGCCATATGAGACAAGGATGGTCTATAAAAGAACGGTTGACATCCCGTCGCTTCAAAAGTTCTGGAACCATGCTGTAGACTTGGTTCATTTCAGCGTCTAGCTTAATCGTTTCGTCGTAAGCTGGAACTGATATTGATTGTGTATTCGCGACAATCTTTTTGAAGACTCCCATCACACTAGCTTTGACGATAGTGTAAAGCATCAGAGTATTCTCGGAAAGGGGTCTCGATGGTGGTAGTACTGTCATGTCGACATGGAGATCGGAGTATTCTAGATTTCTCGGAACCTCGGTGTCGCAAAATTCGTTTGGTATCATACTTGGGAAGCCCATTTGAAAAGATACCAATGCGTCTATTTGAAATATATTAACCCAAACTCGTCGCCGCATCTCCCCGTCGAAAGGGGAGATGCCGGTCAGGTTACTTGGGTCGCGGTGATAACCCATCCTGAATGCTAACCGGATTGTTGTACCCATTTCGAACCATAAATCAACTGGATTACCTTCGCGGCTGAAAAAGCAGCTTTGGATGTGAAGCATAAACGCCTCGAGCGCATGTGCATTAGCAGTGGCATATCGCCCAAGAACTAGACACTGCACCACTCTCTGTTGTAATATACTTATATGGGGGATTAACCCGTCCGGCTCTCTTATGTTCGATACCTTTCGTAGGCTAACCGAGACACTGAGAACGGAGAAAAGAAGGGCTACCCAGAGCGGCGGTGTTGTTAATGGTGACTCCCAAAATGAAGCGTACTATATTGCCTGTAAGTCATAGCTACATGTATGGCATGAGTAAAAGGCTTACTTCACTTTGAAATTTATCCGGGTGTATAATACCTTAGTTATCGTACAAGTTAGTGGACTAGTTTACATATGTTAAACTTGAGGTCTTACCTAGAACCATGAACCGGGAACCGAAATACCAAGAAAGCAACATGTCGCAGATGGGTTGGGATGGCAATGAGCTTAGAATATCGTCGAGACTCGAAATTTGGTCTGAGTTCAGTAGAAAACTAGCGTCCAATACCACGGGATCTGCAGCGAACCCTTTCTCATTCTGTGACAAGGGCTGATTTGATGCCAATAAGTGCTCTCGAACCTCTTTTATATCGTCCAAGATAGATAGCCAATGGTTAGGATCGATATAGTTCACTTGACCATCCGCGGTTTCCTGAAGGTGGGGAGTCTCAGGGGTAAGGGCATCTTCTCCTGCACTCTGGCTGGTAAAACTCGAATCATGATTTGCGGACTTATTGTAATGTATTGCTGGTGATGTGATATCCTCGACGTCTTTTGTGGCGAGTTCTCTTCTGGTAGTCAGTCCTGGCTGAACCACAGCATCACCCGACAGTAAAGAGGATACCAAATTCTCTAGAGTATTGAGTCTGTCTTTCAAGTCGCGCGGCTTGTTATTACTGGGCTCACTTCGACTAGCATTTGCCGCATAGTTACAAAGTGAGGCCTTATCCCGTCTTATGCAGGAGTCGCATGGTGAACCTCGGTTACACTTCAGCCTACAAGACGCACGTAAGCATATCTTAGGTACCTACGTAGTAATATTAAGGGCACAAGGATATAACATACTTTCTAGTCCGACATGGCTCACAAGAAACAGGTGGCCGGTTTCTTTTTTCCACCTTTCTACGACCGATGTCACTGCTGGCCATGGAAGTATAGATGGGATTAATCTAAAGTTTCGCTTTCCCTATACGGTAATCATAGGAATGTGAAGAGAAGCTTTATCATGTCTAGATGTAAAGATTTCATTCTCACGGCTAAGAAGGAATCAGCAAAGGCAGTGGGGCCGGAGCTTAGAATACAAAAGAGGGTGAAGGGCGCGGAGATATTATCCCCGCTAGCGGACAGAGATGAGGCGTATAAGCCCCGACCCAATGATCAATCAGAATCCTTCGTACATCAACATGTAAGTGACATAGCTAGTGATTATAATACATACTAGACGCTATGGATGAAGGGACATATAAAATCCGTGTAGGTGGAAATTACTGACATGACATAGCCCCTCGAGAGGGTAAGACAAAATGGAATATAAAATAGCTCCTTGGGATGTGATATGTTTCTCATTTAGCTAACTCCTCAACATCAAAGCATTGTAACATTTTAGCAACAAGAAACAACTTCAACAAGCCCTCAAGTTGCCATGTCCGCCTTTTCAGCGCTATACGGAGTTGGCTCCGTCATCTTTTCAAAGATTTTCGTGAAGCTTCCAGTCCCAAGTGGAAATCCCGAGCTTTCTAATCAAACTATTATTGTGACTGGCGCTAATACCGGCCTTGGATTCGAAGCCTGCCTTCACCTATCACGACTTGGTGTTGGGAAACTAATCATGGCCGTACGAACTATAGCCAAGGGCGACGATGCAAGGAAAAAGATACTCGATTCCACTGGTCGACCCGAGTCCTCTATCGAAGTATGGCCCATCGACATGGATAGCTATGATTCGATCAAGTCTTTCGCAAACCGTGCCTCTCAACTTTCTCGCCTTGACGGCGTGTTAGCTAATGCTGGTGTTATGACCGCCAACTTCAGCTTGAGCGAACACAACGAAAAGAATCTCAATGTCAACGTCATCAGCACCTTTTTGCTGTATTTGCTCCTCCTGCCAAAAATGCGCGAATCTGGGCAGAATACAAGACACGTCTGTCGTTATTCGATCCCAAACAGTGCGCTGCACTACGTTGCTCCGCTCGCTGAGCTGGACCCTGACAGTCCCAGCATTATCGACCGGCTGAACGACCCCCAGAAAGCCAATATGGCTGGTAGATATGCTCTGAGCAAGTTACTCGTTCTCTACGCCGTGCGCGAGTTTGCCGAAAGGACCAGTTCTTCTAGAAAGGGGACGTGCATTATCAATACGCCAAATCCAAGCTTCTGCAAGTCTAACTTAGCAAACGAATCCCAAGGAAGTCGTGGCTCTAAGATATTCGAGAAGCTCTTAGCTCGATCTACCGAAGAAGGTAGCCGTGTTCTGGTTCATGGCTTGCTAGCTGGCCAAGAAACCAATGGTCAGTATCTGTCAAACTGTCATGTCGAAGCGTAAGTAGTTCTATACTCTTTTATTATAGTATCTCCGTCTAACAGCTTTCAAAGCCCTGCCTACCACGTCACCGGGAAACGGGGTCAAAAGGTTCAAAAGAAGTTTTTTGGTGAGCTTATGGCTAAACTAGAAGAGATCCAACCTGGTATCTCGTCAAATATTTGATGATTATCATACGCGGCTTTAACTAGGGGTTGTTGTACAGTATACAAATGCGAGATTACCTATCTTAGTAAGAATAGGATATATGTATATTACAGTATTGTTTTATAGATTTTTAAAATAAACGAAAACTTATATTTTCCATAACAGGTAACTATTGATTATAGTCGGCTTTGGCTTATTAACGGGAAGACATAGTAACTATTAGCCAGATGAGATTCTATCGTGGATCTCGATAATGAAAACCAGCAGTATGGGGCAATAAAGACTATCAAGGAGTTAAGGAAAGGAGTTGCTTAGCCACACAACAGCAGCAGCTCATTATAGCAATAAAAACGGGTTCTCATGAGTCTAAGTTGGTCTGCATGATATCTATTTCAATGTTAGTTTTATGTAACAGCCACCTACCCTTTGAATGGCTTCTGGCTCTTACACTGTGTCCTCATTCATATTGTTTGTGTATGCATAGATGGAGGAAGGTAATAGGGATGATGACGATGAGGATTGAATTGTTAAAGGAGAGATGCTTCAACTCTCGAACCCC